CAAGAGATATAATACAATTTTGAAAACTATCATAAACTAAGCCCAGCTTAGAAATATGCCAAATATTTGTTATCGTCGATTAAACTATCTACTTACATATATCAATATTTATCGACAACATTTATCAAATAATTCAGAATGAAATTAAATATAAAATTATATTACTTAAATATATCATGTCATACTTGTGCAAATATGTTTTTTTTTAGTAGAAATCTTTCACAAGTATGTGTATTTTTTATTATACGGTTTTTTCATTTCGATGTTCTTTCGTGCCTATCTTATCTAACTTACGCTAGTCCTCATATCATACCAAAAATTCGAAAAAGTTTCCGTTCGTTTTTTCTGACTACTTTATCGCATATGAGACTCGACTCTCGACTGAGAGGAGAGAGAAAGAACATTATAAGACAACTGAAGGAAGCCAGATTGATATTACAATCAAATACATACTTTGCATTTCTTGCGTTACTTTTGACGTAGCAACTTCAGTTACCACATCTCCTACAGTTCTGCACCTTAGCGTATAAGATGTAGTTCCACTTTCCTCTGGATAGACTTTAAAGCCACCGGAAAATATAAATCGTTCCTTTGCGGCTTTCTATTCTTCACCCTCTGAGCGCATTCTCAGTCTGCCATTGCGGACGATTTTTTACAATCTTTATATCTAATAAATTGTCACTTATTATCTGAATATAAATTAATGTACAAGTAAATAAATAAACTATAGTAGATTATAATTTTTGTTTTTATTCATTTTTAAAATATTTTTAAAATTTTTTTATTGTCTAGTACAAATATACTTCAAATTAAGAACACTGATATATTTTCGATTATATTCCACAAATCCATTGTGAAAATATATCACTTTTTAATAATTGTACTTGGTATAATTTTATCAACATTTACAAAACTTGTTATAATATTTCATTTTATTTCTAGAGAAAACGGCTTTACTTCTAATTAAATTAAATTACTTAGATATTTATATTAATTTTTAAATTTGTTGAAATTATTTTAATTACTTTAATTATTTTAATAAAATTAAATAATTTATCATTAAGAAAACAATAATATACAATAAACAATAATAAAAAATAGATAAATTAAAAATAGTTAACCAATTAAAAAATTTTATAAAAAATTTAAACAAAAATAATACAAAATCATCCAAACCACCAATAATACGAATCATTAATATATGTAGAACACAGATAAATTTTTATTATATCACTGCATTCGGCATACAAATACAAATATAATATACTGCTCTTTGTATCCCACACTTATGCTTTATATTTACACATTTAATCCTTTATTTCTATAACATTATCTAGTTCGATTAGCACTTATAAAAAACAGTTAAGTTATATCTTAGTCGATATACATAATTTATATTTTAATAACATTATTATGGATGGAATAGTTATACGTAATATATTTATAAGACTTAATGGAAAAATTAAATTACTAAAGAAATGATTGTTATGCATAATTAAATGTTTAAATTATTATATACTATATATTATATTATATAATGATTAAACTTTATATATTATATTACATATTTTATTATTTTATGATTATATATTATATATTATATATTTATATATATTTATTTAATATGTATATTTAATATACATTTGATGTGATTTGATATGATTTAGTTTGAATATTAAAATTTTAATTATATGTTAGTTATAAATAATACATATATTCATTTCATTTCGTGTAGAATATTGATATATTGATATAGATCAAATTGATTGAAAATGTCTTTAGGATAAATAAATTGAAGAAATTAAAAAATTGTCTTTTATTAGTTGCTTTAAATTTTATAATATTGTATAGTATAATTGAACAAATTGTTAGAAATTTAAAACATAACATTTATAGCGTCTTATTACGTGTTTCTACTTGGCATATTAGTTTTCACTTAAAACTCAAGTACAATCATGTAAGAAATTTATATTTGTATATATACAATGAGTTTGTATTAATTGTAATTATATTCATTGATGCTCTCAATACGATATTATTCGTTCTCTTATTCATATCTGAGCTTACAATGAGCTTTTATTATAATCCATTTAAATATATATAATATAATATTTTAAATTTATATATTATATTATAAAATAAAATAGGTATTAATATAAAAATATATTATATACATAGATGTATATTATGATTAAGTGCTATTAAATGGAAATTTAAAAATTGTTACGATTAGGTACTTAACTGTAATTTAGTTAAAAAGTTGTACAAATTTATCATAGATATTAGGAATGAATTATTCATACAAGTTTGAAAGGCTTCAGTAACTGAGGAACGATAAAATTTACTTTCCTTCTTCCTCCAACTTAGTCTTCATTACCTGTACCCATAATTGTTTTCAAACTATTTATTAAATTTAAATTTGTACAAGATTAATTGTCTTAATAGAAATATTCAACTTCATTGTCAACCAAATTATTAAACTTAAAACTAAGACTAAAACCTCCCAGTGATGTTCAGTGGGAGACTTGTAGGCAAGTGGAAGAGGAAGGCGTATTTATTCAATATTAATACATAGCACATATACATAATACAATGTTAATACATAATATTAATACATGGCGTTTTTTCTCTTTATTTATTGTCAGATTAGATATAAATATGATTCTAAGATGGTTCTGAGAATCTGTGAGATCTTTACGGTATTTGTTACGTGGTGTTGGTATGCACTACATGTAGCAGTAGGATCGCTGGTACTTCTTCGAGTAGTGCCACATGATAGTTGCAATCCAAGATCTGCCCTTTTAGCCGGTGTTTTATTGTACACCTTCAGTCGTTCGCGGGAGCTTCGCTATCCGATATTTGATAATGTCAATGTTATATGTCAATGTGAAATGCGTATTAATACTTTATTTTTATTAGAAACTGACAACAAAAATAATATTTTTAAATTAATTTTTTTTTATGATAATTTTTTTTATTTACTTATAAAATTTTTTCTTATTAAGGTTCAATATAAAAATTAAAGTAAAAGAATTAAAGAAAATATATCCGTTTATAAATAAAAGAAAGGACTTTTATATAAATAAGATATATAATAGTCGGATTAAGTATTAGTTGCATAGTATTAAAGAACAGTATTAAGTTGAAAAGTAATAATCATATTAACAGTGATGATTGTATAGTCAACATTACATAGTGTTAGATATATATGTCACAAAAATATATCAATTATTATAAAAATATTAACACAATAGTAAGGAAAATAAATAATGCTGGTAAACGGGAAAATAAAAATGTAAACATTATGAAGAGTGTATACCCATGTGAAAATATTAAATCCTATTATGTAAGAATCATGAACGAGCAGTAGAATTTAATAAAATATATTATAATTAAAATTTAAAATAGAAATGTAATGGTAAGCACTTTTCAAATATTTAAAAATGTTCTATTTTCTTAAAAATACGAAATATCTCTTAACAAAATTTTAATGTTATTTTATATAATATTATTTTGTTTGACATACAAATTCTTTTCTTTAAACAATGAAAATGAAATTAATGAAATTTTTAAAAATAAATATATATAAATATTTAAAAAATTAAGAATAAATATTATTTTATGTATTGTTTTGTTCTACATAATATCATAAAATTATCTTTACTTCGAGTTTTATAATGGTTGTAATGAATTTAAATTTGTTCATTTTTGATGTATAATTTATAGATATATACATCACACAGAGAAATCACATTTTTAACATAATATGACTTACATTTTTTAACAGACAAATAGTGATGACTACATATGTCGATGGAAAAATATACTATTTTTTATTTAGATGTCAATAAGATGACACTTATTTACAACTTTCTTTATTAGAATAAAAATTTTTAATTTATTATTTGTTCCTGATCATATGATAGCAATCTACTTGAAGAACGAAAAAAACACCTTATCTTTAATTGAAAATAGTTCATAAAAAAGGAAAATATTTGCGGCATTGACTAATCATACTAATAGAATTCGATTTTAGATGATTTGATTATTGTTACATATTTATACAGATACATATTATTATTATATGATAGACATCTAATGTATTTCAAGTTAAAGTCGCAATAGACACGATCAACAAACTGCTACAAGATTTTAAAGATTACTGTACAATTTGACAACACTTATTTGAATTCTATGGATGTTGCAGCTTCAGTTGTATACGATATTATTGTATACGATAATTATAATCGCTATTACTCTATAATAATTAAATTAACTAAAAAAAATTTCCTATACCGATATATGTAATGTATTTGAAAGTTTTGTATTATAACATCTTTATTAATATTGTAGTTAAGTATATTTTTTATATAATTCCGTTCTATTTATATTTACTTCCCCAATATCACGGAATCCCAATATTATGTGACGAGTAAAAGAAAGTTTACAAAACTTGGAAACACACTTGCACATATGTTTGTACCCAATGAAATTTTATTAATTCAGGTTTACATTTTTATTTTGACAAAAATAACAATATTCTAAAAATTTGACAATAAATAGTTTGAAAGGATAATCATGCTTTAATAAATAAATAGTAATTATCATAATATATTCATTAAATTTATGTAAGTAATGAGTTTCAAAAACTAAAATGTAATCCCAAATCTTAAACACTTTATTATAATATTTTAGAGTATCAATTTAATATGGTTAATAAAAATTCCATAATGCAATTAAAATAATTAAAATAATTAAAAAACGAAATGAATATTGAAGTTTCATAATTATAATTTATAAATTGAATAAGATTTAATTGCTATTATGTTTTATTGTACGACTATATACATTTCAGTAAAGACTATAATCTTCTTTCATTCTAATTTTACAGTTTGTGATTACTGTAATTTGAATTTGTTTTATAATTATACTATAAATTAATTTACAAAGTAAATATTGCTTTGGAAGTTGCGCATGCGCTTAATATTATCATAACGTTGACGATTTCATGACGTATCTACAGCTGTTAAAAATATTTGCCGGTGTAAAAGATAATCAAATTATCCTTGAAAAATTATTTTTGTTTACAGAAAAAATAAAAGAAATGTGTCGAATTTCATTCCTGACAATTTTTTATCTATTCTCTAGTGTTACAGCTGCGACTCTTGAAACAGTTAGTGATGAGGATCTTTTAAATCTTATAAAAACAGAAAAATATGTCGTAACATTATTTAGTAAGTTTATCATAGAGTTATTTATATTTATACGTTTCACGTTAGATCAAAATTTTTTCTTAGCTTATAGTTTTAATTTTATATTATTTATTTCATATTATGTATATATATATATATATATATATATATATTTCTATTCTTTATTGAAAATAAAAATAACTTTTAAGTTATTACTATTATTTGATCTCATTCAAATCCTTTTGAAAAATCTATCTAAATCTGTTGTATAATTTTACAGCAAAAAAGGACTGTGAACTATGTGATGATGTTGAAAAACAACTGTTACATATAAGAGAAGACTTAGTTGATTCATTATCAGCATGGGTAGTGAGGGTAATAAACAGCCAAATGCTTAGGTTATATAGCCCTAATAAAGAACCTGCAATAGTCTTTTTTAGACAAGGAATACCTTTATTATATGATGGTACAATATAAATATTTCAATTTTAACACTTAATTTATTAATTACTTAAATTTTATAAATATATTTTCACAGGTCAAATAGAAGATGAAGAAATTTTAACAACTCTTATAGAAAATAAAGAACCTATAGTTAAAGAACTTACAGATGATACTTTTGAACACTTAACACAAGCAAGCACCGGTGCTACTACTGGAGATTGGTTTATCATGTTGTAAGCTTACTTAAATACTACTATGTTTTATAATGTAAAAGAATATTCTTATTGACCCCATATATGCATTTAAACACACACCTGCACACAAGTAATATTTGAAAATGTGTTTCGTTAATTTTTGTATTAATTCATATTAAGTATAGTTTAAAAAATTCTTTTAATTATTTGTTTATATTGGTAGATATTCATTTGAAAATATAACTTATTTTTCTAATTCAAATATTAAATCAAAATTAAAATGTTTTAATAAATAAAAAAACGTTTAATAATATGGCACATTTATTTCTTTTTTGTTTATAATGTAATATGCAATTCAGTTCATTTTGAGTTATGATAATTCTGTAGTGATTTAAAAACAAGGTGTAATCAATCTTTTTTATTTAATGTATTACATAAGTTTAAAACACTTGCTTTTAATATTTTATATAAAAATAGTAAGTCCTCGACAAAGCATTTTAAACATTGCAAAACAATGCAATTACATTAAACTGTCTAATGATTATCTAGAGAAAATTAAACCTATTAATTGTTCCTTTAGAATTGGGTAAAAAAATGTATAGAAAATGTTCTACACTTGTTTATGATGATTATTACTTTATATAGTAGAGTTTAAAATAATTAAAAAGAAAATCTGTTAAATGTAATAAATTAAAAATGTAATTTTGAAAAAATTAAAATTAAAATCATTTATTGCATAAATATTATATTTATTTTATGGTGATGCCAATTATGGTTACTAAATTCATATATTTTTACTAAACTGATTTGACATTCAACTTTGCAATTGTACTAGACATTTCTTCATACAAAATTAATTATGTTATCATATCGTCTTATACTTATGTTTATGTTTTAAAATAAAGCATTAATAAAATAAAGTCAATTAAATTTTTAAAAAATTTTCAACAAGTTCTTAAATAAATAACAAATTATCCAAATTAAGATATATTAATGAATTTGTATTTGTAAATTAATTTTTTAAGTGCACTATTATTTTGTTAATATTTAAATAATGTATTAAAATTCCCAGTTAAAACTGCTATTTATGATAATTAAAATAAAAATGTAAAGATATTTAAAGATTCAAAGACTTTCTCAGACTTTCAAAAGTACATTTAATAGTAAATACTTTTTATTATAAAAATTGTAATATTTTCATAGTATTGAAATTTTATTTGTATTCTCTAAAAATAATTTTATAAAATATTAATATTACCATTACTAATTTCCATAGTAATATCAGTGACTGTATTAATAGCTTGTATTATATTCTTAATTTATATGTAGAATATAGTTATTAAAAATTCTTATTTCTTCATATACAAAATAAATAGCTTTTTGTCCAATTATGAATATGATTAGAGATATTAAAATTGTATTAAATAAGTAAATGAATTAAATTTTAATATTTTATTAATTTGAAATATTCTGAAAGTGAAATTCACTTTACATATACTTTTTAATATTATTTTACTAATTTTTATAATTAACGTGATCTATATTGTATTTACTAATATTTAGTTTTTATTATATAAAATGAAATAATATACTATATTCGTAATCAGTTATAGTACAGATTGTGTCGATTGCCAAAGACTAGGAGCACGTTGGGAAGCTGTTGGTGCTAAACTAAAACAAAGAATTAATGTTGCTCGGGTTAATAAATATTCGACTGGAGCTTCAACAGCTCGACGATTTGGAGTTTACGAAGTTCCTCAATTTATTTTGTATATATCTTAAAAATTTATATTTATATAGTTTTATTATAATATAATCTTAATGCAATATGTATTTTACTACTACAGATTTAAACATAGTAAAATGTATCGTTATTTAATTCCCAAACATGATGTGAAATCATTTGTATCATTTGCCAAAGAGTGGTTCAAAAATGCTCATGGAGAAAAAGTGCCTGTGCCTCAAAGTCCATTGTAAATATTGCTTTTAAAACTTTTATTAATGTATATATTGTACATTATATATAATTTTATTTTTAAATTTCAGTGACGATTTAACTCAAATGATAGCTCATTTCTTAATAGAAAATCCTTGGATATTAAAACTTGGTAGTATCACTGTTGGTGTGCTAATAATTGTAACGGTAGCGAGTAAACTTAGAAGAAAGGCTGAAGTACCACAACAGAAAAAAGATACATAAAATATATATTATCTTTTTTAATTGAATGTACATATGGGTAAACAAATATAATGTAACATTTACATTTTTTAATAAACAATTTCAATTTTATATTTGATAAAATAAAATAAATTCATATTATTATTATTATTATTATTATTATTATTATTATTATTATTATTATTACTCTATGCCAATAACAAATACACTTTATATTCTTATATAATTAAATATTCTATTTACATTTTAAGTACTTTATTTCATTTAATAAAAGATTAACTTTTACAATAATTGTTAAAAAAAGTATATTCCAAACAGAAAAATTGTTGGAATGCTGTGAGTTATTTATAAAATATATAATCTTGAAATTAATTCTGCGAAAACAATAACAAAATTATATCACAATATGAAGTTAAAACTAAGTTTATTAAAGTTAAAATCCAAATACAAAAAATGTTTCATATTTCATCTTATGTATTCATATATTTATATATATATACAAATATTTTTGTGTTAATATTTAGTTAAACTATGGTCATATTATATTAATTGAAATTATAAAACAAGAAGGTATTTAAGAGTATCTTTCATAAGATTTTCAAAAAAATTTTTTTAATTAAATTATAAAATGTCAATTGTTAATAAAATTATATAAATTTTATTCTTACAAACAACGTTAAACACAATCTTCACATTTGTGCTAGATATTATCTACTGATAAATTTATTCTAAAAACAGTTGAAGGATTGGCAAGAGCCATTCTAATATTTATCTCAAATTTTTTTTGAATAGAAGAAAACTCCATTATATTATTAGGTTTAGATTCTAACCAGAATCCATCAAACTCGTAAAACAAGTAACAATAAAATTGATGAAAGGCACGAAGCGATGGTAAAGTCTTAGATGAATTATAAATATGTGTTTTAGCTGATCCATCTTTTAATAATCTCAATGCCATACTTGTCAGATTAATGCCAACTATGGCAAAAGCATATCCATATCGTGGATGCATTGAATGTGTTAAGACATGGGTTGCTGCACTGGGATATTCTTGAGCAAAATAAACCAGATTTTCTAATCCTAATAGACCCATTCCTCTGAAATCGGTTTTTGGATCATCGCCTTGAAAACCAATACCCTGCCATTGCTTGGTTATTCTTGCATCAAGTGGATCATAAGGCATTAACAGGTCCCACAATCTCAAAAGTAAATCTTCATGTACAGGATTCCCAGAATCATATTGTATTTGCCTCAATTCTTCACATTCCACACAAAGTTGTCTGTAACCCCAAATTAATTCCACACACTTACCAAATATTTTAGAGAAATCAGGATGAGCTGCAGGATTTATTTTCTTCGTTATCAGTACAGTTCTAATTGCTTCTTCTAAAATTCCACGCTCGCTTCTTATAGTTATTGCACATTGATTAGCTATGTCATCCAAATATGAAATTAAAGATATAATATCAGCATTTCGTGAGAGTCTAAGAGAATACTCTACTGCATATGTACGAGGAGCACCAGATGGCTTGCCATAACATATTCTTTGAAGTTCACACATATGTGTAGTTTGTCGTAGTACCCATTTGATAAAGGGTCGAAGATACCAATTGATCAAAGACCAAATGTAGTGAAACATTCTTTTAATTAGGTACCATGAATTATGTAAAATCTTGAAAAATATTTACAAATTTTTATTCACAAAATTATTTACAAATATTACAATTCCTACTAATGAGTTGTAAAATTTCTTTGTTATCAATTAGATTTTACAGATTAATATATACAGTAATTATAGTAAATGAAAAGTGATTTCATTATTTGATAATTCAATGATTAATGATGCAATTTAATTTTTTTTAAATTTATTTCAATTTGAATTTATCTTTATGTATTTAAATTGAGCATTAAAAGCATTTCATATTCATACTACTTGGCACTAGTCTACATTATATAATTTGTTCACCATCCTTATGTTTCTTCAATTACATAATGGTCTTCATTAGTTTTAACTATACGATCAACTTAATATTTTTATGGTTTACAAGATCTTCGAAATATCCAATAAATTGTTAATTAGAACCAATTCATTGATTAATTATATAAATGTTCTTGAAAGTATCTGTAGCATAAATGTATAATAAAATTAATTAACCAAAATACTTTTATTGATAAGTGAATAACTAAATATATTCATAAATTCAGTGATTGTGAACAATATAAAATTGTTAATAATATTTGTCATAGATTAAAAAAGAAGAATTAAAATAGAATAAAAAATTAATTTAACTTTAATAGAAAACAGTATATTTTATAATATTTAAAGAAATTGTAGAATTTTAACACTCTAGCATTTCATCAATTTAGTATAAATGGTGATGAATTTTTTATTTTATAACATTTAATTTCATAAAAAACTATAATAAACTTAAATAGAAGTTACCTAATAATAAAAATATAAACATCTACATATAATAAAAGTAAAAAGATAGTTAAATGTTTATATATATTTATATAAATATCAATTTATAAACAGAATATTGTAGAACTAACTTATGAATATGGTATTTAAAGGCTTGTTAAATATAAATAGTTATAATTTAAGAAAGATTTTATAGTAGATATATTTATCTATTATATAGTAGATATAAAATCAACAGTAAAATAATTTTTTTCAATTTTAAATTACTAATATTATTTTATAAATTATATTTAAAAAATACTTAAATATGACTTCAGTAGAATAAAAATTTGACATCATTGAATTATTATATGATTGAAATATTATAAAAAAGATTTATTTTAATTTAGTTTTAAGATTATTTTATACTATACTAAGAACGAAATGCGAAATATTAAAACTATTAAACCATCATTTAGTTCTAAATCAATTTCTATAATATTCATTCTCTAAGATAAATGAAAAATCTTACAGTAAATCATTTTCAAACATTATAAAATCGATATAACTAAATATATATATATATATATACTTTTTTTTCTTGAAAGTAAGGTATTTTTTACATCATATATTGCAATATATTTCTTATATAAATAACTATTTATACTTAAATATATTAAAACATTGAATTCTATCAATTTGAAAATAGTGATTTGTGAAAAATTTAACAAAAATCGAAGTTCACTTACGAATATATAAAAAGCAAAAGTCACAAATATTTATAATGTTTATATAATAGCCATCAAAGTTAAAGTATTTAAATCAACTCAAATTTAACATTTTTCTTTTAACGAATTTTTGTCTACCTGCTTGAATCCAATTATGGCGTCTGTCAGCGTATAGAAAACAATCCAGTTTGGTAGTACAGATTATTCATTAATAAAAAAATTATATTATTATATCGGAAGAAAAACTTCCAAAACAATACGTCATAATGTTGATTTAAAGCAGATCTTAATAATAAACAAACGAGTTACTATTGATAAAACAGTAATAAGTCCACTAACTCATGCACGCCATCTTGAAGCGAAATACACAAACGATTCCCATTTTCAATTATACATCAATGCAAGCCAAGGATGATTTGATGGCTATGAACTTGACTGATTAATGGCATTTTACCATGTGCTCAACCATACTAAATATTAATAAGCAAATATTGAAACGCTGGAAAGCGTTTAAAAGACAAATACCGATAGCAATTTAAAAACTCATAAAACAAAATGAAAATTTATTGACGTGAAATTTGAAGCTAGATTTTGTATATTTCCTTCATGCAAGTTTAGTAATGCGAAGTGAGAACGAATATAAACTACTGCATTCTTAATAATTCTGTTCTACGCAAAGCGTGATTCTTTTTACATTTAGTTTTAAAATTATAATTTATTACGATATTTTAATTTAACCAATGTAAAGAAATTTTTAACTTTTGCACCTTTAAATAACAATACACAAGTGTTAAAATATAGTTATTTAACTAAATATTAATGACTTACGTAATTAATTATATAATATTGAACAAGAATATATGCAAAAGTGGGTACTTCTTTTTCATATTTTGTAACCTTATAAAAGTCAATAATAAGAGAAAAAAATGATTTTTTATAAATATATTTTTAAAATAAACTTATTTAACATAAAGACAATAAAGCTTGTGTAAAATCATATGCTCAATAAAATTAGTACTTCTATAAATAATCACTTTTTAGTTTGCATAAAAATAATAAATTAATAAGTTAACAATCTAAACAATTTTAAAAATAATATTTTTTGGTTGAATATTACATTTAATTATTTTAATACGTTAAAAATAAGTTAATTATTGATACTTTAGAATTTAGTCCAACAAATAACAACATGAAATAAGATGTATATTATTCAGATCAATACTTTTAAGCTTTATACAAGTGCATCAATTGCATCAAAATAGATAAATACGAAGAATGTATTTTTTATTTTTAATTTATTTTAAATATCTTATATTTTAATTTTCGTTAAGTAAAAGTACGTATATATAATAATATAAAATAGAAAATATAATTTATAAAATAAAATATAATTATAAAAGAAAATTTATGTTAATAAAGTCTTTTTTAATGTGCTTAAAAATATTTATAATCATGCTTTATCTTTAAAGAAATACTTACAATTATTGAACTTTTAATATTATTATTACTATTTATTCATTTATAATACAATTTTTATTAAAATATTATACTTTAAAAAGTTATTTAAGAAATATCGATAAAAATACATTTTATTATACTTTACATTAGTTGTTTATTAAGAATTTTATTTTCGATTAATTTCGATAGTATATCCATTATATGACAATCTAACATATCTTTAATGACTTTATAATAAATTTATAAAAGTTAATATTAAAATTATAAAATATATACTTTTATTTGTAAATTTTATGTATATCAATAATAATTCTTTATAATTTGAATGTGCCTACTATCATTAATACTGTATTATTTTTTGGATGAGCCAATAAACCCAGTTTTATTTGTGCACAAATACATATGTATAATATAAATTGGATATGAATTGCCTGTAATATAATTTCTTTTTGTATTAAAAAATCAAATATCATTATATTATATATTATTATATATTATATATTATTTATAGTGAAGAAATAATGAAGAAATATCACACTGTAATAAATTTGTTGCGATATAAAAAATGTACTACTTTAATCTACATATAAGAAATGAAAGTAACAAAAACATTACGCCTTCTTATTTATTGTACATTATTTTTTTACATGTTTGACGAATTGCATGTAAAATAAATTTAATTTACTTATTCTTTTTAATTGTTAAACGGTACTACATTTGTTAAATATATTATTTATTTATTGAGTAAATATATTTCGTCAATAGTTATAGATATTGCATGTATAAATACTATACTTGTAAATAATAAAAAGTGAAATTGAAAAGATTTCATTATTCCATTGAAACATATACATTTCTTTTATAAATTATTTTATATTAAAAATTATATTTTATATTATGTAAATTAATTCTATAATTTAAACGTAATTTATGTAATAAAAATATCTTATGCTTTTACATTTAACAGTTGCATAATATAAAATTGAATTTTTTAATGTGAAAAACATAGAAAGTTTTGCCAAAGTAATGCCAAAAAGGATTATCAAAGACTATATTTCTAAAAAATTAATATTATGTATATATAAAAATTGAATATCATAGATAATAGAAAAATTGATATACCAGGATAAACCAATAATTACTCAATAATAAAATAATCAATTATTATTATTATATTGAAAAAGACTATAAGACTATAAGGAGAAATTAAGTCTTCTCTCTACTTTATCTTTCACAAAAAACGAAGAGATGAAAATCGACGAAATTCCTGTTTTGATAACTCTCCATTTCCTCCTTTCCTCGTTCTGACTCCCAATTTTTTTTATCTTTAGACCCATCATCTTTAACCAGTCGACAGCCTCGAAACCTGTTAAACGATAATAGAATCCGAATCTAATGAAATTCTCTGACATGAAAAACCATGCGAGCATAATGATGAATACATTTTTAAGATTCTGGCAGCAGTAATGTGGCGCTTTTTTCCTTTATGAAATTTCGAACCCTGATGAATAATGAATGATGGCGAAGAATGCGCGAGCAAACGCCTTTGCTCTTCGGTTACTCGCGTATCCTGATTACTAATTCATCAGAGGGGCCCATATGACCGAGGCCGGAGGCGCGCACGCGGACTACTTCCTCAGCGCATACTGACACCAAATCCCATATTCTCGATGCCCGAATGCTGTCGTCTTCGCGCAGATGCTTCACTTTCTGAGTATCTTCTCGGTTCTCTTTTTCTCTGCCCTTTTTCGGCCCCCGCGCCCCCACGCAAACCAGTTTCACAAAATGAGAGGACAACAATAACTCGTTTTCCTTTTCTCTTGACGCAAGTCTTTACGGTCACCCGGGCGTAAACGTATTAGCTGTTCTCGTGCCGATAATGCAAATGCGAATACCAATAACGGTAGAATAGCCGTACAATCACTGTGCTTTTCTTCTCATAGAACAAAAATATAAAGAAGAAATTAATACTGACTTTTTACATGTACACATTTTACTAGTTTACGTAAATAATATCTACATTACGTTTGGTCATTTTTTCTTAAAAAATATACCCTAATTACGTTTGTATTTAAATTTCCGGGCATAATTTTCTACCTAATATTCAGCTGATTAAGATAAATCCTCAGATAAATCAAAATATTTTTTGTATGTGTAACAATTATAAATAATAATAACTTTTCTAATAATAATAAGGAATATAAGTTTTTCAAATATATGATATTCATTATACTTCGAATATTATCAAATGAACTATGATTATTATGTCATAATAATAATTAGGGGTAGAACTTCTTCAAGCATATGATATTAATTATGCTTTTAATATTATCAAGTGTACTTTTATTCATTTAATTATGTTAAATATATATATATATAGATTCATAATAGACATATCATTAATTTAAATATATTTTAAGAATATTTTCTCAGTCGAAATAGATTTAAGAATATATAAGATAACGTAGTTCTAATTTACAATTAAAACAAATACGATAAATTAATTATAATATAAATAGATTATCTATAAATTTGGAATATTCCATGACTATGAAAATATGAAAAAATAGTTGAATAAAATTACATATACTTCATTATAATTAACATATAAAATAACATATATTCATTATAATGCTACTATTTAAAATTAAAGTGCATAAATTTTGGACGAATTTATATTCCATTACAAATAAAATGAATATTAAAACATTATGTAAATTAAAAAATCCACACATTTCTTCAGAAAATATCATAAATGTATTTTTATAATAATTTAAAAATAAGACTTTCTATATTTTCAAATAATATTATTTTTGTTTTATTTTCAATTATTGATTATAAATTTAACTTAATTAATCATAAATCATCTATATGACGATTTTTTTTATTCAATAGCTAACAATTTGAAAATTTAAAATATTTTATAAAAAAAATCTTCAAACTAGATCTGTATAGTTTTAAATAACGGAAATTATAGATTAATAAATTGTAAAGATATTCACGTTGATACTTATTTTTTAAAAAAGAAAGCTGTTGGTCAATAATAAATATGTTAAAGTATTTCTTGTCGAAATCGAAAGATAATCCATTAAAAATTTCAGCATACGTTTACATTTAATTCAATTAATTTATATTATGAATAATTAATTATATCCCAAGATAAATCTTTGAAAATTTTTAGTACACGTATAAATTTATATTCATTAATTTCAAATTGCTTAGTAAATGCTTAGTGAAATATAATAACACCATTTAGAATAAATGTATAATAGATCATAACTTTTAATTTTTCTTATTATTTTTCAGATAAAACTAGCTAAAATTTGTAATAGACATACTAATTATCTAAATTCGATATAATATTCTATATATATATATATATATATATAATTCCAATTGTGTAATAAGGAAATATAATACTAATATTTCTTAATAAGAAACCTTAATATTATTTATGTAAAATTCTATAATTTTTAAACATGCATTTTTAAGAGGATTGGATTAAAATTTATTAAAAATTTATATATGTTTCTAATTTTTAATATGCTGTCAATTAAAGTTTTTCATTACAATAGCTAAATGTATTATATTTGGTTATTTAATAATTTACTGTTAATTGAAAAATTAATCAAAAACCAGTTATAAATTAATTTATAACAAAGTTACATATATTATTAAAAGAATAATCAACAATAATCTTTTATAAACATAATAATAAATTTTTTTAAAAAGAATAAATATAAATATTCATTTTACAAATATTTAATATGGAATTAATTTTCTTTCTTCAATTTTCATTGCGAAAAAATTTGTACTTTTTTAAAGAAATTTATCTTATAACATCAGTATTTCATTTATTATAAGTAAATTGTTCTTAGAATGTATTTATTACAATTTAATTTTACTGTTAATAATGATTTAATAATATTAATAATTAATAATTATTATTGATTTAATATCAATAACTATTTTATATATTCTAATGTATTTATGATAATACTCGTACTTGATAGTTGTTGATAAAGATTCTGACAGATACAGAGAAAGAATATAAACGGTTCTATATCTCCACTTCGGACGGTGAAAGAAGATTACTCGCTAAGGAAAGTTGCCGGACGAGCAAGAACTTTAACAGCGATAGAATTGTCGATACTAAAAGCAGCAACAGCGGTAGCAGCAGGAGCATCAGGAGCAGCAGGACCAACAGCAGCAGCAGTAGCAGTAGTAGCAACAACAACAGCAATAGTAGCAGCAGCACCTGCACCGTAAACGAAGGAGAGCGGAAGAGAAGGTAAATTGAATAGGTGGTGGTACTCGGTATAAAAGACTGATTGTCCGGCTCTTCATCTTCGTTTCACACTCTCACCTCATCAAAGGAAGGTCTTGTGACTACTTCGTTTGTTCATCCACCTATCCACCTGGCTATTTATATTAACAAGGATTTCATATCTCACGCATCCTTTCCAAAAAAGGGTGAGTGTCTGTTACGATTTGTGATCGGAATTCGTCGAGTTGTCATGCGACTCCTACTATCACTCATTGGAAATCAGTGTGCATTAGTGTCGCGTTACAATTTACTCACATACGCGTACGCGCGCACGTACATATTTGAATGTAATATATTTTCATGGAGTTGTAGAGATTGTACGTATGTATGTAATAAACGTTCATACATATATAAATCCAGGGATATATAGTTCACACCTATACATTGTTTACGTACCCCCAACATAATTATATTCATGCATATATAAATTATATGTATCGTTAGTATGTTATATGGTGAGATTGCACAAGTGTAGATGTGAATCACAATTTCTAAAACTTTCTAAATTATGGTGTTTGATCATATTGTAACATCAGCTATGAATAAATTTTTTATATTAAAATAATACTAGTATTAATAGTTAAAAAAAAAATTATATTAAAATAATACTAGTATTAATAGTTAAAAAAAAAAATATATGTATGTATGTATGTATGTATATATATATATATATATATATATATATATATATACAAATAGTAATTTAAAAAATATGTGATTATTTGTTAATATATTAAGGTGAAAGAAAAGGCCTAGTTGTTTTTAGCTTGGTCGGTGAGTATGGAATTAGATAGTTCGAAAGAATTAATTTTTTAAGTATATTTTATAAAATCAGGATAACTAAAAGAAGTAATATGAATATTATATATTTATTTATACGATATTTTTGCAGACATTTTTATTAAAAATCATAACGATCACTTTAATAAATTTTTCTTTCATGCCTTTCATTAATTTTGAATTTTTATTTTATTATTTTTTAAATTGTATTTAAATTACCTATAACGAACGATAAAATTTCACTAATTCTAAAATAGAATCTTAATAATATTATTCTGATATTAATTTCGTGACATATTTATAAGTCATTTTTTATTATCTAATTACTTTTTTAAAGTCATGAAGTTGGTGGTGGTACTAGCACTGTTGTGCTGTATAACGATGGACGTTATGACAACGCCTCTGCCACAATCAAATTTAAAAAACTGGACAGCCCAACTCGTTGAATCAAGGCAGGCTTCAGTAGCTCCGGTTCCAGCGGTCAGTGTCGACGATGATGACGATGAAGATGATGACGTTGATCTCGATATTACTGGCGAAGATGATGATGACGATGACGATGAAGAAGAGGAAGACGACGACGACGACGATTATCTCGAAAGGTTCATCGATGAAGTACTCGGAGGTAAGGCTATCAATAATTTCTTGTTATGCTAATGAATAAATGTTTCATCAGAATATTATTATATGTACTTAAAATAATAGTCATAGGATTATTTGTAATTCTAATGAATTAAGAAAAACACTTTATATCGTTAGTGTAATATTTTATAATTAGTTAATTATTATCTACATTGTCAACTGGTATTTATTATTTATATCCTGATATGTTTAATGATACAAGGAAGTAATATAAAATTCAATAATAAGAATAAATACAATATATAATTGAATTAAGAACTGTTTCGTTTAATATGAAAATATAGATAAATAAATAATGTCATTTTAAGATTTTATATTAACGTAACGTATATAAAATATTCCGAAAATTAGGCTGAGTATAATTTATGAAATTTTATTGTTCTTTGAAAAGTTTTTATTGTTTTTCAAAATTCTTTGATTATGATTAAGATTTAGACTTAACATGTTATGCAATTGAAAACAGATTTTTGTTTAATTTCAAAATATTTATTAGAATAATCTAAAAATAGTTTTATAAACATTCGATTTCTTGAAGTATTGATTAAATATTAATGTAATTATTTATCGTAATGTAAGTAAGCGTACTGTGTAATCATAAAAATAAAAACAAATTTTTCATTAATAAAAAGTTTAATGAAATAACGTCATTTACTAACAATTAAGTACAATTAACGTAGCATTACTGAATTAATAAATTTTTTAATTGAATAAAATATTTGGTATACACTTAAACGTTTATTGAAATTATTTTGTATTTTTGAATTTATAAAAATTAGCAATACACAATAATAACTGTATAAAATAGAATTAGAGTAACTGTGAATGTAAGTAAAAGATCGTATACGTGTACAAATGCATGGCAGAAGAATAATAATATAGTCGTACAATCTAACGGTTTTTGCTCACATCGTTCATCATGTCAAATAAAATACTACAGATGCTTGAGTCAGGTCATTCATTTTTCTTTTATTTCAATGTTTCGATTTTTGATTCTTTTTATATGCACGTTTATCGTATTTTCATTATCCATCCAATGTGTCGTATGTCTCCTCCTCTTGCTAAATGCGCGAATTCCGTTATACCCGTTTCGACGTATTTCTAACGGGACACAAAGTTTTAAATAAGCAAGCCTTGCTCTCCTATCTCTTTAAATTCGAAATTAGCATAATACACTCATCCAGGAATTTCTTACATATGAGAAGGCGTGTTACATGTTTTAATAAATAATATAATAAATCTTCTCTAATTAATAAGAATTCCAAATACAACTATGTACTTATATATTATTTATTTTATACTTTTTTATGTTACAATCTTTTAAATTATTTTTATTATTTTTAATTATTCATATTGCTACAGAGCGTTCGTTTATGTGTCCGATTTAACTGGAATTTTTCTACTTAATCATATTTGACCATGACGATGCGATTTTCAAGTGCTTAAAAATAAATTGTCTACTAATTCATTTAGATTTTGTGCAAATTATAGTTCTAATGTATAATATGCAATAGTAATCGTATAAAAAATATATTTATGAATTTCATTATAAAATGTTCGATGCCGGATATTTATACTTAATATGTTAGTAGTAATAATAGACGATGAAAATTATCATATATTTCGTATATTTCATTCATTCGCTAATGGGTAACTGTTCGACTGAAAATAAAACAACTAAATATTCTAATAAAAAATACGAAAACATAAAAAAAATTAAATATCTTTTATTTTATTTAAAAGACAATTTCACATCAAAATCTGATATATTTATGTAATGTTATGTTATAGAAATCAATTATTGATATGCATTTATTTCATTGACTTGAATGGAAAATATGATAAATAGTTTGTAAATAATAAATCCAATCTGCGTGAACGAAGAATTTTAACATTTCTAGGTGAGGACGACGATGACGACGACGATGAAACAAATGCTGTAGAACCTGCAACGAGTGCTGCGGCTTCAGCAGTGCAGCCAGTAGCTGCTTCCGCCAATTCTCCCGTCATTCCTCCCAATGTCCAGGCTGATTTAAATGAGGAATTAAACTCTGCAGCTGCTACTGTTAGCGATGTTGACTCGTCCGTTGCCGACGAAACTGGATCTTATGAAGATGACGAGGCGCCAGAAGGTCAAGCTGCGACCGCTGTTCAAGACGGAGCAATTGAGGGTGCTGAGTCAGTATCAAATTCGGTGGTACTTCAGCAGGCAACCAGTGGTGCTTCATTAGCTGCCAGCGCTGCCTCATCTGCTACAGCTGACGATGATGACGACGACGACGACGACGAAGACGTAGACCTCGACATAACCGGCGATGATGATGATGATGATGATGATGACGACGAGGAGGAGGAGGAGGATGACGATGAAAGTATCGATGATGAAGACGATGACGACGATGATGATATCGATGGACTCGCAGACATTGCATCCGCAAGACGGGCTCCACGTGAGTTGAAGGGCAAGGGCAAGAAGCACCGTAGCGGCGCCTCAGCTAAGTCTGCCAAGTCCCCGCAGAAGCCTACAGCACCCGTCGCTTCCAAGCTTAACCTCCAATAAAGTGCCTTGCGTGCCCCGACACGATGAGAACGCAAGCAAACGAGTGTTCAAAGCTTTTGGACGTGATCACGCGTAATCATACCCAAGCACGATATTTAAGTCGATTGGTCGAATCGAGGCCCAAGAGCTTCTCACTGACAGCATCCGCGATATAAACTGGCGCGTTCGTCCTTCACTGTTCTTCTTCGAGTCTCTTTTCTCTGCACTTATTTATTTATTTATTTATTTATTTATTAACTTATTTATTTATTTATAATTTTTATTTATTTTTTCCCGCCCACTCGTTTTCAAGGCTATTATTTTGTCATTATTCATTTGAAGCTTGATACGAGGAAAGCTCAAGAAGAAAGAGGCAAAGGTCAACGTGCTTTCTTGGTATATTTATCCGATACATGTATCTTTCCGAGAACTACTTTCGACTCGACTCAACTTAACTCGACTGAACAGAAAAATTCCGACTCGATAATAAGAGAAAGAAATCAATTTTATATTCATGAACCCTACATATCAAAAATGCATCGTTTATTCATTAATAGTTTGCTAATTTTTTATTACTTTCATTATTATGATTATTACAATTATTATTAATATTATTATTATTATTGAGATTTCTAAAATTCTTTTATTCGATTAATACATTTACGTCAAAATTATTAAAAACGTGAATAACCGTTTCGCTTTCTTTTACAACAATTATTGAAAAAGCATTAAAATGCCTAAAGATCGGTGACGTCACGGGCCACGTTTTTTCGCGAATAAAGCATAAACGAAATCATTATTTGAAAAAATAAATGCAAAAATTCACTAATATTTTTCTGCATTTATGAATATTTTTATATCGTTTGTATATTAATTTGCGTACATGTCAAATCTGGAGTGATACGTACATGAGTAAAAGGGTAAGAGGGAGAGACAGAGAGAATGAGAAAGAGAGAGAGAGAGACCACAATATTCCAGAGAAGGAAAGAGAGAGTTTGTGGATGTACGCAGAGGAGAAAACAAGATGAATTCTCTTCTTAAGTGTTAATTAAATATTTGGTTATAAAACGTCGGATTATATAAACATATATACGCAGCTTGCATTTTAATTTTTTTCATAAATTCTCACACTTTACACACCTTATTCGACGAAAAATTAACAGAATATACAGTACGTTAATAAAACGGAATAAAAATAAAGTATAATTGTACAGAGACATTGTTCAATATTGTTCATTGATTTTTTTACAGTGACAAATATAGATATTTATTATTTTCACGTAAAAACAACAAATTTTGTGCTTGGCCTTATTTTTTCTTCACATCTCGTACATCCACTTCACAAATAATTCGGGGTGCTAGACGCAACGGTAAGGCTGTCCAAGACAATGTTTGAAAATTATTATTATAATAATTAATTTTTGGCTATTATTAATGAATAAATTCTATTTTGCGTGGCGTGCCGATCTGCCTACTATTTTAATGCTCAGCTACGTGATATTTTCTTACAATTTTTTAAAATATTTATAATAATTTTAAATATTTATATATTCGGATAATTTTTCTTTAATAATTAAAATGAAAAAAATTATTAATAATAATTTATTATATTTTCATTAATATTTGAATTGAAGCTGTAAAATACTTGAGCCATCGATTGTATGATGTCTGTACAAAGAAAAAAATAGATAATTTCGACAAATTACACATTGACGGTGGACGATTGACTGCTCACTTAATTACCTTTTATTTACATTGCATATACTGCAGAGTAAAAAATATTATAAAAAGAATAATGAAGTTATATATATAGTTATTATATATAGTTCTACTATACATATATACATACAACAATTTCTCTGGCACGTTACATTAGAGCATCGCTTCACAAGAGTTATAATTTACAATTTGTTTAGTTATCATTCATTTTATATTTGATTATTAAGTTTCATTTGTCAATTATTTACCATCATATATTAAAAGTTCATCGTTCATCTGTAAAAATAATAGTAGTTAGTAGTTTTGCACAAATGAAAAATAAAAATAATTGTTTATAGAGTATTAGTCACTGGGATAATCAGCACACGCGTCTGGCACCATATAAATTCCTTCTTTAATCCTTTTACCTATAATAATATTAATATGAACAGTTAAAATTTAGCATATAAATTAAAATAAAGGAAAGCGAACGTACAATAGCAGAATGGAAGATGACTGTATAACGAAATTGATATACATATAGTTTACTAAAATTAATTTTATTTTTGATTCAAGACTATTCTTATGTTTTATAATGCACTTTATAATGTTCTATCAGTTGTTGAATTTTTGATTAAAATTATTCATAAAAACGTAAAAAATTACTTTTAATAAATAACATTTATCGAATAAGTTTATACATCTTTATAAAATTCAATGTTTACTTTAAATAAAATATGATGTCTTCAAACTATATTTATACTAATTTTTTCCTATAGTTATATACATTAATTTTAAATGCTATGCATTTCTGTAATTAAAACATAAATTAACTGGAGCCGTACGAGATTTAAATAAAAAATTGAATGATAATATCCTGTGGTCAAAAAGCTAGTATTTAAGAAACATGATACGAATTATCGATTTCGGTATTTGTGTCATCTGTTTAACAAAAACCACTCTGCTACAATGCGCTATGTAATGTAATATTCGTAATACTGTATGAGAGAGAACAAACCTATTACCTCGAGTGTCCCTGTCCTTGAACTATACGGTAACGCGAGCTTAAAACCGATATTTTTCCCAACACTTGATAGACATTCAGAAGGAAGAAAGAGGTCAGGAGGTCAGCATCATTTAGCTCAGCTTTCACCTCGATCAACAAGCACTTCAGCTTTGTTTGAAAAAGTGGCTATGGACATCGGAATGAGGTCGATGACCGGCTGCAATTAATTCTTAGCCAATCGACCCTGACCTACTTCCACTGATTTGTACCTTTTCACTACCCAGCACTATCTTTATTTTATTATACTTATTTTTTTTACAAATCTTTAATATATTATTTTCAATTTTTTTGACATTTTTAAAGCTGTCTACACGATTTTTAACATTATTAATATGAATTTTAAAGTTGAAATTTTTTTATTTATTCAATGTATCATGCTATTTTCTTATTCCTTTGTATTTCATTTCATAGTATAATGACATATGTATGATTTCGATAATATAACAATAATATAATTTCCTTTCTGTTTGTTAAATATTTTATTTTTTAAATTAAATAACCGAAAGTATTTTTTTTGACAACTAAAAATACGGACTTTTTATTTAATATAGAGGAAAAATAGAGATATTCTTACACAAATAAGAGCAAGTCCTCTCTTTCATACAGTTGACAAGGAGTGTAGTATGATGTATAATAAGTATATGTACATGCCGTAATCACTACGTCGAGTAGGTAGGTCTGTAGGTCAAAAGGAAGTACATAGGCGTCACACATAAAATGACCCAGTTTTCCATATATCGTGGCTGTAGAGAAGGGAGGGAGTGTTAAAAACCAGTTTTACTCGTAGATACCGTTAAGCAATAAATCGCTTCTTTCTTTCAACGTAATAGTGCCGCAATGTAAATGTAGGCTTTTCTTGTGAAATGAATTGGTTGAAAAATATGTAAATACAGTTGGTAAAAGAAGAAGAAACATTAAGATATATTCAATAATAGCTGGCCCCACCAGTTCAAGACAGTTTCGAGATTAACATTTGCACATATAATTAGTCCACATAATATTGAATTATATCTGATGCTAGAAAGATTCAATTACTATAGTAACATTATTTTATCAACTTAAAGTTTTTAAATATGTCATTTACAAAAATGAAAGATGTATGTTTAATTAATTGATTATTCAATTAATTAACTTTTGTAGCATATTTAACAATGAAAATTGAATACTGGTTCAATAAAATTTTTGTTCTTACTTTCTATTTACATAAATTCCAAAATAAAAACATAAATCTGGATTTTCTATTAAACATACAGAAATTAATGTTATTTTATATTTTTATTTTATTTATAGAACAAACAAATTAGCAACAACTAAAATCCAATTTTTTTTAATTTAATTTTTGACTTATAATTAATTTTATTTAATTTTCATTATACTTTTATTACCTTAGATTTTTCATAATAAGCTTTTTACAACGTTAGTATTTTTATTTTTACAACATAATTTGAAAAAGGTCTAACATTTTTCATAGAAGAGTATTTTGATAAACATAAATTATACAACAATCTGAGCAAATGAAATAGTACTCAAAAATTATAAATAGTTTCCTCTAAAATACGAAAATATATAAGAAAATAAAACGAATATTTTCTTATAAATGCATATATTTAGAAATATTATTTAGTTTAATGAAACGATAATCGATTGGACCTTAATTTAATGTGACCTTTTTCAAACATAATAAAAAAATATTTCAAACATAATACAAAGAAAATGCATGTTGCATCCAAAAATCAAGAAAAATATTTTAGGCGCCATGATTACTGCACCAAATGCCGATGTCTCAACAATCTACGTGGCAAAATACAACCGTTTTGTTGATACTATTCTCAGTCGAATCAATAAAATTCTGAAGGACAAGTACGATCCGGTCACTGTCAAACTTACAAATCTGAATTCAAACAATAAGAATAAGAGTAAGAACAAAGATAAAACCAAAAACAAGAATAAAAACAAGAAACTGATTAGAAGAATTAATAAAAGTTTTGTGAAGAAGAATGAAGTCGTCATCCCCGAAAACAAGGACAATACCTATGATCCCATTCTAAATTTCACTGACAACTCTGAAATAATGAAGCTTCAAGAACTTACGAAGGTTTATCTTTTAATATTTATATAATATCTGATTTATTAAAATTTGTTCTTAATTATTCGTTAAAAATGGCTATAATAACACTTAGTAATAATTTTAAAATTCAGACACAAAAAAGATTCGCTTATAACACTATTTTCCAAAGAAATTAAAAATCTGCCTTAAAATTAAAAAATAGTAATTTTTTATTTATTTACACACATATTAATATATAATACTAAATAAATAAAAAATTGCTATATTTTCTTTCATTTTACATAATTTTACAGAAAATAATTGATAATTTGATTTGATATAGAATGTTATAATTCATATTATTAAAAACATATTCTCCTATTATATCAGAAAATAATTCTCAAATATAAAACAAACAAAAATTTAATTGAAATATATTTTTAAATTAAATTGTAATTAAAAATATTGCATTGGAAATTTGAATATTTTATATATTATATTTGTTTCAGGCGTCAAAGATTAATTCAACGATCAATAATTCCTTGCAAAATACAACTGCAACATCAGAACTAGTAACAAGATTAATAACCAACGAAGTTTCCGCTTCATCAAGTACCCGCGGTTCTAATAGCAATTATGGAAAGAAAAAGAATAATAAACCAAACTCTAGAATAAAGAGTGGAAATAAAAGTAAAAATCCAAATAGGAACATTTCAAGTAACAGGGTAAATTCAAACTTTATTACGAAAATAATTATTAATTTATATAGAATTTATATATAAAATAAATATTAATTCTTTTAATGTTTAAGAAACTAACAGTATATGGCAATATTTTATGATAAAAAGAAACATTATTTTGATTTAAAGCGTATAATTAATGTTAAAGAGATAAAGTGAAAAAACTCAGATTTATAATAGTGAATTAAAAATTTATAAATTGTTAAATATATAATTTTTAATATTTTTTTAAAGCATTAAATAAGTTTACCAAAGAAATAAAACATTGAAATATAATTTATTCAAATAAATAATATAAGATATAATTAACAATTTCTTAAGTAACATTAATTGAGTCCTTAGTATTATTATATTGTTTAACATGGATTTATTAATGAACATTAACAAAAACATTTGCATCCTGTTAAATAGATATATTTGTTATTTTTTCATATATTTTAATGTATAGCAAAATCGATTAAAGGTGACATTATTTAAATTACTAACTTAAGCCTTTATATAGTTGGATAAATGTATTATTTAATAAATATATCAAATCACAGATAAAAGCTTCAATTACAACGACAATGGCGTCAATGATATCGACTAAGAAACCACGATCTAAAGCCAGAGCTACGCTTTACGGACTATCATCGTTGAAACGCGCCGGTGACGTTTCTGTTAATTTGATGAGTGATCACACAACCATTAGAACCAAATTCAATCTAGGACCACTTGTACTTAAAGTAGAAAAAGAATTCGGTAGATCAACGAGAAAAGAGGTGCGCAGCGCTACTGCCACTACAGCTGAAATGTCTGGACGCTTAAGTCTTCGGGTCTATCATGGTGGTGCTGCCACACTTCATTCCATTCGTGTTCTACAACCTAAACAAGTAAAGCGCGTATTATTATTATAATTACTTATGTTTTAAATTTAACATATATATAATATAGTGATAGAGTAGAAGCAAAGAAATGCAATGTAGGCTTAGAATCTTAACATTCAAGGAATACAATGAATGTGTATGTTTTATTAATTCTGTAAATTTCGTAAAATTTAATGATTTTACTTTTCTGATACTCTAATCCTTCATGAGTGATTATTTCGAAAATATTTCCTTGAACTTATATATTATAATTTAAATAAATAATAATTATTTTATATAACAAAAGTATTTATCTGTACTAACTATTTATTTATAAGTTGAGTTTTCATAATTTAATTATAAATTATAAGAAGAATTCTTAACTATAGTATAATACTGTTTAGATGCGTATTGAAAGTGCAGACGACCACGATAGAACACGAGAATTTGTTTGGAAACGTTCGTCGCATATCGCTCATCTAGTCTCTCAAAAACTATCTTCAGCAACGCGTTCGATGTTGCAACCACCTCCTGCTCCACTGACAGACATTCTCTGAGGATAAATATTAACTGCCATTTATGCTTTCTATTGGGTAAAACAATTACAAACACAAATTATTCCAATCTGAAATTTTAGTCTCATATTCTTCATTTTGGTCTTTCAGAAAATTAAAAATAAAACTTGTCTCGTTTTATCTTATTTATAAAAACCCGCCTTTATTTGTTTCAATATTTACTTACAAATATTTTACTATTTACTTATTTATATTTAAATTATTTAATTTTTATTTTTATTTCATAATCGTATTGTATTGTTAGCTTAATCAATAATTTTGTATGCATAAACGTAGGTTCTTTCCATAGATTTGTCAAAAATTTTTCATTTTTTTTTTCTTATCTCGGCACATTACAATAACGAAATTAATATATATTATTTTGATGAATATTTATTTATACATATGCCCATGATGTGAAGTATTTAAAAAATTTCTTGTAGATTCATAAAAATCATCAAATGCAGTGTAGCCGCCTACTTTTTAATTATTTTTGTTTACACCCATTTAAATTTTCTTCTTTTAATTATATATAATATTAATCTACGAAATTGTATATGAAACAACTGTAGCGAACATTTCGCAGTAAAAAATATTTTTACTTTGTAAATAAATATAACACACACATACATATATATGTATATATATTTATTTATTTATAAATAAACTATATAATATTATTCAAATTTAAAAATTATTTGTATATACATTGTATTTTTTTTACCATACATAAAGCATCAACCTTTATTAATTACATGCAATTTTTATGGCAAAATATTCACAAAATTATTTTAAAAATATAAATTTTAAATAAAAAGAATGAAAATGTATTGCATATTAAATTTTATGTATATAAAAAATTATTATATAATCTTTATGTAAACATTTATATAAATGTTTTCATTGAATACCTTACTACTTCTAAACATATATATCTCTTCTATGAACCAATACATATTCCTTTTATACTTGTCACTTTTGGTAAATCTAATGTGAAAAAAATGTTTTTCCATAATTAAATAGTTAAATCAAGTAATTTAATAATGAAATATCAATCAACTTGATTAAATATAAGTAAATATAATACTTAAGCTGCGTTTCGATTAATAGAATCATTTTAGTTAAATTTACGATATTCACATTAGACACAATAGTTTTAATGAAAATTTTTAATCACATACAAAGCAATAAAGAGTTAATGCTTTATTCATTATAATGATACTATTATACTTAAAATGTTATGTTCGAGTCTAAAAAAATAAAAATAGTTCCGTAAGTTGTTATATTAAAAATATTTCTGATAAAAAATTTAAAAATTTTCATGATACCGATAAAATTCAAAATCAATATATCAATATATGTATAAATATATTGATAATAGAATTGATGGTAGTTGTTGAAAATACTGTTCATATGTTTAAAGCTTTTTCTACCATGCAAATAGTATTTTTTTAATTTTATCGGTATTATGAAAATGTATAATAATATAATTCAATATAATATAATATTTTTCATTTTAATATTATAATTTACTTTTGTTATTTATGAAATAAGAAACTTATTGCAATGTAAATAAATGTATATATTTTTATTACTTTGGACACCTTTCCGTGCGCTATTAAAGTTTTATTTTATCTTAAATAAAGATTTTAAATTAATAGCTTTCTTCTTGATATTTATAACCGTTTTTAGTATCATCAATGAACATACTGATTTGAGAAAAAACATGGATAAATAATAAACAAAATATATGTCCTTCATTGTGTTGTTTGCAATTACCTGTAGTGTTATCAGCTTCATTTACTATTACTAATATATAATTAACAAATAACATCAGTGAATCATATTATCTTTTAATTGAAAAATATACAAGTTAATTAAATATTAATATATTTATATTTATATTGAGAATGTATCGCCAGAAAATAAAGTGTAAGTATTTGGTAAATTAATTTAATTTATTATAATATTATTGCTACTACAATGTCATATTTTATGATAAACTTCTTTAAAACAATTTAACAGACGGAAGTTTATGTGCATCAACAAAGAAAATAAGAATCTAGAAGAATTAAATACGATCAGATAGTTTGCAATTAATTAAATGACTTTAATATAATTCCGTTTTATAGAAAGCGCCAATCATAATGTATTTTTAATAGTTAGTAACGTTTATGACAATATATAATGATACCCAAGAGTATACGCAGTTTAATTACCACTTTTCTGGGTATCAACACAGATGTAACGACTAACCATCTTGACGTCAGCCAATAAATGTTCAAATTCAAAATTATATGCTTGGAAAATATAAAATATTTTTTAAAGTTCAAATTTTACAATTTTCTAAATCATATAATATGCATATTACATATCCTCTTCTGATTTGTTTATAAAATAAAATAAATATATTTTTTATATAACTATTTTTTAAAAGTTTTTAAACATTATAAACAGATTGGTAACAAACTTTTTAACTAAATAATAGCTTCTTTAATAAATCATTAGAAAAATTCAAAGTTAATTACTTACCTTCAACAAGTTTCTAGAAATTTTTATCATGTGATACGCATGCGTGAACATTCTTATATTCCTTATATGTAAATAGATGTATAAAATGAGTATGTGCTGACTGGTATAAAACGCGCGTGCGTAACTTTCCTTGAAATCTGGATACAGTCAGTGGTTGGTTTACTGATCCTTAGATCAATCTTATGCCTTTGCATTTAATTTATATATGGTATTTCTCTTTATTACGAATCTGTCATCTAGTTCTATGTTTTTTTCAAACACAATAAATAATTATTATTTAAAGTTTCCTTCTTTATCAACTTAATATTCATGTTAATTCCACGCTTCACGCGCTGCTAGTTCATACACAGAGTTCCGATTAGAACTGAGGAGTGCCAGTAGCAGCTCATGCACATCTGTTGATTTGCGGCCGGTAATCTCTTTACTTAGTCATAGCTAAGTAACCGACAAGTAAACTTTACATTGAGAGATACTAAAGAATTCTCTGCAAGACTACCAATAAACAAAATTTTATCATATCCCCTTTTGAGTGACGCAAGCGACATTTCATATTTGTTCGGAAACGATGACGGAGTCAAAATAGCAAGAGGCGCCAAAAGGATTTGCTCCAGCTATTTTCATTGAATTAGAGCGTGAGTATGATTGATTTATCACCATATTAACAATAATGTATCTAATATTCACTACTATTTTAATGATGAAATAATTTTATATTATTAAGTAAGACTTCACCTAAGTAAATAGATTTTTGTAAACTTTACAGAGCTATTGCAGATTCTAAAACTAAGTTATGTCTTATTGCAAACATATAATTCTTTTAAATATTCATTTTAGTTGCGATCACGCATTAATGTAAAATTTATTTTTCTTTATTCTTATAGCAAAAAATACTTTATCAATTTTTTACGTTTACGTAAATTCAATGAATATTCATATTTTATTTTTTTAGTTTAATTATATTTCTTTTAAATATTATATACTTATTCGTTTATACAAAATTTTTTATAAAAATTCAATGTTAATTTTTAAATTAATAAATTTCAATCCCTATAATATATAGGATTAATAATTTTTTGTAAAAATAACAAATAAAAAACATTTTTTTTTACTTTATTATATCAAGCGATAATTGTCATATTGTTCATGTTTGGACGTAACTTTTAATGTACCATAATAAATTTTTCTAACTTAATTATAATCCATGAAATTTCATGTGGATATGTATTGCGATTTTTAAAATATGAATTATTTGAAGAAAGGAAAAGAAAAATTAGCATACTTTTAAAATATGATGTTTTTTAGTATATCAATTAAGTAATAGCGATTAATATAGAAATAAAATAATTTTTTCTTCTTATTAAAAAATTAATTTTTAAGAAATAATACTTCTTTTGTGTAATTGACTACTTTTTCAGAAAGGCGCAATTTCTATTTACTTCTATAAGCTGTTTATTAGTGAAACATTTAATTTAATAAATATGACTAATTAGAAATTATCTTTTTTATTTCGAGTTATTGTCTTTATTAATTAAAGTATTTTTGTGCAGTGGTAAAAATGGCATACTGATTAAAGGCTATTATTTCTAGAGAAAAATATGTGAAAAAATTATGTTAAATTACTATTTTCAATATTGTTAAGAGTATAACAATATATTAACTTATAAATAAAAAAAAATGAATATTCAATTTCGATCAGCAAAGCAGCAAAGCAGTCTAAATTCTTAAGTTAAATATGTCATAAAAAATGTTTACATATTAGTGTGCTTTAATATTTAAGTCAACATTTAAAAAAAAGCAAAATACCAGTATAAAATAGGTATACATAACAACGGATAATTTTATAACGTAGAAATATATTATATTATTTAATTTATTAATTTATTTATATATTTTATTATTATAACTTTATTTACAAGTTTTCAATTATTTGACAATATTCGCTAGAAAAAATATGATGCATAAATATAATACAAATTTACATTTAAAAAATTTGGTATACTATCTATAGTTATAATTTTTACTGAAAAGAATATTCAATTAATTTATTTAACTGATAATAATTTATACGGCTATGTATAATCATAAGAAATAACGTGTTCTTGCACGACGTGAATTTTACATTATTATTAAATATTGTAAATTATATCAAGAAATTGAAATAATTAATATAGTTGTAACCTATATTGTCTTGATATTAACTTGAATTTATATGTGAATAATGCATTATGATAATAAGGTTCGTATACAAATTTCAGACAGGTGCATATTGAAAGATGTTTACATATCCAAATATGAAGATTTTATATACTATACCAAATAAAGTATAAACATATGATCATAATATACCATCCATATTTATCTCAGTAATTATAACTTTAAAATCATTTTAAAAAATATTTTCCTTATCCGCATTCAAACATTATCAATTAAAAAAATTATTAAGGTTTTTATAATTTTTATTTTATATCATTGTAATATTTGCATTAAATTTATCAAATTCTCTTACTTCTAAAGTTTTTATCATTTTTATTAAAATTTTTTTCTGATTTCTATATTAATTACAATAATTTTACATTAATAATAACGTATATTTCATACATACTGCTCCAATAACGTATAAATAAAAAATCTATATTTACTATGAACAATTCCAATATAAATTAATATAATATTTCACATAACACACATTATACTTTATTCATTTATAGATTGTATTTAATTTATTATATTAAATTCTTGATTAAATATAATATTATTTCTGTATAATATTTATTTATTAAAAGCAATTTTTATCTATAAATATTTTATAGCTTTTTAATAATAAATTGGAACACTATAATGATTTTGAATATTATATCTGAATTATTTTAGAATGTTCTTATACTCACTTAAATAAGTATAAATAATATGGACAATCATCAATTTCTTCAATGTTTCACACTTTATATAATTTAAATAATATTTATTTATAAAAATATTTATCTATGTTTTATCTTCTAATGAATTGTAAAAAATAAACATGTTAAGTGGATATTTTAATTAAATTCCCATTAGTTATTGTTTTGCTATTTTTAATAATTTTTGCTTATACCATAAGTTTTCTTTAAAATTGTAAAGAAAAAATAATTGTTACTTACGTGTTATTATATAACACTCATTTGATTCTATTAATACAAATTCATTATACGATAACATAAATGAACATTATTAATAACATTATCAATTTTTTAAATTATTTAAAATAAATAATTTAAAATTGTAAAAAAAGAATATGTGATACTTATGTGTTATTATATAGCACTAATATATTTTTATTAATACAAATTTTTTATACGATATCATAAATTATATTTAATAGTAACATTATCAATTTTAAATAAATGAATTTATGTAATATAAAAATTAATTTAATTGAATTGCTTTCTAATAAACGGAACTTCAGAATATATTTAAAGTACATATATTAATTGTAAAAGAATCATTATTTCATAAAAACATTATTTTAGAAATTAAATAAATAACTTATGATTTTAATAGGGTTGTTTAATCTAATATTTACAACAGAAAAAATGTAACGCCTGAATATTTATGAATATAATTAAAAAGATGTCGGTAGTTACGCAATTTTAATTGATAGGTGGTGATAGCTTTTTTTGTGTGTAGTTTTTATTACTTTTAAGATTCTTATATACATATATGTATACACTTTAATAACTACTACTACTATTGCAACACTAACATTCATATAAAATTTCTAAGCATATTTTTATTCTTTGGCATATAAAAATATTCTTTTAATGACTTTAAAGTGAATTATCAATACAAGTTTTATCAATCCTGTGTAACATTTTAAACAGATTCGCTAAAACACTAAAAAATTGGATACAAATTTCAACTAATTTTATCTTCTTATTTTAATAAAAAATATACTTTAGTATTAAAGTATTAGCTATATTCATAATAGTAATTGATTATAATGAAAAACAAAAGAAAAATTACTATTAAAGAAATGTTTGTGTTAAGAAGAAGTGTATTTTGTAAATTTTATCAAAAACATACGAGACGTAATTTACTTTAAAAACAAATCTAGTTTTTAAAGATATTATTAATGATACAAAAATTATTGTACTTAATAATAATAACACCAAAAAGAGAATATATATTAATATCTAAATTTTTCATATTCTGTATTATTGAATCTACAGAATAAAATTATTATCTGCAAAAATATTTGAAATTCAAAATCATGCGAATGAAAAAAGTACATTGTCATAGCTTATATGTAATTTATTATTATATAATACTTAATAAAATCATTATTAAAAACTTCGATATAAAAATTAAAAATTTAAAGAAATCAATAGCAATAAAAAGGACCATTTATTAGTAAATTTGTTGAATAATTTGATACTACGGTATCTAAAACACATTGAACAAAAAGAATAAAAATTGTTTGTCCTTTATTAAGGATAAAATATCAGATGCCGAAAGTCAACCTTTTATTTTATAATGCAAAGTTGAACCTTTTTTTTTAATGTCAAATTTGATTTATTAATTAAGAAATCATATTAGTTATTCAGATTAAATAAATAATAGATTTCGGATTATTTTAATCACTTTTACGAAAGCGAATGTATATGTATGTGAATATAAAATATAAGATAATTATAACGATTACTATATATGATATCATATTATATATATGTTAGATATATATTATGGTTAAATAATAGATTATAAGTAAAAAGAAGTAATCAATTGGAGAATAATAATTATTCTTAATTTTTAATCATAAGTTAAAAAAGTCCTTCGTATCGGTTGCTTTTAATCGGAGAGACCGACCTTTGTTTTTGTCATGTATATAATGTAAGTAGAAGTATCAGATTCCACGCTACATTTATGGTATGAAAATGATTTGAATAAAGAAATCTGTTGTGATTGATAACTCATTTAATAATGCATTCTTCACGAAAATGCATATCCTTAATATATTAAAATGAATTAACAAAATTAATTGAATATATTAATTTCAATTAAAACCACTAGTATTCCTTCTCCTGCCATTTGAAAAAGTTAACAGAAAATCGTTGATTACATAACATTATCTTACTACTACAATAATTTTATTATTCCATTCAGTCATATTAAAAATTAATATTAATATTTCAAATTTATAAAATTCAATTTGCTTAAAATGCTTTATATACTTAATAAATTAAGATAAACTTATTTAGTCCAATACATTATTTAATCAAAATTTATTGCAATAATAAAATACTTTTATCGGAAATGAAATGTTAATTTAATATTCATAATTTTGTGTGAGTGTATACATGATATGAATACTAATTAAAATAACCAATCGTTATAATATTCTACAGATACTTTCCTTTATTATTATATACAATTAATTACTTAATAAACATTTATAATTTAGTAACAACATTACAATAATTTGTTAAATGCAAAATTTGTTATTTAAAATTCAATGTAAGGAGGAAATAATGAAAATATTTTTTAATTATAAGAAATGTAATTCAATACAGAAAATGTATTATTATAAACTAATGTTATTTGACAATATAAATTCACGCGTTATAATAATTATGATTATTATAAAAATATAAATATTTAAAAAGCTATAAACTATTTATTGGGAATTTCAGGTTGAGCAAAAGCAGATATATACATAAAATTAAGTTACGAATCGAATACCATAAAAATACAAAATGGTATTTTTAACAAAACTTATGAGCTTAAATCTATTAAAAACGGCCTCATTAGCAGTGCGAGCATTTTCTACCAAAGCAAAGTTGTTTCCTCGAGAGGATAGCACTACAAAGCAGATTGTTCTTAAATACTTAGATGGTAAAGACAATGGAATCGCTGTTCTCGGACTCAATCGACCGGAAGCACGGAATGCCCTCGGCAGAAGTCTCGTGAGACAATTAACGGAAGCTATATCTACCATTCAACAGGACAAAAAAATCCGCGTACTTATACTTCGGAGTTTTGTACCTGACGTTTTTTGCGCGGGTGCAGATTTACACGAGCGCAGTAAAATGGATTCCCAGGAAGTAGCGAACTTCGTGAACTCACTACGAAATTTAATGAATGACCTTTCTGCCCTTTCCGCTCCCGTTATCTCGGCTTTAGATGGAATCGCGTTTGGCGGAGGATTGGAAATGGCACTTGCCAGTGATATTAGAACAACTACAGATGAGACAAAAATGGGTCTCGTTGAAACAAAATTGGCTATTATACCGGGAGCTGGCGGTACGCAACGATTACCCAGGATTATAGGTCCAGCAATGGCTAAGGAACTCATTTATACAGCAAGAATTTTAAATGGTATAGAAGCTCAAAAAATAGGACTAGTTAATCGCGTTGTTTCTCAAAATAAACAAGCTGATGCTGCCTATCAGTCAGCACTTACGATTGCCAGAGAGATTTTGCCGAATGGACCCATTGGTGTCAAGTGAGTATGTACCTAATAACGATGTCAGTCAAAAAAATCATTTTTAGTATTTTTTTATATTGATTATTTATTATCATTTATATTCGTATATACTTATTAATTTTATGTAAATGATTTTTTTTATTTAAATTGATTGTCCGTAAATTTTTTAGTTAATCTGCATTTATCATAGCTAACATACTAAAACAAAACTTTTATTAATAATGGTTAACATGATATAAAAGTTCCATTTCAAAATTAATACTGCATAGCATAATTAATAAATTTTTCCTAAATTATACTATAACAAACGTGAAACTGCATATTTAAACACTATTTTTTAAATGATGATTTATGTATTATGTAATATTTAAAATATTTAATAAAATAAATAAGATAAAATATTTGAATATTAGAAAATTATTAGTTAATGAAGTGAGCCTGTACTATTGATATGAATTTTGCACGTAGCAATTAGCAATTGAAGTTAAATTATCTTTAACTGATAGAAAAGAATATTACGGTATTATATAACTTTTTTCGTAAATAAAATTTTTTTAAGAAAATATCAATTGAAAATAAAAGAATGTATATTACAAGTAAAATTTTTCATTTTCATAACAAAACGTCTCACTTTAGGAAAATATAACTAAAACATTTCGAAATTTCGAAGAGAAGCAAATTTATACGTAAATAAACGTAATCTTTCGATCTTGACTAAAATTTTATATTAAAAAAAAATTAACAAATTTTCGCATATTCAGTTAAATATTTATTGATAAATTTTTAATATCGCTTTTAAAAATGAATTTATTTTTAAAATTATATAAAATTTTCTGTCATTGTCTCTACAATCCTACAGTAATATGTTCTGTTAAATATTCAATTACTAAATTTGTCATTTATTTAAAAAGATTTTTGTTCATATCATACAGAGATTTTTTTACTTAATTTTCAATGGAATTAATGTTAAAGAATTTTTCAATTATATTATATAATTGCTTTATTATATTTTCAATTAATTTTCTTATTGGTCAAAAGTAGACTTTAAACAGTTTTATTTAAAAATTTCATTTTCTACAAAAATGTTTAAACTAAGTTCAATTTTATTTTATTTGCAATAATTTATTTCAAGTATAATACTTTATTAATTTTATTACAATTTTATATTAAATATAGAATATTTGAATTAAAAAAAATACTCTTATTATCACATTATCAATGATGGATTAAAATTATATTAAAGATGATAATTTGAAGATTTTTATTGTTCACAATAATATAATCAATTTAATTTAATACGAAATGCAATGAATATATTTTCAATATTTTTAAATATATTCTGATTCATTTTGTACAATATTTAATTATTTAATTTAAGTTAAATAAATATCGTCAAATTTTTTATTATCATATATAATATTCTATTATTTATAATTCATTTGATGAAAGATATTTTACTTCAATCTTTTAATAATAATTTATTTATAGATTAGCAAAGGTAGCAATTTCAAAAGGAATTGAAGTATCAATAGAGAAAGGTATGGAAATTGAGAAACAGTGTTATTCTCAATTGATAGATACGGAAGATAGAATTGAGGGATTGGCTGCGTTTGCTTCGAAACGCGTACCTGTTTACAGAGGGCTGTGAATCAAAATATTCAATATGTGACATTACATGTGTATATTTTCTAAATGGTTAAGTTTTTCTGTAATGTTAGTAAAATAAGTTTTATTGAAATAGAATATATAAATTTATACAATATCAACTATACAAATTTCAGAGATATTAATATTTAGAAGTAAATAGAGATATTTAAATGTTTGTTATATAAAATTTTATAAATAAATGTTATTTCTTTTTTTTTATATTTTAAAAAAATATTTTTATACATATTTTTATATCCGTATCTCAAATATTAGTTGTTTTGATGCGTTATGTTTAAATGAAGTTTATGTTATAATGTAAATGATATCATTGTTTATTTTGTTTTGTTATTATATTAAACAATAATTTACATAATACATTAATTTTCTTTTTTACTTATTACATTTATTTAGATTAATTTTATTGCCTTTTTACACATACAATATAATATATATTAACATATTTTATATTAAATATTAATTTCTTATTTATAAAATAACTCAATTTACATTGCAAAATACTATTAAAATATTATTTTTTATAAAAAATAAAAATATCTAATATTTTCTTTCTAATATTATGTATACTACAGTGCAAACCATGTCATCAAAATATGTGATTAATAATTAATAAAATATTTTATTATACACATTGCATTTGAAAATTTGCTTTATCTTTGCATTTTTTTTTCATTAATCAAATTAATTAATATTTTAAGTTGTCTCAAAGTATCTGCTGGGCCTGTTACTCGATGACCTATTGTTAAGTCACTCTCATAAATTTCATAGTCATTACCACCTATTTTTGTTTTATCTCCAAAAAAATGAATTTCATCATATCCTTCAATGTGACGCAGGCAGTATGTTTTATCCCACCCATTTGGAAAAACATCGAATGAAATTTCTCCACCTATAATGAAATAATTGATTATAGATTAATTTACAGTATGTAGATAAATATTTAATATCCAGTTGGTATTTAATTTTACATTATATATGAAATAAGTATTGAAATAAATTGCCTCAGATTTTTCTACTATAAAATTGATGAGCTTTTCAACAAAAAATTTATTAAAATGTTTAAGTAAGTAAAATTTATTTATACAAAAACAACAAATGATATTTATGGAAATAAATACTTAAGGTAAAAGTGTGATTTTTTATTACCTATGCTATATGTTAGTAGTAAATGGGGAAACTCTTTTTTTATTGCTTGAATGAATTTTTCACGAATTTGATTTTCTGTGTCATATTTATTAAATCTTTTGCGTTCTTCTTTTGTACAATTACGCCCTACAGGAGAAATATTTAACATCCCTGTTCTGAATTCAATGAAGGTACCTCGTTTAAATGGTAGTTTCAATTCAGATATATAACAAAGAATAAAGTTTATAAAATCTTGTAATTTCTCCTCACCAATTACGCTTTGAATAGTCTATAGAAATATTATATATAAAATTAAAATTTTACTGTTTTGTCATTATAAATATTTACCTCTGATTGCAATTTTTGATTATTTTTATAAGCTACTAATCCATTTTCAGCAAAAATATAGTTATATTTTTTAAATAAATTTTCTTGGTTCAATTGACATTTAATTTTATTAATATCTGAACCACCAACTATAGCAATATCAACTTGCTTTTTCAATATATCTTGAATATATTTATCTAGATTAACATTGATTTCCTAGAAAATTGAGAGATTGCATATGAAACATGTAAATATACAGTTTAGAAAATTTTATATTTTTATTATCACCTGTTGAGGTTCTGTTAGTGTACCATCAACATCAAACAAACATATTATTTTTGACATGTCCCTGTTAAAATTTTATAACCTATATAAGAATTATATCTTATTGTTTATCGAATTTAATAAATTTGTTATACGAAGCATGTAATTATGTTGAATGCGAAAGTTAAATAAAATGCTATTTCTAATATTACAAAAAAGTTAATTTTATCTAGATATACGATTAATTTAATATTTGTATTAACATTTATAATACATTGGTATATAAATATTTTAATAGCAAATTAAAATATTATTATTGCACCACCATGCAATGATATTATGTTAAAACTAATATTAATGTATAATTATGAACAATGACCGATATAGCCAGTTACATTTCAAGATACATTCGTAAGGTCATTTAGTGTTTACAGTTTTAATATGTAAACGTAGTGGAATAAACTCTTTGCAGAATCGATTGAAAGTTGGCCAACATGAATTTTAATCAAAGAAAAGAGGGTGATCTATACGAGAAATAAATGAACGTAATAACTACAGATAACATTCCAATATTAAATGTATTTTATTCATATATTGCAAAAAATGGTAAAGCTGAATATAAAACGGCGCATGAAAGGGATAGCAGAGTGACACTTACTAATGTAATTCGAAAAAAGAAAGTAACGGAGAAACTGCTTGCACTGTCAAATAAAGAAAGTTCGGAAAACGCTACGTCAGCATTCAACAGAGTTTACGTCTAATAGTGCAAGCGTAGACTCAAAGTAATTATTAAAATTAAGTACCGTATTGGACTGAGGAGTGAAGAGTGAAGAGTGCCGTCGTTACCAAGAAGTTTGAAGTCTACATATCTTTGCGAAAAAACTTAAGAAAATATTACATTGCGCCGGCGCACAGTCAAACATATTACTGTCGTCATATATATATATATATATATATATATATCGTGTATTTTTTTAAATCACTAAAATAATGCACCGAAAAATACATTATTATGAATTGCTACGTATTTTTCTGCTCTTGTCAATTGTTGTAAATGTAAGAAGCAGTGATTTCAAACCATCAAAAAATGCAATTTTATTTTTAGGTTTGTTTTATTATGTTATATTATGTTTTCTAATATGCATGTATGGTCACATAATCCCGTTTGATATGGTCGTTATAAATGACAATCCGAACCTTCTCCAAAGAAGATTTACAAAAATTTAATCTTTTAGCGGACGATGCGGGTTTTGAAATGAGATCGTATCTAAACAAAATCTGCCAAACTCCAAATCTAGATGCATTGGCTAAGAATAGTTTGATATTTAATAATGCATATACATCTGTTAGTAGCTGTTCCCCAAGGTAAGCAACTATCTCTTATTTAAAATGTAATTTGTAGATATTCGACATTCACTTTTCCATATTGTAAAGATATTTAAACAGATGTAAAGAATTTCATGAAGTATTACTTGCTTACATTTTAATTCATAATAAATGTGAAGAAATTATATTACATATATTTGCTAGAAAATGTTATAACTTTATATTTAAAAATAAAATGGAAACGTTTTATTCCATAAAACCAGTTATATTGATTCTTTAATATACGGTACTTGTTCGAATGAACTGTGCAATCTCATTTAGCATGAAATTATTACATATATGCACACAAATATGAAGTCATCAATAAATAATGTAAATACCAAGTAGTTCTAAGAATTCAGCAAATCTAAAATTATAGTTTTTGTCAAAATAATATTTCGAATAATATTACCTATTATGATTTTAATCAATACTGTTCACATTTTAAATATTTCAAGAATGTACGGAAAACTATAACTATACAATCAAGTAGGATTACGTAACTGATTTCTAAGTGAATAATAATTATTTATTTCAATTCCATTAAAAAATATAATCAGTAATAAATTTAATTTATTATTATATTTTATTTGCGAAACTGTGAAATATGAAAAAAAACAACTAATGTAGCTTTTAATATTTCGTCATTTTACAAATATAAAAATTAAAATATATATTTAGCTATATAAATGTATGAATTGATAAATTCTATTTGATCTAAATGGTGTTTTAATTATTACGAAATTTTGCTAATTCTTTAGTGATATATGTGAGAACTCTAAATGAATAACAATAATAAAATATCCTGCTTTAATTGAATTATTTATTTAAAATACATAAAATTAAAGATGAAATTTGATGATGAATTGTCCAGTATTTAGTACCATTCCAATTAAATGATCGTTTGAATTTCAAATTTATATTAGACATGCAACTCATGAAATTACTTTGTAATTGTACGATAAACATTGTACAATTACAACTTTTAAAAATCGTTCTATTTAAGAATGATTTTATTTCATAAATTTAATTAACAATAAATAATTCTTTTATTTTATATTAATTGCGTAAAGCTACTTGGTTATATCAATTGATTTTTATTTATTATTAATGTTCACTAATTTCAATAATATCACTACGACTATTTTTCATAAATTTATTACTATTTATGTACTTAATAATATTTCTTAATATATATATTTGTTCTAAATTTAATAGTAAATTGATTAGTTTTTAAAAGTAAATAAGGTGTCTCTTAAAAATGTGAAAAATTACAAGATTTATTGAAAAATACAGTTAAATATAAAAAAATATCTCACAATTGTTTAATAAAAGAAAATTATACCTACTTTATTTTAATATAATTTTCTGTATTTAGTTAAATTAGTCAATGCACATACAATAAATTATATGTATATATATAATTAAGTATAATAATAGACTATATATACCACATGTCAATAAATATGATAATTTACCATATAGATATATACACATTACAGTTATGATATGGAATATAAGCTGACAACTTTATTACTGAAATTGTTTATAAGAATGAAAATTATATTAGTATATAAATTAAAATAATTTTATGTTTAAATATGTATACAATTTAAGTATATGAATATAAAATATTCCAAACCTAATTGTTCATTGCAAGTGATGATTATATAAAGAATTATATGATCACGTCTTAAATTAATTTTATTATTTGAATATATTTCATTTATTGCATCAATAATTATTTATATCTTAATTTATACAATAAATTATAACAGTGAGTTTTATAATTTTTTAATTAATATTATAAAAATTTAGAAATTTATATTATACTTGTATTAAAATTTACGTTGCATATTTATGCTTTTTAAAAAGTTTAATAATATTATTATTTATAAATATTCTATACAATTATATATATTATAAAAACTTTACGATACAATTACGATAGTCGTGCATCTTTATTAACTGGACAACCAAGTCACCAGAATGGCATGTATGGTCTTCATCATGGAATTCATCATTTTAACTCTTTCGATAATGTTCAAAGCTTGCCAAAATTATTGAAAGAAAAAAATATTCGTACAGGTAAAAATGAGCGTTAATATTTGTTCCCACTAATTTTTTTTATGTTCAATAAATACATACACATATATATAATACATACACATATATATATATATAATATATATATATATATATATATATATATATATATATATATTTATTTATTTATATATAGTAATTTTCTATAATATAGTTTTTTCAAAATAACACGGATATTTATAGAAAGATTTGTTTGAAGCAATAAACAATACATTTCTAATTTTTTTTACTTAATATGCCTTAGTAATATTTAAAATAACTATAATTACTGTATATTTTACAAAATAATTATCATATTCTTTAAATCCCTAATGTAATTGATAATTAGATTGTTGTAGTGTCACAGTTAAATATATCAGCTATGACGGAATTGTATATAATATATTTGAAGACCATTTCAATTAAAATTAATAAACAAGTTTATGCAACAGGTATTATTGGTAAAAAACATATTGGTCCAAGTGAAGTTTATCCATTTGATTTTTCTTATACTGAAGAAAATGAATCTTCCCTTCAAATTGGTCGTAATATTACTAGGATTAAATTATTGGCTCGTGAATTCCTTTCTCAGAATAAAAATCAGTAAGTACTTAAATTATTTAGTATATTATTTGTTTTATTTATTAAGTCAAAATAAAATTATATTGCTAATCAGCATGTTTAAACAATGAATTTATAATTTTAAAACATTTCATATTTAAATTGTAACATAGAATTAACAGTGTAGATTTTATATTTTTAATTTATTTAACAGTTCACAAAATGTATTTACAAGTTTTTTGAAAGCAAAACATAGTTATAAAATGTGTTTATATTTTTTTAAATCAATCATATTCATAATTGAAAGTAATTTAATGTTTTTGGAGGCCCTTTTTTCTGTACATTGCTTTCCACGACCCTCATCGATGCGGACACAGTAATCCAGAATATGGTAGCTTTTGCGAGAATTTCGGCAACGGAAATCCTGGAATGGGAACCATCCCTGATTGGAATCCTATTTATTATCAGTGGGAGCAAATAAAATTACCTTATCATGTACAGGATACCGAACCTGCAAGAAGAGACATTGCAGCACAATATACAACAATGTCGCGATTAGATCAAGGTAATTAATTTATGTTATAATTAACAAAAATAAACTCATAAGAGGATTAGTTATTATGATAATAATTTATAATCATTTATAGGCATTGGTTTGATATTGAAAGAATTAGATAATGCTGGATTAACAAATGACACCTTAATTATTTACACATCTGATAATGGAATACCTTATACAAGTGGAAGAACAAATCTTTATGATCCTGGTAAATTAATTTGAATAATTAAAATAATATGAGTAATAAGAAAATTATTGACAGGTATGGCTGAACCTATGATTATATCATCGCCATATCACAAGAGAAGGCATAATGAGGTTACTTACAGCATGACTTCTCTCTTGGACATTGTACCAACATTATTAGATTGGTTTGATCTCATTCATGACAGCAAAGTTAACAACTATATTTCCACTCTTACTGGGAAGTCATTGTTACCGTTATTAGAAACTGGTAATTTGTATAAATAAACTAACTACATTAACCAAATTGTAAATAAAGCATTTATTTTTAGAGCCGATTGAAAATAATTTAACAGCAATTTTTGCGAGTCAAATCAGTCATGAAATAACTATGTACTATCCCATGAGAGCTATAAGAACTAAAAAATTCAAGCTTATTCATAACTTGAATTATAAAATGCCTTTCCCAATTGACCAAGATTTTTATATTTCTCAAACATTCCAAGTACAATATTTAAGCGATTACAAATAAAAATTTTAATTTATTTAATAATGTAACAAGTTATACTATTTTGATAGGATTTATTAAATAGAACCCGTGCAAACCAATCACTTAGATGGTATAAAAATAGTTTGAAAGCATATTACTATAGACCGGAATGGGAATTATACAATTTAAAACAAGACCCAGAAGAATTAAATAATATTATTACAAAAAAATCTATGAAGGTAAATATAAATCATTATTTTAATATTGGTACAATTAATTATGAAATTCATCAAATTTTATTTGATAGTCAATATTTGACGAATTGCGTAACAAACTCTTAGATTGGCAAAAGAGAACAAAAGATCCATGGTTATGTTCACCTAATGGTGTATTAGAACCAATTGAAGAAGATAAAAATAATTTTAAATGTATGAATCTTGAAAATTTAATTTAATTTCTTACTTATTTAACAAATCAAGTATGATGTCAATAACTATCATAAAATATATCTTTATAATTTAATAAATAATAATTTTTATATAAATAAATAATTTTATAAATCAATTTTTATAAGAAATAATTTGTATATAAGTATTTTTTAAATATATCGAATAGCATATATTACTTATTCATTTTTGTACCAACCTGAATTTAAGAAAGAACTATACTGGACTGTGTAATATTTTTATTATTATTTTTGTATTGACTAAATAAAGCTTTATTTAATTGATGAATATATATAGAAGACTTATTTACAGACCTTTCAACTTTTATCATTTCTGTTGATATTTTATTCAGCTGCAATGCATGAAACATAAAAAGGTTTAATACAATATTGAGTTTCTCAATCAAAAATATATTGAACTTTCATACTTACAAACTGTTTGTAACCAAGGTATCTATTATATCTTAATTTATTATCATAAATCTGTTTGATCTGAACCATAAAAATCAAACAAAATGCTAATAAACTTAATAAATAAAGCGTATTTACATTCTGTATATTGCGTATAAACATAATATAATATACTTTTTGTAAATTGTAAAAAGCAAAAAAGTATTTGTGAATATTACGGTATCATTTGTTGTAATTTTAAGAAAATTATCGAATAAATCATAATACACATATGACTATTTTTTAATCCGAAGTTATTTTAAAATTGTAAATTTAGGTGTGTGCATGTGGGTGACGGCAGTATACTCAGTAATGGAATTCATTAAACTTGTGAAATTAAATTCAACATTAGGTAATAATTATTGGATAACTAAAGAAAGACGAGATTGTTTTATGTATACTATATGTAAAGAACGTTTGAAACATTAGTTGCAAAACATTTTTGCTCAATTCGATAGCACTAACAATTCCTGCGACATTAAATATATGTTCACAAAGTATTTATCGGTAGAAAACTTAAATTTGTATAAAGTAAAAACTACTAATATAATTTCTGCTCAATAACAAAACTTACATTTTGTCCTTTCAGTAAACTTAACCAGACATTACTTACAATTATAATACAAATTTTACCAGATTTATATACAAAATGCTGTAAAAAGTTGTATCACACGTAATACATGAAATTTAGCACATCGAATACTGTTATTTATTCGTAATTTATGGATACAGAGAATTAATCCATTTTCCACATGCGCAATGGACACCAAGGTCATTGATTCATAATGGCGCTTTTAATTTAAAATCAATATGTTTGAAATAGAATCGTTAACATGATATTTAAAGAAGAAATTACGATACCGCAGTGTTCAAGATCTTTTATTTTTAATAAGATAATTGCAGTAATAAATATTCGAACTAAAATCTATCAAACTTAATCATGACTTAAATTTTTTACTGATATGATGATAATATAATGATATTAATATGTTAAGAATTTAAAATTTTGAAAAGCAATAAAATATAAGCGAGTTTTTTTTTTTAAATGGTTTTAATTCAATCAAAATAAATGCACTTTAAAACTGGGTAAAAAAAAATTAATTCTAAATTTGTTATTTACAATTATCTATATAATTTAGATGTTTAAAATATCGTTCAACTTTGTTCTATATTAAATAGAAAATATTGGTATTATCGCAATGATTAGAAAGTTTTTATTATCATTTTAATAAATATCTTCAACTTTAGTATACTATTATTATTTGTTATGAACATATTTCAAACGTAATTAATTAGAATTTCATTATTTAAATAACAAGTATTGCCGCTGTAAAAATCATGTTTCTTTTTAAGTACTCGCACTATAAGTATCCGATGATAATAGTGTTTTCGAATATTACCACTACGGAATAATATAGTTCAATTAATTTAATATAATTCATCATCCTCTAATTAAGGGCATCAATAAATGAAACGAAATTTGCATTAATCGGACGTAATAGAATCGAGTAAATAAGATGTGTTCGGGATTGAAGCAATTTCCAAGACAGTTGACTATCTAGCTCTCAAGCTTCTATAAACACTTGGGCACAAGAATTTTTCGTATACTTGTGATGTTTTGGTTTCAAATAGCATACAATGTTTATATGGTCTTTCAGTTCTAACGTCGCTTGGAATTCTCCAAATTTCTTAAGCGTTGTATTTTCTTATAATTCTCGAAATTCTAGAATTTTTTGTCTGCGCCTCGTGTAAGATTCCAGTATAACAGTAACAAAGCATCGTTGTTGCAAGTTAAGTAATCTGCCGCGTTGATACATAAGGCAATCACGCGCCGAGTCTCACTCTCTCAGTGAATACGCCATGGAACGGATCACGGTCTGTCGTAGCAGGACCGCCATGGAACAGTCGGTATCTCCCAGCAGAGCCGTCAGGGAACGAACGAGCTTTCAGTTTTCGCGTGTGTACTCAACAGGCGCCATAGCCACCAACTTTAATCCAAGGTTTTTTCAGAAGCCAGATCACCGAGCATACTTCAAGGATCAAGGCCGCCTCGAAAGGTACACGCAACATCATACTAATTAATACAACTGTTAGTGCTCCAAGCGCACAAAGCACACACCGGCAAGGAGAAGCCGCTCATGCCCCAAACACGAAGCAGTGGCAGACTTACCACGTGGCATTATTCGAAGAAGTGGTAAGAGCTTTACAATCTCTCACCTCTTAGGGTAATCTACCACCAAGCACACTACATAACGAGTGTCAGGAAACTGACAACTTCCTACTTCCGTGTGCAGTGCATGCTAACACCAAGTGTCAACCGCCACTGAACTCCAAACGTTCACGAATTTAATTAACAACAAGAATTATTCCTGTATTTGGAAATTAAACGGAATAAACAGTTCAATAAACAGATGCGTTAAACATTGAATTAATCCACTTGCCCGCACATTTTTCCTACATAACACTCGTGATCCTTTAGTTAATTCTAAACAGAATGAATAAAAGAAAATAAAATAATACTTCAGTGTATGCATAAATGCAACACTTATAAATAAAATCTGGCAATTTGAATCTGCATTCGTGATTTAAACTTAAAAATAATAAATTAATAACAAAATAAACAAAAAACAGTATTCTGGTTCAATAGATTTGAATAATTATAAGGAAGTAAAAGTCTTAATGCGCTCCGAACGTGAGGGAAATAATCAACTTTCAAAAATGTTTACAGAGAATCAAAATATTAATCAAATTACATTTTTAACATCCCCCCCCCCAAACGTGGATGGCAACGTAACGAAAAATAATTAACACAAATCGTGCACTTTAAATTATTAACAAGATGATTACAAATAAAATATTTTGCTAATAATTAAAATAAATACATATTCTAATAAATTTATACGTTTTATTTTATTATATAAATTAATATAACAATTAAAGGCAAAGATTTTTAAATAAAGAATTTTAATTTTAATACATTAATTTGTAAACATTATTTGATATAATTTTTATCGAAATTTTTCTTTATTTATATTTTATTTTATTGACTTATTTTTTATTTATTGTTGAACTAAACATGACATATATTATTTTATACATTGATTCTTGGTTTTTATTGATTATACAAAATTGTTTTATTTTATCTTATAAGTATACAAACCATAAGATTTTTACATTAAATGAATTATTGCTTTTCCAAATTATTCCATATTATATTCCATATATTTCTATATTCTAAATAATAAAAAATATTCCAAACAATTTTACCATATAATATTCAAAATTTTTAATACGTATGCATTATGCATCTCTCGACGTCAAATTTCAATTTGTAATTATTTTTCAAATATTTTAAATATTATATTCTTGAAAATACAATAAAAATTAATTAATATGTATAATGTCAACAACATTATTATTAATTATAATTTAAGAGTTTAAATATTATGTATTGATGTAGTTTATAAAAATTTATAAGATAAAATTGTTTAACTATCTAAAAAAAAAAAAGTATATCTTAATATGTAGTGCTTAGTACCAAAAGAATAAATAAGAGGTTCAAATAAATAAGAGGTTCAAATAAATAAGTAAAGAGCACGCAAGAATACGCAGATAAGTATATGCATGGGCAATGTAACTTTTCATTTGGTATAAAAATGATCTTATATCTAAGAAAATATTGATATTAAAATTTTAAGAAAATATTTTTAAAAAATTATGTTTTTATGTAGTGATATATTCAAAAATATAGAATTGAATAGACATTTGAATTCGAAAACATCGATGATCATAAATAGATTGAACTGTTAAAGTTACTTGAACAATGAAAAGTTTTTACACAACATAAAAAATTTCCTTTTCTATTTTATTTCGGTTACTGCATTGCAAGGAAATAAAAAGTAAAAAAAATATGTAAATATAATTTGTGTAAAAATTTTTCATAATTTGTATAATTCTCAATTTGTAGATTAAGTGCACTAACTGTAAAATTTGTTGAAATGTAAAAAATTTCTAAGTAAATTATGATAAAGTATTTGATATTTCCATTTAAAGTAAAATGTTTCTCTATTAACAATCAATTTATTTCAATATTCCAAAATATGAACTGTCATATCTTAAATTTTGATTATATAATTAACACTAACTATAAATGTAAATCATGCTAAAAATGATAGTAAGTCTAACATTATTTTATTTGTTAACTCAATAAAAATCATAATGATATAAAATATTTTATTTATAATTACTTATTTTAATAATTTTTATCTGTTTCCATGTTCTACAGTGATTATGGTACCATAATTCGATGATCGATGGTTTAATGTTGTAGATTCGAACTGTAATATTAAAATTAATTTTTTAATCATAATATTATAGCAATAAGTAAACAAGATATTTTATAGTATAATTTATTAAAATAATTAAAAGAATATAACATGTTTAAATTAAATAAATTGGTTTATACTAAACAAATTATTTATGTTTACTATACATTGAATACTTACTAAATAAATAATTTAATAGTAAATAGCTATTATTATATGTATGTCATTCTATATTATAGATACAAGAATTTTCATATTGCTTTAAAGAAAAATTAAAGTTCTTTATATTTTTGCTATTAAAAATATGCATTATTATATACAAATAATACAAATACTTGGTATATTCAGTATAATGAATATAGTTAGTTTTGAATTGATTTATTGTAAATTATAATAAAATTGATAAGTAAAATAAATTACAAATAATGAAATTGAATTTTGTATAAACATTAAAAAATAAAACTACATACAAATTCTCTAGACATTTTATACAAAAAAATAAATTGCAAAAACTGATGTTTTTTTTTATTTTTACAATGTAATATATAGTAGAATACTAATTACTAAAGAAAATATTGTACAACATCCAATCTATGTACTCATTAAACATTTTATAAACTATAAACACGTGCATATAGTTTTATGCATATATATAAGCATATTATTTTACTTTCTAAGAAATTAACGTTTTGTAAGATGATTTATTTATGTATCTGTAAAATGACGACAGGGCAAATCTTATCTTTCTATCAGAAAGCAAAAAACTAAATAAACTAAAGGTAAAAGATTTCTAAAACAAAGTGGCTCATCTAAAACATAGAACCCAGAATACACATATTATCAATTAGTACTTTAAAAGTTCATTATATACAAATTTCTGTTAATACAAATATGATTGAAAAAAACTTGCGCTAATATATTAAATTCACTCATAAAAGAAATCGCTTTTTAAGTATTATTCTACTGTACAAAATTATAAGATGATGTATATTCAACATTTTGTAATAGAAAATTAATATAATCAAATATGTTTGCTCACATTAACTTTTCGTTATTACATACACATATATGACACACATTCATTATATAAATATTGATAAGGAAATAACAGCCTTGCAAAAAAATTGTTGCTTACTATATCTTATTCATCGTTTAAATACTTAATTGGCTGCATATATGAACATGGTACACAATACTTTCACTGATTATTGACACTTAGCTCAGCTTCACTAATTTTTATATAATACTAAAACTATAATATTGTTATAAAATAAGATTCTAAAATATCTATAAAATTATAGGCTTTAAAATTTCTTTGAATAGTACTAAAATGAAATGTTAAAACTTTGTGTAAATTTGAAATATATCTTTTCTTTATAAAAACAAAAATTACATTGAGTTAAATTTTATATAAATTTGAATCTTAGTGAATACAAAAAAATATTAAATTATCAAAAGGTCTAAAATTAAATTCAATATATAATTAAATAAGTATAATAAAATACGAAAAAATTTACACAATCGTTTTGATGTCATAGTTATAGTATTTGCATTATAATTAATATCGCACTTTCGAATTTCTTAATTTTTACAATTATAAAATAATTAGATAATACCGAGTATTCGAAATAATACCATCATATATTTAAATGAATTAAAGTATTATACAATTCTAACTAAAATGTATAAAAAGTTAATCTTAATTAAATATATGCACAATTATAGTAATTCTTTTAATCAGTGTAAATAAAATTCTATATAATAAACATAATCGTTATAAATTTTTCAATAATAAAAAGTATAAGGTGCCATTGCTATAAATTGATAAAAACTATGTGAATCACAGATTATACAATATTTATAGTAGTACAATTGGTCTTAGCATTATTCAAATTTTTATAAAAATTACAAAAATAGAAAAAATTGCTTGTACATACGTATTTTATCGTACAATATTATTTTTAAAGTAAATTCTCAATAATGAATTGTTATATAATTGTATTTTAATTTATTAAAATGAAAATTATTTGTAAAATATGTTATGCCTCTATTCATATAAATAATAAAATTTTATAAAAACAGCTTTATTGAAAAATGGATTATTCATATTAATTTGTAATAAAAATATATTTCCAATTCATTTCTTCAAGTGTTATTCAGTATCTAGTAAAATATGCTTAAAAACAGTATATTTCATAAAATGAATAGTTTAAAACTTTTTGAAAAGCTTCAAGCAGGCTCTAAATATTTCTTAATATAATGTATACATCACTTTTTAAGCTTAATTCAAGAATTGGAATATATTAATTGTTGAATAAATGAAGCAAGTGTACAAACACAAGAGCATACATTATTGCTTGAACGAATGATTCCATAGGAATTAGCTAACGTCTAAATGCAAATCGGTTACTTTATACAATAAGCTTTTCCCATGGTTAAATGTTCACAAATAAATAAATTATTGTATCCTGACATTATCAACGGAAATAAAAAGATGGAATTCAGTCGGGTACACACTAATGATCGGGTCGATGCGCACAAATTTAAGAGCCCTCGAGTGGTAGCAAGCAAAGAGCGAACTTATTAAGTCAGCAAATGCGATTGTCCGTGCCATTATTCACCTGCATGTGGTGCGAAGGAGCGGCGCCCTCATATTCTGTCGTTTTTTCCTCGCTTTGCTGTTGTTTATATGTACAGCCACCAGCCAATCGTTGTTCTTTAAATAGATCGGCTACAACAAAAACCTAAAAGAAATTGTTGAATTATTTTATTTGGTACTTTCTTAATTCTTCAATTTAAAGGTTACAATGCTATTAGTTGATGTTAATAATTGTGGTATTAAGTTTTTATGATTATTGTACGTACAGCATATTACTATATTGATATTTTTTATATTCCAATAATTAAGCTTTTTACATGAAAAATAATTCTTAATAACTATTAAATAAAGTAATTCATATGGATTCATTATTCGTTATTCTATATTCATAAAAAATTATTATTATAGGAAGAGGGAATATATAGATACATTATAATTTAAAAATCTTTTTGTATTGTAAATAATATTTTTAAGAATAAATAATAATTTTCTTGTTATGTATATATTTAAAAAAAAAATTGATTTTCAAGTTTAAAAAAACACGATTTTAACTCTTAATTTTAACTTAATTTTAATATTTAAAATTATAAATTGCATAAATTTCTTTTAAGTTGGCACTAATAGTTGGTATGTTAAAAATTGAATAATAAAATTAATTTGTTACCATGATAAAAGCGATGACTGTGCCAATAGTAGAACCAGCAAGCACATCACTCCAATGATGTTTATAGTTCGAAATTCGAGTCATCGCTGTAAACCACGCCATCATTATGCAAATAAATTGCAAGAAATGTCGAAGTAATTTACTACCTTTCCATGTTAATCTCAATTGCAAATACAGCTACAAAAATAAAATTCTATATATATGGTTTCTTTTATTCTGTTTTTAATAATAATACTTCTGTCATAAAAGTAGTTTTATTACTTTTCATAAATGAAGGAATTTACTAAAAAAAAAAATTTTTGTATAAAATTCAATAGATATTTTTATTAAGTAATCAATACTTAAATTAAATTAAGTATTTGATTTTATTTCTTTCAATTTTGTAAAACTGACTTGCTTTTAAGAATTTATTTTTCAATTTGAACAATTTTTGTAATTATAAAACTTACTGCTAGATAGATCATTGTATACGCTGAAAAAGATGAATGTCCTGACGGAAAGGATAGTCTGTAGGATACAATAAAAAAGTTTTTAAATATATTTTCCAAATTAAAACAGGAACGAATAAAAATACAATCAGAAATATTATATATATATATATATATATATTAAATGTAATACATTTTACACACAAGCAATAATTGTTGTTGATTTAAAATGAATTGAAAATCGAAATAAGTTTTCTTATTTTTATTCCTTCGTTTTGTTTTTATTATTTAAATAAAATTTATATCCAAATGAATTAATTTTGATATTTATTATTTTACAAAATATTGTTGATTCACATTCCGAATTAAAAGTTTGAGAATTGTATATTGTGATTTTAATTTTTATTATAAAAATTAATATATCATCTTTTGAAATACACAATTCAACTTATTTGTCAATTACAAAATAGAATTTGTCTTTTTTAATACCATCACATAGAAAAATGTATATAAAAATATTCAATAATTTATTTAACTATTAATTTCTATGACCACTTTAGGCTTCTGTTTATTATCTACTTATTCACCTTTGATAATATTTTTTTTACACATAATAACAACATTTTTACTATGTTTGTTTACTATACCGATAATTAAATGTATTAAAATAAGTCTATGAAAATTCTCAATCTAAAAAATATTATTAAATATTTTCAAAAGAAATTTTGTATAAGAAAATATTTTATTATAGCCAATATTAATGTACAAGTCAAATAATTTGAATTGAGTAAACAAAAATTGCTAAATTATAGAGTTTTATCGATATAATACGATTTAGTTTATTTTATTTATTGATGCTTACAAAGTATTCATTTACATTCATTTGATACAAAATAATGATATTCACGGTAGTGTAATGTAAAATATCTTTCCTAAACCTATCATGAATGCTCGTATTTCAAGTAATTTAATTACATTTTATATACTAGTCTTACATATGAAAATATGGATAAGTAACCGTGAAAATCACTCCGGAAAATCGAAGGATAGGCAAAGTTATTTATGAATATAAAGATCGATTTAGCAATGGGATGAGTAATGTCTTTAAGAGGTAGCCTGTGTAGCCTTTCAGAAATTATCTACACATAGAATTATTACAGCCTGTACTAAAACAAGAGATACACGCTATATGACAATTACATTCGTATACAAACGTATTTTTTTTGGAATGGTAATTATATTGTTTGTGTACGTGTGAACGATTACGTTTGAAGAATAGAGACGCTAATAAATTTAAGTGTACAAATAAAAGCATCTACTGTCCCTTTGAAACCGAGTTCAGATAGAGGGGGAGAGGAGAAAAGACTTCTATATATATGAAAATCGAACTGAACTCCTAAAACAGCTTCATCCCTTAATCTTTGTAGCTTTCAAGTTAGTACTCTAAACTTAGTCATAAAAACAAAACAAATAATAACATTAATTTGCTTCAGCGATATAAGCATTATAAATATTATAAACTAATAATTAATTTAATACACTATAAAATCACAATTTTTATGTACTAATGCAAGTTACAAGTTAAAATAGTATTATATACTTAAATCACAATGTTTTATTATTCTGTTTGATTAATTTTTACTATAATTTTGCATTTAAAATATAAACAATGATTCTCTTAATTATGTAAATTAAAATTAAATTTATAGAGCGTTATTAAGATTATTGTTATTGATCATAACGAATCTTATCAAATAAAAATATTTAGAATAGATGCTTTCAAAAATTCCTAACGTATATGCGCATGTATATATACACATATGTGTAAATGTGTGTGTTTATGTGAAACTAAACTTAATTATTAATAAACGTCCTTAATAAATGTATAAAACTATCTGTAAAAATAAAAGCATTGATGGAACATTAATTGAGTATTTAAAGTATCATTATAAATCACATTTAACATTGCAATTAATAGTAGAAAAAATAAATTGTTAAAAGAATTTTTAACATGGCACACGAAGAATATTAATTATTTCATATTTCTCGAATATAGAAAAGATTTCTGTCTGACCTAAGTTCCTTCAAAAGTTTGTCTGATACGCCTATTGCTGTACAAGTGAAATTCTCAAAATATCGATGCTGGTTTTCTGCCTGCGTACAATCGATATTCGGCTTGCAAAGAGTCATAAAATGTGGCCGCAAACGGCCTACTGTGTATTTGGCTATATCTGTTGTAAGAGCGGTAATGCCAGCTCCAAAACCAAATACGCCGATCTGCACATTGAAAAAAAAGAAGGAAAAAATTTTGTACAAAATATTTGTCGTAGTAAAATTTAATTTTTCGAAGTCAAATGAAATGAAATTATTTAACTTTAAAAAAACTCGTATTTTTGTTTAAGGTACTCAAAGATACGAATGCGACGTAACTAATCACCAATAAAAAAATTTATCAATCTTAGGTTTTCTTTAAAAAATTGTTAACATTGCATGTGTAATTATTATAAATATAAAAAGTGTTATAATAAATGCAATAGCCAATATTTTAATATACTTATAATAATGGTATGGAAGTATAAGTAATTATATTCTAATATTATATTATTATCTTGTTTTATTTTCAGAATCGTAAATATTCACGCTAATAAACATTAAATGCAATTAATTATAATAATAAATTTGAAATGTAATCAATCATCTGTTACAGTAATATTATTTCGAGAAATTAAAAATTTCTAGTAAAGACTTTACGATTAAAAATCAATTAATTTTTGTAAAATATACACAATATATAGAATAATTTTTAAATATATTAGTGCAATCATTCTATTAGTAGCGACTTTTTCAAATTTGATATCAGAATAAATAAATTGATTATTATATAAGCAATTATAAATATTTGAATATATTCATAATAATAATTTTAATTAATAAAAAATGAATTAATTTAAGCTAGTATATCTGTATGATTTTAATATTTTAAAGAAAAACTTTCTTTTACAGAGATGATATAAAAATATCTAAATTAATAATAAATATTTTATTTTACCTTTGAATAAGCCATGTACACCCAAAGCGGTATAGTGTAACCAAAGATTACAAGCGACGAAGTATCGGGTATATTCTTTGAATAATTATATTCAAATAATAGTATCTAAAAAAGCAAATAAAAAATCATTATTGTATGTATTATAAAAAAGCATTAATTTTTTTTTTAATTATAACTAATTGTTTGCTTATTTTATATTAAAGAATAAAATGTTTTTAAAATCTTTAAGCAAATAAATAAAAACTATATTACTGTTTTGCCAATTTATACTTTATGAATAAATCTAAATAAATGATTTGACTAACAAAAGAAATAATTATAAAGAAATAATAATAAATTTAGGATTTTTAAAATACGATTGTTTTATTGAAAAAAATCTATATTATCTGAGATACTTGTTTGCAACTTTGAAGGCGAATGAAAATTTCTATGCAAAAATCTATGTACATATTATTTTGAATTAATTAAAACATATATTAATACGTTTTTATCAAATAATTCTATTATAATATTTTTAAGAATAACTTGGTTTACAAAGCTATTATACACAATCACAAATATATGTATTTTAAGAAAATGCTCATTTTTTAACTAAATTAATACTTTAACATTTATGATTTAATAAAATCATTTATGTTTAATTAATAGATGTGCTATACCTAAATAAAAGCATATCATTAATTAAGTCATATAATACATTAGTAATATATTAGTATTATTTATTAATATTATATATTGCAATTAGTATTATATGATATTTAAATATATTATAAAGAATAATAAATTATATATATGTATGAAGTATTATTAAATAAATGAAATATTTGTTATATATAGGTTATTTCTATAAAATCTGTACATCAAAATGCTAATTATACATACATATGTATACAGGCACATACACAAAGTTATTAGGTTTAATTATATAAATATTTATGTATCACAATATGGTTTAATCATTAAGTATGGAGAGGTAAAAACCATATTTATATATAGTGTAAATATTATTTTGTTTTAATATGTAAATCGGATTCATAATTTAAATACATTTTTCATAATTAAAAAAAATGTTTTAAATAAAGTATTTTTAGTTAGACAACATTTTTTAATAAATACATTATGAAAGTTGAATTATGAAATATTATGAATTATTTTTATGAAATAATTACATTTCTCTAGAAAAAAATATTGAAATAGTCATTATTATAGAATTTACTATTTGAATAGTAATGCTCACATTATCAAGAAAGCCTTATAAGTAAATATCAGACGGACTCTGCAAATCCAGACTGTTAAATAGGAAAAGTAATATCAAAACTAACTGGTACATACTAAAAAGTAAAGCAAATTATTAATGAATAAAATAACATAGTATAATAATAATAGTATAAAAATAATAGTATTTGTATATTAATTAATGGCTATATAGTAGTCAAGTTGGCTCTAATAATAATTTATTAAATAGTCTTATATTTGCTCAATATTCGAATATATATTTACTAAGCTATTTAATAATTTAATTATATGGTTATTTTCAACAAGTCTTCTAATTTGATAAAATCTTTGATAGAATTCTACAAAAATAGATATCAAAATATAGTACTGACAGACCTTTTCTTTGGGTACAATTTAATATGATAAAAAAACTGGTATGTAATCTATTTGATGAATAAAATTGTAAACAAAGTGGATATATGTACTATTTTAATATTTCAATAATGACTCACCGTACATATTGGAAGGAAAACACCGGTGACGTAGAGCATTGGACTCGTGACCGTAGATATGTGGAAAGGATGATTGAGGCTCTCGTCGTTGCAGAAAAAACCACGCTCATATGGTTTGGCGTAATGATATAAAATCAGAACTGTCATTCCCACTGTAATAATACCATCAACTCACTTTTGAAATTTGTCTATAATACTAAATTTTAACCTTGAAAATACAAACTGCAGTACAAAATATTTTGAACTATTTAATTTACAATTTTAAAATATTCACAAAAATAGAAATATTCAATTTAATTAAAAAAATTCAATGTGACATTATATACGTAAATCTACAATGCACCAAAAATTAACCATTACACATATATAAGTTTGTAAACCATTTTTATTTGACTCTGATAATATAGTTATATAATATAATTATACACACATACATATATATAACCTTATAAAACATTTTAACAGTTGAAATTCAAGTTTTTATATAATGAAATATTTCTTTCAATTTTAATTTTTTACTTTTAATTTAAATAATAAGACTTACATTAATTATTGATAATATTAATATAAAAAGTAATATAATATTTAAATAGAAAATGGTTAGATATATATACTCAAATCATCATTGTTTAAGTAATTCTTATAAAAATAAATATTCAGTTCTTCCATATACTTAGTTGGTTAAAATACAATTATCTAAAGTCATTAAAATAGTAAATTAGAATGATAATACGATGAGAAATATAAAAAAACATATATTAATAATAAAATTTTACAAAAGTTAAATAAATAAAATAAGAAATTTTTATTTTTTTATATTTCTAATTTCTTCTGTTATCTATATTAATTTTTTCATTAATTTTTTTAACATAAATTCAATCAAGATAAATTAATTTTTACATTCAAAATAGTAATTAAAGCTATAATCTGTTATCAATACAATGTAGAATTTTAGGTTTAATAACCAATGTTATAAATGCTAATTTTAAAAAATTAATAAAATAAAAAGCTTAGATTTAAAATTTTCAATCATTTCAATATAACGATTTATGAAAGGAGTTTAGATTAATCTCATTTTGTAATGAAATATAAAATCGAATTTACAGCAATAATCAAAATATATTATGTTTATAAAAAAGAAATGAATCTCAATTTGCACAAAATGAAATATTTGCCTGTACAAAATATTATTATAGAAATAATTTGTCAACTATTTAATATATAATTATAAATATCGATAAAAATTCGACAAATTTTGTCATCATTGAATAAAGATTAGTTTTCAAAAGTATTCAATCTTCTCAAGAATATCACAAGCATTTAAATTTTTTAAAAAGAAATAAAATAAATAAAATTAATAAAAATAATATATAAAATAAAGTAAAAAAATATAAATTAAATTATAAAATAATGTTTGTCATGTAATTACAAAAAAAAGATTAAACATTAATAATCAATAAACAATAAACAATAAATAAAGAGATACTTTATGAAATGAATATTAATCAAGCAATTCATTTAAATGTAACTTATGAACAAATCCAATTTAGATGTTTTACATTTGTGTGACTGAATTATTGACAATTTGAAAACAGAAAAGAAAAATGCGATTACAACATTTATTTTTTATATGATGCAGTATAAAAATGGCAGAATATCAATGTACCCAGAGTGTAGAAAAATATAGTATTAATATTGAGATGGATGGCAGTAAATGGAATTGTATATTGGAATTTTACCTATCAGCTAAAAGGTACTTAGTTTAAAAATCGTACACTCAGCTTTGTACATGCATATGCATAACTTGTACATCTCTCTCATCACTGAGGCCATTTATGCTTGCATAACTAAAATATGCCCACATATAGATGTATGTACTGACTTTTCAAGCATTATTGAAAATGTTTATGCCTCGACACGGTTCGTAGAATTTGAAACTATTATTGGATATATATATATGCATCATGCATATTCAGTTTAAAAAGCTGAAGCAATTCCAATACACGACAAGTTTGTTTATTTTTTAAAATCTTGTTTAATATTAAATACTAACATTTATTTAAGATATGAGATTTATTTGAGATGTATCAATATGTATAAGAAATCTTTAATGACATTATATATAAATTAAAATATTTTAGAATTATTTTTGTTAAAGAACAATAGTTTTAGAACAACTCGAAATGTGAAATTGATAATTTCCTTTTTTCGAAGTATCAATTCATCAACGAGATGTGATAGTATAAAATTTTCTTACAACTACATTTGAATTTGAATTATTGATTATTCAGATATTGTTTATAATAATTTTAATTAGACAATGTCTAACAGAAATTTATAAAATATTTTAATATATTTCAAAATTATCGAAAAATTATTAAAAAAAACTTTTATTTAGAAAGGAATTAATAAAACATTAAAAGCTTATCTATTATATAATTATACGATAAATAATAATAAATAATATTAAGCTAGATTATTTTTAATCAACAAATAATTCCTACCCCAGAAAATTTCATATTTATTTAAGCTTAAATGTATATTATATAAACTTTATAAATACTTTTATCTATCTTGAAAACCTAATACGATCACTGTATTTTAATCTTTTAACATCGTTTAAATTCAATATATTTATTACCATAATTTAAATTTTATGATATAAATTAAATTTCGTATAATTTTTAAAAAAGATAAAAAATTTTGTTCGTCTATCACAATTTTCTATGGAATTAAATATACATATGTGTATGTAATCTACAGGCATAGAAGCTTCAAATTTTTACGTAAATTAAAATTGTTCTTTCTCAACGTAACAATGAATAATTTTCTATATGAATTAAGAAAAAACTTAATGTATTTCGATCGAAATTGGTAGCTGATGTAATTTATTTAACATTGAACATCTTCAATAAATATAGCAAATCAGTCATAGCGATAAATTAATTTACAAAGCAATAATAATGTATTATATTAATAACTAAAAAAATGTACACGATAGTGTTTAAAAATATATAAACATAGTAAAACATGTTTTTAAAGACATAATGTTATCTAATATTAAGAGTTAAAAGAGCCGTATTTGCAAATTATAGTTAGAAATTTTTACAGAACGTATTTGTACACCCTCTAATTGAGTGCAGTGAGCAACAAAAGACACTCTCACTTCGAGTGATTATTAAAACGCTTCCTTACTTCTAACGCAATAGTCCATGCATAGAAGCCTCTTATAGGTACAAGTGCATGTATGAGTACATATGCATGTATGTATTCGTATACACGCATCAATTATGAATCGACAGGGTCCCCCATTCGCTATATTATTCCTACATTCCATACGCGTCCACTAACAATTTCCTTTTTTGCCCAACGTAGCCCCGTTCTCAATCTTGCATCGTCCCTCTTAAGATATCAATCTATGTATAGGAGAATTAAATCGAGCAAGCGAAGCGAACGTTGAACGCAAAATACTCCGTTTTACTAAGATTAAAACTCTTTGGAATAATTAAAAAATGAAATCACTATCAGACTACAGCCTACTCATAGCTGAGTATGCAAAAAACCGCACCTTCTACTATTTTGTACTTACCGCTAAACAGGCATACGAAATCAATGATCATCTTTCTTAAAACAAACTTGGATGTTCTGTCCATGTCGGAATCGTTTATCGGTCAAATTGTACTTGAGCCGCACCACCGGTTCTCGATTTAACTCTTGCTCAAACGTCTTAGGCTAGATGACGCGTTCAACACTAAACACATTGAATATTGAAAATGAGCAAAAATAATGCCGCCAAAGCACTTCAGTGACTGCTTCTCAACTAAACTAAAGCGAATCAGTGTTTCTGACTAGAGTAGCCGAATGTCACCGAGTACCGCCGAGTCCCGCTCGGTCCTTGGAGTTTGACAGGCTAACGAAGAATTCTTTCGCTTCCCGCTGTGTTCGTTTCTCTTTTTCATGCGAACTACACCTACCAAGAGTATTCGCTTTCCCTCTCGTATTGAAAATCTTGTCCTGGCGTTCCATTGCTCTTGCCATTGTTATTCTTCACTGTTAGTAATGCACAGCTGAAATAGAAAAGTGTCTAATTCCTTTTTTATTTTTCATATTCATACGCTAAGTTATCAATTCGAGGTTATAATTTTTATTCTTTGCTCATTAGCACCCTCTATATTTTTCTAATTAATGATCTATATGATAAATTGTTTATTAATATATATTTTCTTATGAATCAATATGTTAATAAATCCGTAACATATATGACAGCATATGAGTTAACTTTATTGTAAACTTTCGATTCAATCACCTTATTCTTACCTTATTCTTCTTGTGTCTTGTATTAGAATTAATTATAATTTAAATATCTTATTTACTATTAATATTTCGTACTGTTACATTTCTTTTTCACTGAAATCGTTCTGTAAATCATTTTGCGTTAAATGATTTGTTTGCAAATCACAATAATTTAATTTCATTTAAAAAAATCATTGTGTTTAATAAAAAGAAATATATATATATATATATATATATATATATGCTTTTATTGCCTTATTTTGATTTATTATTTTATTTCATATGATAATATTAGAAAAATTATAATATAAAATTATAATAATGAAATTAACTACATGCATTACCATTTAATGTTGAATAGTAACAAATTATTAATAAAGTTGCAGTTTATTATCAAATAAGAAATTCTCATTAGCAATTAAAATGCAAAATCTTGTGTACAATAATAAAGTAATATTTAAAATTTTGTATTGTAAAATGTAACTATTATTTATATATTTGATATTTAAAATTTATATAATTTAATCGCTAATTGCTTTAGTGGCGAATTGTATAATATTACGAAAAGCATTAAATATTTTTGAAAAACATAATTTAAAAATAAAAATGATAATAAAATGCATTAGAATTATGTTAACTTAATCAATGTAATGTAATGCATAAAAATATTGATTTTATACAATCTAGATTACTTTCTTAAACCAAATAACAAATAACTAAAGATTTAAAATTAAAAAGTAAAATAATTAATACGAATTTTACTTTCATTAATAATTATGAATAAATTATTTTTTACAAAATATTTTAATTTTTAATAATACAGTAAGATTTAAAATCCTCTTTATAAATAAAAAACATTACTAATCAGTAATCGTTTCATAATTCTCGTAAAGGTTTTTCTAAATATATAAAAAATTGTCGAAATTAACCATTTTCAATAACAAATTGGCTAAAATTAAGCAAAATAATAAAGCAAAATTACATATTTCATTACTAGAATCTTAATAGTACTGTGATTTTTTCCATTCCATCTATTAAAATATAAATTATATTTGCTAACATATTTCAAACCGATATTTTTTAAGTAAACTGAAATTGTCGACTCTTGCTCACTCTTTAGATAAATTTTCAATAAAAATAAAGTAAAAAAAAGATAATTATCTTTTTTATTTTATGGTAAAGAAACCTTCAGATAAAGATCATCGAGCATCTCTCAGGTATACAAATTCTTACGTTTCTCTAACAAACAGAAAATTCATAAAGAATCAGAATTTTTGTTATAGCGTTTTGAAAATTCCAATCTTCCATGTTTCTTATCTTGCATAGTTACAATCATCAGACATTCCTATTTTTCTTCTTTTTTTTTAATCTTTGCACAATAGAACTTTGTCTCTTCTATGAGCAATGCTTATTCATTTCAAAATTATACTTCCTGTAGTTTCTTAATAAAGACGTAATTATTTTTCCAGGATATACAATATAAATAAATTTTAAAGTTACACAAAGTCAGTTTAATCCAATTTACATAATATTAAATTAATTTCTAATTAAATTTTTAATATATAATCATGAGTAATAATTTATTTAATTATTGGATTAAAAATTTTTTATTATCCGAATGATATTTTTAATTTTGTATATATATAATAAATTCATACAAAAATGTTAATAAATCAACGTTATACTTGAAATTTAAACATTTTTTCACACATTTTAAAAAATAACTGAACACCTTAATTTTATTAAGAATTTTTTTTTTAAAGTAATAAAGAATAATCATTATTAGTACATATTTATACAATGTTACTTTTAGTAAGATACTTTACAAATTATTTTTCTATAAGTAATTTATCATAGCATGTATATATATATTTTTTTTAAATTATTTACATATTTATATAAGGAAGTAAATCGGAACAAGTTTTTAAGCAGATATAATACTGGATAGTTTGTTATATTGTAACCTTTATTTTAGATACAATTTATTTTATATTTGAATTGTATGAACATTCTATTAATTATATAATTAATCATAAATTTAATATCATTATCAACAGTATTAAATTATATTATAATTATTTATAAAAAATATAATTAAATTTATCTATTCGACCCAATAAAATAAATTATCTCAATTCTTTTAAATACAGATAAAATAATGAGCATAGTGAAATAGATGAAGTTCTGAATATTCTTTTATTTATAATCTATTTTTGTATTTTCTATTCAAATATAGGCATTATACAACATTTTCTTACAACAATAACTGAAAGGTTTATTAATACGTTTTAATACGTTTTTTTTGACATGTTAATTTATTTATATTACTAGTTATAAATACAATTTATAAATTATTATGAATTAATTTTTTATATAATTTATATTTTTTTACATATTGACCATACAGAAACCTAGTTAATTTTATTATAATTGTATTGAATTTTCTTTTTAATTTTAAATTGATTATCTATAGAAATTTTCTTATTAATTTTAAGTTCATTATGTACAAAAATTTTTACTTACAGTATTTATAAATCTATTTTGTAATCTAATACTTATATTTATTATTCAGAACGACTTGATTTTTTAAAATTTTTTTTATTACTCGATTATTTTTAAAATTTATATACTTATTGTTGAAATGGTGCATAGTATTATATTAGATTTATTTGTATAAACAGCATATATTTTTTAAAAAGATATCTGGATTTTATTTAACTATTTAAAAATAGTACAAAACGCATCATTTTCTTATAATTCCAACTTACGTATGAAATTCAAAAACATTCACTTTTATAGTAAATATACAAGCAAAACAGGCTTTGTTAATATTAATCTCACTTTCATTATTTATTTCACATATATTGCTCAGACATACTAATTTACAATCAACGCTGATTTTATTTTATTTTACATATTTTTTATACCCATTAATGTATAACATTAACATATGTAGCATTTAATTAAATAACAGATACAAGTTTCTTTTTACATTATTTAATATTCATTGATGACAATTACTAAAATATTAAAATATCACATCGATTCATACAAGTTATAAGTAACCTGTATCTATAAGTCATACGCTATGTAACAAAATTAGTGATCTTACTTTCACATAACTCTCAGTATAGTAAGATTGATTAAAATCATCAAAAATATAGCATTTTATACGTTATATAAATTCATATTTTGTAATGAATGCATTGTACATCATAGATATGAGATACCTTATATTTTGATTAATGTTCAAATTTTAAGAAATTTAAGAGGTTCCAAATGCTATAATAATAGGAATATATTAGATCAAAGCTCGCTAGTCATTATTTCATCAAAATTTGAAGAAAAAACTAAAAAAAGTAAAACATTTTGAAACATTACTAATTCACCCAATATACTTGATACGTGATAATCTCATATCGACTATCAAAACTATATAATGCAAAGGTAAATTTAAATGTTAATGTCGTAGTTTTATTAGATATATTTAAGACGCAAGCTACTATAAAGATGACGTTTATCATATTCGAATGCATGTACTTATTAAATAAGATCAAATTAAATTACAACTTTTATGTCGAATAGTAAAATTTACACGTATGTATTAATATTTGCGGGTTGTTCTTTATAATTATATTTCAATTATTCATTTCAATATATGAAATGAAAAATATAGCTCTATAAGAGTTCGATTTCAGATAGTCATCTGCGATGTTCAGATGAATAAGCAGTGACTGTACTATCAATACATCCAGCAGCCAAAACAACTCGATGAGGATGAAAATTAAGACAGCTTACCGGTCCAATTCTCGTACTCATAAATCCTTCATGAAACTTAATTGTATTTAAATGGTTTCCTGAGATATTATACATGCTTATACATTGATTGGTGGAACTATTAAAGATAAATACTTGCATTAAATACTATTACCAATTAAATTCAATTTTATATTTCTTATGACAATTTCCAACATTCATAATGCCAATTATATAAAAATGTTTTTATAGAAAAAGAATAATTTAAATTGTGAGATATAATAAATTAATATTCAATATAAATATAATAGAAGTCTTTACTATTAATTTTAAATTTCAACAAAAATTGATATTTTTTTTTGTATATAAAAGAAATTTTACAATATTTAGAAATTTGTACAAATAAAATTTAATTTATATATTTTAAATTTTATAATTTCAAATGTTGAAGGAAGATTAAAACTATATTTAAAATTCTAATTTATACCTGGCAAATATATCAGCTGTTTCATGCATTACAAAATCCGTTATTCCCTGTGTCGTTTGTATTGTATTAACAGATGAATTTTTTCTAATATCAAAGAACTTAATATCTCCAGATGAAGAACCAGTAATAAGCCTAATGGAAGAATTCGTATATTTTCTTAAATATGCACCAAGTACCCATGCATTATGTTCTCTATATGTCATAATTTTTGCCTCTGTAGATGGAAGTCTTCGATCAAATAGTCGAACCGAACCATCTCCACATCCAAGCACCATCATATTACCTTTATAACAATTAAAATCTATAAAATTGTTTAATTTATAATGTCATTATTAATTATAAATACTTTTACCTGTTTTTAAAAATGCTTTTATTAAATTGTAAAAATAATGTTTCATTAGATTTATTATGAAAATTTTATTCTAAGATTATTAATAATTTTTATTATTAAATTAATAAAAGAGAAACATAAAAATATTATAATACTGAATAGGACATACCATGATTATCAGTATCCAAACTAGTAACACAGCAATCAGCTCCTGTTGGTATATCCTGCACTTTCAATTCCGTTTCAGCATCCCAAAGCCTTACACTTTTTACATCACCAGTTACTGCTAAAGTCAAAGAACGTTGCTCCCAGCTTGTTACTAAACCTGCAGTACCTTAAAAAATTTAAGCGTAATTAATCATCTATTATAAAATACTTTTGCGATTTTTACGACGAAATTTACCTGCAGAACCTTTTATAACAGGTTGAAGATCAGCTAGAGCTTGCCAAGCTGTTAAAAGTGTAGGTTCACGACCAAACATATTGTAATAATTTTTCCAAACTCTAATAGAGCCATCATCTGATCCTACCATTAATAAAGTAACGTCGTGCGAATTTATAAATTCCAAAGTAGTAATACGGGATGGTCTGCTACCTCTACTGGTATGATACATAAGTTTTGTCCCACTATGCCAATCCCAAATGCTATCAATTCATAAGATTCAAATATTTCAAAATTAATAAAATCTTAATCTATGTATCTACTATCAAATGTATTTAAAACTCGATAAATTAGTAACTTAAATAATAAATTTTATTATCAAAAAAATAAATTTACCCAAAATAATCTTTACATGCCACAGCTAAGTGAGAATCAAATGGATGAAAAAGTAAAACGTCTGGTGATTGCGGGCATCGCGTATGGAATACTTGAGATTCTATACGTCCATTTACTGCTTTAATTTGTTCTTCCTGAACTTCTTTTCTTTGTCGTTTATTTCGTAGATATCTTTGGATATAGGTTAGAAATCAAACAATGTACATTAAAATGGTAAATTCAAATATAAAAATAAAAATGTTATTAAAGAAAATAATATTTTACCGCCAATCACGTTCGTGATATGCACGACTCTCAACATCATTGATAGATTCGGCTTCTGCATCAAAACTCACAGGCTGAGCAAACTGAGCGCAACTCCACTCAACAAATTGGGAAGTTATTAAAGGTGTTCTAACTCCTATTATTTCATCTGATTCTTCTGATATCTATAAATAAAGTTTAATATTTTCAATGTCTTAAAACGTAATTATGTTAAAAAGAAAAATTAATTGTTTTCACACACAGTATTTGGTACAGGCTTTCTTGCTCTACTTGAATGTACCGGTAATCTAGTAGATCGCAACAGATCAGATGTTGAATTAGCAGTAGGTGGAGATTCCTCTTTATTGCTAAAATATAATATAAAATAATAAAAAATAATTGTCAATATGCCATAAAATAAAGTTATACTTTATTTACCTTAAAAAATTATTTCTATTAGATGGAGATGGAGGTAATGATAATGAGGATGACATTTTAGTATCATTTACTTCTTTTGGAGCTGAAGATTCTTTTATCTGCAGAAATTTTTTACATTATTTATTGAAAAATAATATTATAATTAATTTAGAAGATAATTAATTAAAATAAGTTTATATTTTACTTGACTTCGAATATGATTTGTAACATTTTGTGACATTATTGCAACACCAGGATGTGGATCATTATCAAGACCACATAATCCATGCCATAACTTCATATATACACTCCCATATGAAAGACTAGGCAAGTTTCCTAGAGAACTATGTCCTGTACAAATTAACAAATGTTGATAGTTATGTAAAACAGGATAAAAAAAAATATATTGAAATTTTATTATAAGCTAGATCAATTTGAAAGCCACGATTATTTAAAATATATTTGAAGTGATTAAAAATATACTTAATCTAATCTACATAAAAACATGCGTACAATTTAGGACTTAACAAAATTACCCAGCATTTCGCAAGGTTTCCTTACAAACTCCCAATTATTTCCTGGTATTCAAGATGAAATAAGAGAAAAGTTATTCAGAAGTTTCTATTTTTCAGAAAATTATAGATTTGTTTAATTGTTATACCTAAACTACTGATTGATGAAACCGAAGACACTCTTTTAATTTTATCAGAACCAAAGCCATCCGTTGTATCGATAGAATAAGTACTATTTGAATATAACATTTTTAATCTATCTTTAGAACTTATTCTCCTCATTCCACTGAAAGATGAAAGAGTTTCAACTACTAGATCTCTTCTGCTATTTTCTTCAGCAATAGCTAAAGTAACAAATGAATTTTCAAAATGCAATACCATCCATTGAAGGGCTACAACTAATTCCTAAAATTATTTTGAATTATTTTAAATTCATAAAAACTTTATATAAATAATAGATAAATATTGAATTTACTTTTCTGACTAGAGGACACATATCATTTGTTACTGTATTAATTAACATCATAGCAATGGTTTGATCAATATTATTGGCATGTTCACTTCGTTTTGTTACACTGTTTATAAAAGTTCCTAATGCATATACACTTGCAGCACGAACCTAATACAAAAATAAAATTCTGTATATAAAAAATTGAAAAAAAATCATTTAATATATAAAAATGTAGTAATAAACCTCAGGTACAGGATCTTGCAAAAGTGTATAAAGTTTTTCGTGTGCAATGTCTCGTACACCACACCATCTAGCTTTATCATAATTATGCCATAATCTTGCAAGACACAAACATAACCATTGTCTAAGTAATGGATTTGGATCTCCAAGCTGTTCCAAACAAATTGAGACCAAACTACCTTGCAAAGCTGCTTCTTGACCAGGTGGATAATTATTTACTATACAAGCAAGTACAAAAGCTGCTAATGTTCTATATTCACTCTACAATAATAAATTAAAATGAAAATATATTTTATTAATACAATGAACAAAATTCTAAAATATTATCTACCAGCATAGTAGTATCTTGAAGAACAGATAAGAAATATTTATGTCCATTATCACGTACTAAATCAGCTTGGCAAGTCTAAAAGTGTAATTAAAAATAGTAAATATACAATATTATTAATTTGAATATCATCAATTAAATCATACATGCATCACAGAACACGTTTAATTCAATTGGATTTATATACATCTCCAAATTAAAGCATATTATTTCATAAAATAACAGTATTTTCTGTATCAATGTTTTATAAAATTTGTGTACAATTTTATTAATGAATAAAATTATATAAATTGACAAATTATAAATTTATCGCTTATCATTTATAAGTCTACTATTGTTAGCTTTATTATTATTTTTTTTTAATGATGCAACATGCCATAAGCCTTGATACATTTGTATTTTCAAAAATCACATTTATAATTATAATTCTGAAGAATATTTTGTTAGATATTAAAACTATAATAAAGCAATTAAAAATGGAAATTTATAAAAAGTTATTTATAATGTATAAAATATCATTGAACAAATATGTATTTTGTTAAAGATAATTATTTTATAAAAATTATAGAAGAACCCAAAATAAAAATTAGAAATTAACTTACATTATCAACAGCAAGTATCTTAGCCCATATAAAAACAAGGAGTGGCCTAAGTTCCCCAGCATTACTTTGCAATAATTTCAGTACATAAGGAAAGATTCCAACACTTAAAGCTAAATTAACTGCCCATGGTCCAAGATCGAGAAAACGTCCCAATAATTCTAATGCTCTCAGTCTATGAACCTGACTCAATAATACTTGGAGCACTATTGGAAGCTGCTCAGGAGGATTACGAGTCCTAGAACCCAAAGTTAACCATACTTGAAAAGCAGTAAGCTGTTCTTCAAAAAATGGCGAGTGAACAAATCGATCTTCAGATTCTAAAATAGTTGGTAATTGTGCTAAACATAAATCGAGAGCTAAATCCCAAGCCTGCCACATTGGATGCTATGAATATAATACACATAATATGTTAAACTTTTTATCTTTTTATATATATATAAACTGATAATAAATAAATTTATTAAGTTTAAAACTAAATAAAACTTACTTGGTATGTAGGTGGCAATTTTGGACAAGAAACTGGTGTACAATCATAGGAACGTAAAACTCGTTCTGCTAATAAAAAGTTTCTAAAAAGACTAGCAACTAACAAATCTTGCCTAAATAACCTTTGAAATAAATCTAAAAAATAAATTTACACGCTTTCAAATCTAAATATTAGATAAATTTAAAAAATTACCTCTTGGTAATGTATTCCATGCTATTGTATCTGTAATTGCAGTAAATATCCAATTAAGTTCACCTAACATTGTTCTTCTGTCTGTAAGCTGACCAGGTATTCTAAAAATAAATCTATTTAAATTCATTTCTATATTCATAAATTTTATTTTTGTATTACATAAAATATGCATACTTATCAATGAGCTCTAAGGAAACTTTTGGCACTAACTTTGATGTATTTTGCATCACAAACCTAAAAATTAATTATTATGAATATCTGTTACGCACAAGTTATTGTTTTAAATGATATCATTATATCATCACCAGCGCAATGCAATTTTAATAGGAGTTGTAAGGCATGAAGTGAATATATCAGCTGGAAGATCTGGATTCATTGGTAATATTTGATTAGCGGTACAAGCAGCTAATTGAATACAATTTTTATAAGAAGGTGCAGCTACAGAAATAGTGCCTGCAGTCCTATTTTGTTGTATTGCTTGCTTTTCCATCTAATAAAAATAATTTAATTTAATATAAATTAAAATTGAAAAACTGTATTTTTAGTATTGAATAATTTACCTCATACTCTTTCTCATGCTGCTCTGCAAATTGTTGAAAAGAGTCGACAATAATACCTGCATTTGAACAGTCATACACATAAATACTAGGAGCTCCCATCCATGTTTGCAAATCATATACTGATAAAGGAATATACTGTGTGTATGTCTAATATATAACATAAAAGTTTCATAAATTATAAATTAAAAATATTCTATTTATTTTACAAAAAGTCTGTATACAAAATCATTCAATAATAAATTTCTATTAAAAGTAATCATGAAATAAAATAAAATCCAATAATTAATACAATTTTTATTTTATTCACTTTTATCCAATAATTATTGAAAGATATTGATATATTGAATTGTAAAATTTATTACTAATTCAATTTATAATCGATGATAATTAGAAACTTAAAATATGTAAAAAATTGTTTTGCTTAAAAAACTCATATAAACAATTTTTTATTAAATTATTTATAAACGCACTTTATTGAATACCCAAATCTCTCCATTACTAGTTGGTTTTGGTACTCCATGTCCATTATAATGAAAGAGAACTCGCTCTTCTTTAGCATTTCGCCTTAAAGATGTACAGAGTTTTTTTACATCCTCCACAGTAGGATCAAGACTTTGTTTATATCTAGCACGAGGCTGCCATCTTTCATACTGTTTCTGCAAATTGGAACCTATTGTTTCTAAAGCTTTTTGAGGACTCATTGACAAAGGATCTAAAATATTATACAATATATAATATAAATAAAAGAATATTGTAATCTAAATGTTCTTGCAATATTTTACTTTGCAACATGTACTAATAATTCTAACAAACATATTATAAAATTAACAAAAAGGAAGCATAGAAACAAGAAAATAAGTTTAGTGTTTAGTATTAATGATGATTACCAATCCAACATTCAAGTCGAGCACAAGGTTGTGTTTTAATGATATCTGGGGGGTCAACACCTACATTCAAACAAAGTACCAAAGCAACACTCACTGTTTTCATCTATAAATATAAATAATATAAAAATCATATATCAATAAATAAGATCATAATCATATATTATTTTTAATATTTATATACAACTATTACAAATTGATATATGTTCATATAAATGCATAACTAAATTTAATCAAATAGTTTTTTAATGAATATGTAGACTAACCCGCTCCTTCATACGCCAGGTCTGGGTGATGCAGTTAACACCTTCAATAGTAACCATGTGCCTAGACTTATTAAATGCCAAAGGCAGTTGCCAATCCTCGTCATCTTTCAAATGCTTAGTAGACTTCATTGCTGCTGTTGAAAACTCATCCTTAGTTTCTCTTACGCTGGAACAGGCGCAAGATGATACGAGCAGCGACATTCCCTACAAAATCAGTTTTTTTGTGTCTCGTTGTTACATTCACTTTATAGTTGTGCACTGAATTCTGAATAATTTATGATATATAATTAAAATACTTTCTTATAAGGATATACGAATTATTTATTATCATAGATCACGATAATCGCTGACTATCTATGTGAGTTATAAAATTATTATCCAAAAGCTTCTTCTCATTTCGTTTTGTTGATTTACCGTACTCCTTTGCGTAACAACGCATTTATACGAACTATAGTCATAGTTCACGGGTTCGTCTAATTTATGAAAAATATACAGTACTACTGAATGCGCAGTAGTATAAAAAAAATCTAAAGCATCTAGTAATGAATTGTAAACTCAACCTTAATTCACCGGCTAACGATAATGTAACAATAATGCACTTTCAAGGAGTCATTCTTGTTTTCATTTCGTCCCTTCTCACTTTCTCCCACCGTACTGCCATACTTTTCAATTGGCTTTCTCTGTTTTTAATGTAAACGTTAAGGGAGGATAAAAGAAATGACTATTCCTAAAATTTTATATTAAAAAATATAAATATAAAAATAATTTTTCTTTATAAAAATTTAAGAAATTCATTTATTCAAAGAATTAAAATATTAAAGAACCACATAAAAGCGATTGACTATAAGAATTTTAAGTAGTTAGTTTAAAAAATATATTTTAAAGTAAATATCATAAGATAATTGCAAAGTTAAAGGGTAATTCAGGAATGAACAAAAATATAAAATACGATTTCGATTTAGTTAATTGATTAGTAAATCTATAGATCGATTCTATTGTAAAAATATGATCAGTTGAAGGATGCACCCTTAAATACTTATCAATTTGCGAATGACATAATACGTTTCACAAATTTTTGTTGTAACCAAGTAGTGAATTAATTTGTATATTACTTTCTGTGGCGAATAATCATTTTTCTGTATGTATATTCAATCCTGGACTATATTTAAAATGTATTTATTTGTCTTTACATAAAGTTAAGGAGTAAAACAGATATTTTGTTCGTAATTAATAAAAATATATATACTTTTTAAATCTATTTTTAATTATATTATTAAAACTATTTTTTATTTTAATGTATTGTTATAATAAATTCATACGTTCAATAAAATAATTATTGGTGTGACGTTGAAATTATATATCTTGATATGAATATAATATATTTTCATGTAAAGACAAAAATTTTCTATTTTCTATTTATAGAAATAACATCTTCCATTAATAGAATATATCAATAATTTCAAATACTTTCATAGTTATTCTCATCACAATCAACAACAATTGTAATACTATTTAAAAAGATAAAAATTCATTTAGCGATGAAAACGACGCTATAATAATGACATAAGTAGAGGGCCGATATTAAATATATTAATCTACTCACTCAACGATGATGTTACATTCAATGTAAATATATGAAAAATGATAATAATAAAAAATGAGAACTATACATAGATTTGAATTTAAACTGTATTTACGATTTTAATATTTTAAAAGTCTTTCATTATTTAGATATTTTACGGTATCACTACCGAATAGATGGCCATCGCCTCATATATTCCATCACTAACGGGCATAGCATAAAGTTCTCTGTATTTTTTCTTGAGCATTTAAGATTGGTAAAGTCTTGATTAATTTACAGAAAACTTAAAAAAATGTGGATAATAAATTCTTCGAAGCATGCGCAATGAAAGCTACGTTTAATATGTATATTAAATATTTATTATTTGTATTTCAGTACAATAAGATCGTTTCTTTTATTTTATCATGATTTTAATACATTTCATTGCAAAAGCAAAATATAAAAACAACTCTAAATAGATTCATATTATGATTTCAATTTGATTTTCATTAAAAGAATGTAAGCAATTTATTTATGAAATAAAAAATATGAAATAAAAAAATATTTTGTTTTTTCTAAGTAATGTGTCAGTATTAAAAGTACTTGTTTAAAAAAGCTATTGAATTCTATATTAAAAATGCCCGCCCTCATTTATGAAAACCAACCACCGACCCTTTAATCGGTATATTAAATCACTTCGTTTTTTTTTGAAAAGTGCATTCTACCCTTTCTTACCTATTACTGTTATATACTATTAACTGAAAAGTAAAGTAATTCCGGCAAAAAATACAAAAATATGTAAAACAATTTAATAAACTAGAAGATGAGGTTTAAAATAATTGCGATTTAAAATTGACTTATAGTATATAGAATACTTAACAAAAGAGCTATTTAATGTAAAGGTTATGTATAATCACATGTTAGTTAATTTAACTTATAATACATATTTACTATAAAATCAAGATATCTCGAAATAAAATAAATATATTAAATTCAGAAATATTTTATTAAGTTATTTCATATTTTAAACCACGATAATGTTACCAAAGATGTATTTACGAAACTTTATTCTTATAAAACAACCAATAATAAAACAAATTTCTAAGTATATTAGAAGATTATATCATAATGTTAATAATAATGTAGATGTAATCAGATTATTAGAAATAAAGCGTACATTAAAATTTATAAATACACCTATTCTGGATGGTCATGCTTGTATTATTGCTAATATTTCATTATGTGAAGATGTTAAAAGAAAAAATTGTAAATTATATATAAACAAAATAACAGGTAGATAAATATATTTTTCTGTAAGTATATATAATTAAGAATTTATGATATTATTATAAAATATTTATAGGTTTTTTTATATGTGAAAACTGCAATCGTAGTGGACCTTGGCAAATATTGGAAAAATTTATTCAATTTCAAAAAACAAAAAAATCTGTGGAATTAAGTTCTCTTCGTAAATCAATAGAATTTTTGCCAAACATTAATATAGAATGGAATAAATTAAAAGAATCTGCTGAATTAATACAGAATTTGCAGATTGATGTATATAAAAATATTAGTGAAAAATTAAATTTTCAGGTAAAAAAGTTAATTTAATCATTCTTATTTATTGTTTTAGTTTACATTAAAAATTTTGTTTAAATACATTTTACAGAATGTACCCCAGGAAATTATGGCTCAAATGAACCTACTTTATGATCATTTATCACAGACTTTATATTTTCCATTAATGTCATTTTGCAATTTAATTGTAGGGTATAAGTGTTTATCTACAGTGTCTTGTGTGGAAAAAACTGTTCCTGCCATCGGTGCTAGTGGTATTATCCTTTATAAATCAAAAACTTATAATTCAAATGAAACTGCTATTATAGTACCTAATTTAGAAGATCTCTTGGTAATAGCTGCAAATAAAGCTGCTAATTTAATTATATGTTTTCCTTATGGAATAAAAAATCTACCTCAGGAAGTATTGCCATGTTTAGAGTCATATAACAAATTTATTTTATGGTTTGGAAATGATGAACCAGATTGGGATAGTGCAAGACATGTTGCAAAAAAACTTGATAATAAAAGATGTCTTTTTATAAGACCAACTGACCTACAACCTCGACCTAAAATTGCATCTGATTTAGGATATAATTTAAAAGAAATTATTCGAAATGCTCAACCAATTTGGCATAAAAGTATAACGACTTTTAGAAGTTTGAGACAAGATATTTTGAGTGATTTACAAAATATAGATAAAGTACAAGGAGTCAAATGGATAAGGTATCCAGCATTAAATAAAATTTTAAAGGGTCATAGAAGAGGAGAATTTACAGTACTTACAGGCCCCACAGGTAAAATATCTTCAACTTTTATTTAAATAATATTTTTCATTTAAGTTAAAATTAATTTAAAATTTACTTTAATAAGGATCTGGAAAAACAACATTTATGAGTGAATATTCTTTGGACTTGGCAATACAAGGTGTTAATACTCTTTGGGGAAGTTTTGAAATAAAAAATTCTAGATTAGCAAGAACTATGCTTCAACAAATGATTGGTGTACCATTAGATGAAAATTTAGAAAAATTTAACGTATATGCTGATGAATTTGAGAAACTTCCTATTTTTTTTATGACTTTTCATGGCCAACAAAGTATTAAACTTGTAATGGAGGTGAACTATATTATATAATATGTTAATTATAAATCAAAAGGTTCAAAAATATATACATACATATATTTCTAGGCAGTTGAACATGCTACTTACATGCACGATATCGCTCACGTAATTATTGATAATGTTCAGTTTATGATGGGAACATTGGATGAATCAAAATTTACAGACAGGTCTAATAAATAGATTTACATTATTAGTATACAATTAATTTAAAAATAAATATTTTTTTAAATATTATAGATTTTGGAAACAAGATCAGATTATTTCAGCATTCAGAACATTTGCGACAAAATTTAATTGCCATGTTTCATTAGTAATTCATCCTAGAAAAGAAAAAGAAGATGGAGAATTAACAACTTCTTCTATTTTTGGAGGAGTGAAAGCAAGTCAGGAAGCTGATAACATTCTAATTGTTCAAGATAAAAGACTAACAAATATTCATGGAAAAAAATATTTACAAGTACGTTTAGAAATATATTTTAATTTCAGTAACATAAATTAAATTAATATTAATTGCTTCATATTTGTAGGTAGCCAAGAATCGTTATAGTGGTGATCTTGGAATTATGATTCTTGATTTTGATAAAAATAGTCTTAGTTATGCTCCAAAAAAGAAGTCGAAATCTAATTGTAGTGAAGCAGTTGTTTGTGAATATTTATCTTGAACTTTTAACAGAATATTATGGGTATATATATATTATTTTTTTCTTCTGAGTAATATAAAAAATTTGTAATATATTATATTACCAGTTAGATTTTCAACAATTAAATATTTATATATATATAGTATACTTGTAAAAATATAATGTTATATTTTATATATTTTTAATGTTATAACTTTATTGTTTAATACATAAAACTAAAATTTGATTCAGTGGGTGAATGAAATGATTTGTATTATAATTGCATAATACACACCAAAATTTTGTGTTTATATTATGTATAAATATTTTATAAAATTAATTTATATATACATTTTATATATTTAATATTTAATAAATATAGGTACAAGATAAAAATAGCTATAATTAATTTGTAACATCTATATTTTGTAGATCTATTATAATTTAAAATATTAAATATATATTTTACATTATCATGTAATTTACACGTATTTTACGTACACGTGATTTAGCTACTTATATTTAACCCTACTTTTTCATTTGTCAGTTTAAACATTCAATTTTATCATAATTCTTTTAATAAATAAAAGTTGTACATAAGGGTTATAAATTATGTAAAAGCATTAATATTATTGAAAATGAAGTGCCATATTATTTTTGTGTTTTATATAGTCTCATTATTTATTATTGGATACGTCTATTGTGATACAATTTTTAAAAAACCAAACGTTTTAATAGGAATTTTAGCTAGAAATAAAGCTCATACATTACCTTATACATTAAGTTTTTTAGAAAAATTAGATTATCCTACCGATAGAATTGCATTATGGTAATGGAAATAATTTTATTTTCAAATACTGTTTTGATAAATTAATTGTAATTAATATTTGATTTTAATTGTTAGGATACGTAGTGATAATAATATAGATAACACTATTAAAATATTAAATACATGGTTGAAAGAGCAAGGAAGTAATTACTTCTCAGTTAATGTAACAATGGATCCAAAAACACAAGGTCATGAGGATGAGAAGGGTATTGCTGATTGGACTCCATCTCGGTTTGAACATATAATTAAATTGAGGGAAGAAGTACTTAACTATGCAAGAAAAATATGGGCTGATTTTATATTTGTATGTAAATATAAATTTTATAATTCTATTTATAAAAAATATATAATTTTATATCAACAGCAAAATTTTTATTGGAAAATGATTATCTTATTAAATACTTAAAATATGTAAATTTATTAAGTAAATTTTGTCCCAAAATTTTCTATAAAAACTATGTAATATTTTATTTTAATTATCAAGATGCTAGATGCTGACATTTTTTTGACAAATCCCAATACACTTAATTTACTAATTTCTAAAAATGTCACAGTTGTTGCACCTATACTAAAATCTGATGGAATGTATAGTAATTTTTGGGCAGGAATGTCAGAAAATTATTATTATAAAAGGACAGAAGAATATGAATCTATTTTGACTAAAACAAAAATTGGTTGTTTTAATGTACCGATGATACATAGTGCAATATTGATTGATTTGCGAAGAAAAGATACAGACTTTTTAACCTATGATTCTCAATATTTTAATTTGTATAATGGACCAAGAGATGATATAATAACATTTGCACTTAGTGCTAATTATTCAGGTTATATTTTATAAATATTAATTCAAATTTATATATAAGTTTTGTATAGTAAATTTGAATAAATTTTATTAAAGGTATTCCATTACATATATGTAATGATGAAAATTATGGTTTTATTATGGTGCCTTTGGAAAATCAAGATATAATTGAGCAAGACTATCAACAAATTACTAATTTAAAACTTGAAATGTTGGCTGCTGGTAAAAATTAAATATTCAAAATAGATGTAAACTTTATGTTAGAAAATATTTTTAATTTAATTGTATTAATTGTTCATAAAATAGCTGATCAAGAATTTATACAAATATCTGAAACCATGAAGAGTTTTGTTGTTTATCCTAAAAAGAATACTTTGGGTCTTAGTAATATATATATGATTAATTTATTTAGAAGACCTGAACGTAGACGGAGAATGTTAGCTTGTTTTGATGAACTAGGTATTAAAGCAGAAGTTATTAATGCTATTGATGGCAGGTGATATGCAAAGCATATAATTATATTTATTAATATTTCTTAATAACATTATTTATTATTTATATTAGCTTTAATTAGTTTAAAAAATTAAGTTAACACAAGTTTAATATATTTAAGAATTGTTTTAAAAGTACAGATATAAATGTAATATTTATTCTTTTTTTAGAACATTAAATGAAAGTATATTAAATTCATGGAATATAAAAATAATGCCTGGCTATAAAGATCCATATCATAAAAGGTAATTTTAAACATTAATCACTGCTTATACATCTTAATAATTTAAGATATTGTAAATATAGACCAATGACAATGGGAGAAGTAGGATGTTTTTTAAGTCATTATATTGTTTGGAACAAGGTGAATATTTGGATCATTTGCTAAGAAAATCTATTCCATGACAAATTTCAATGTTTTATTTTTAATTTAAATATTTTAACAATTAAAATTATAGATTCTTGAAGATAATCATATGTATACTTTAGTTATGGAAGATGATGTTAAATTTGAACCATATTTTAGACAAAAATTAACATTCATTTTACAAGAGTTACAACATTTTAAATCTGATTGGGATCTTGTGTATGTATTAATATATATAAAATTTCAGATCAAAAGTTTTAGTTCAAAATTATAATTTTAAATTTATATTATCTTCGTCGATCTTTATTTAGATATCTTGGAAGAAAGCAAATGCAAAAGGATCCAGAAAATGTGGTCAACGGATCTCAATATTTAGTTTATGCTGGTTACAGTTATTGGACTATTGGTTATATGTTGTCAGCTAATGGTGCAAGGAAGTTAATTGATGCTAAGCCACTAGAAAATTTAATTCCTGTTGATGAATTTATACCCATAATGTATAATAATCATCCACGGTAAATCTATTAATTTAAAAATATTAAATTTAAAGAAATTTAATTATTTTACTAAGTATAAATATTATCTTAAAATTATGAAATTGCAAAATTATAATTTAATTTCTACTGCGTTTGTGTAATTTTGAAATAATTAATTAACAATTTTATATATTTTTAAGTACTTCAATAATTTAAATTTATGTCATATATTTTTTAAGGGAAGACTGGAAAGAATATTTTGAAAATAGAAAGTTAATTGCTTTGTCAGCAGAACCACTGATTTTATTTCCCACCCATTATACTGGTGAAAATGGATATATAAGTGATACAGAAAATTCAATTGTATTTTCCAATGATAATATTAAAGAAATATTTGAAAGAGAAGAGCTATGAAAATAAATTTTTTATTAAATATAATCCTTGAAATAAAAATACAAATAAGTAAAAAACTATTCTGAAACTTTAATTGTCATATTCATTTTTGTATATACATTTTTTATTGTCAATTTATTATTTCAAGAATATTACCAAAAAAATTATTATAGTTTATGAAACCAAAGAAAGGAATAACATCTAGTCACTGGAATACAACAAGTATTAGTGACAATGCCATAAATAATAAAATATCAAATTATTTTATGTTATTATGTTTAGTGTAGGTAATACATATAATTATTTATAATTTAATGCTTATACAAATTTTTATACAAATAAAATAATAATTGAAGAAACAAAATTATAATCTTTTTATTAATCTAATTCTAATAAAGAAATTAAAAAATATATATGTGACATGTATTTAATTTTACTAATATAGTATTAAATAATAATATAATTTCACGATTTCATATAATTTAATGCCAGTAAGATATCTATCGCATATTTATTCTTGAAATTATTACTATTTCCATTAGACTATTTTTAAAATATTTATTCTTTATTAATATCTTTAACTATTATTAAAAAAATTGAATTACATGAAAACTTTATATCTGCTGTTATTGCTTATAATTTTTCTCTATATTTGTTACGACTTTTAAATAGTACAAAATATACTTTATGTCAAATTTAACAAATGAATTTTTTAAAAAAATATTAAAAAAAATGTTGTTAAGAGTAAATTGATAAATGGATTTTTATATTCTTTCAATTAATTATATTTTACTAAATTCTTTAATCAATACTATAATTTCTATATCTAATTAATGATTTTAAATGATTTAGAAACGAGTGTGGATAAATTTTTATTTAAAAAGAAAAATAATATGAAATATGAATAATTAAACTTGTATAATTCTCAATATAATACATAATAGAAGTTGTGTTTTGACAGCTAGACAATCGAGTTAAATATATATGAATTACGTAATCACGAAGGATTCTTAACTCTGGACCTGAACTTAATACAGAACAATATTTTCTTTTTGAATCACTACGCATATATGATGAACTCTATTTGGTTAAGCTAATTTCTTTTAGAACACTTTCAATATTTTCTTATTTTTACGCAAATCGTTCATTTATAATTATTCAAATTTATTCAAACTGTAAAAAACTTCATAAAGTATATAATTTTGACGAGTTCCAAAAACAAAAGCACTATAATTTTAAATTTTAATTCAACATATACTTTAGTTAATAAATAGATGCTGTAAAAGATTCGTTTTATTTGTGAAATATTATATAACTATATTTTATAGCATGATTTATCTATGACATTATTTATATAAAAATGGATTTGATAAAACTGTTAAAATAAAACTCAAATTTGTAAATTATATTAAATTTGCTTAATGATCTATAGGAATTTTTGTAAAAATATAGTCATACTATTAACTTTAAACTTTAAACTTATATATTCACATAAAAAAACGAATTATAAAATTATGTGTTTAACTTTAAATGTTTTAAATTTTTATTTAAATAGTACTATTTTGAGTTTACTTGGCGCGTTTATTCATGGTATGGTCACGTAGTGTAACATTGTGTCGTGAATTATATGATATGAAATCTAATTTAAAAATTTAATAACTCGATGTATTAATTATAGTAAATGTAATTTTACCCTTATTCTATTTTACCAGAACACCATCCCATTTTTGGGGTGGTATTTTTTGAAATTTCATAAAGTGAGGTTAAAATTTAACTTAAATTATTGCAACTTAAAACTTAATTTGTATATAATATATTTTTTTGTTTAGGATACATGAGAGTAATGATAAAATTATGTCAAAGTATTTAGTACAAATAATTCTACTAGGCTCTAAGATAGTAGGTAGAGCATTTGCTCGGGCTCTTCAACAAGAATTTGCAGCTAGTCAAGAAGCAGCACGTAGAGCAGGCAACAATGAACAAGCAGGTCGGCGGAGGGTGGCTACTAATATTCGAACTGGTATAACATTAGAAGAAGCATTACAAATTTTAAATGTTCAACAAATAGATGAATCTGATGTAATTCAACGTAACTATAAATATCTTATCGAAGCAAATGATAGATCTAAAGGTGGTTCATTTTATTTACAATCAAAAGTTGTTAGAGCTAAAGAACGTATTGATGAAGAATTAAAAAATATAAAGACTAAACCCCCAAAATCAAGTAATTCAAGACAAACACCAAATTCACAACTTTAACATTTAACATTTTCTATTTGAACTATGTGGAGTTTTTTAACAATTTAATACTTATTAGTAAGATCAAAGTTTAATGTAAACAAAGATCAAGGGAACTGTTATTTATACAAATGTTATTAATAAATGTATAAAATTATTTGTTTGGAAAAAACCATAAAAATAAATATACTTTATTAAAAGTAAGAAAAAAAGTACAAGTATATAAATTTATTGATCAATAAATATGAGTATTCTAATACAATTCTGCAAAAATAAGTTTCTCTTAAACAAGTGCTCTTTTACTTAGTTACATATAAATTTAAATTTAATAATCAACTATCATATTTTATCCCAGCTACCCTTGCATCTGATGGTTCTATCCTATTTTGAATCTGTCTAATATTTAAGCGTTCTTGATTATGGCAAATAGACCATAATTCAGGTAAAAATTTTGGTTTCAATGTACTTAGAAAATGTTCTCTCCATAATCTTTCTAGTTCCACGAGACCACCTTCATTATGTTGAAAATAATGAACAACCTATATTTTAAAAATGCATATTCCATTATTACTGATAATTTATTAACATAAAAATATTTGTACCTTGAGACCATGTGGCTGATATTTTGATTCGGTAGATGAAGTAGGCTTGGATATACGATTCCGTAAAAAATTATTTCTTAGAAATAATTCCATTAAGAATTGTTCGTTTAAAAAATTTATCATTTCTTGGTAATTAGTGAGTTTTGTAACACACATTTCTAATTTTTTTCTTCTTTTGTGAGATATTGTAGGCTCTTCTTTAAGTACTTTTATTACTGATTGCAACATTTCATCATTAATATGTAATAATGGATCTAATAAGGGTTTATCACATAATATTGCTAATTTTTTCCTAAGCTGCAGATCATGACAGTTGCTCACTTCATGACATGTTGGACACAATAAAAGTATATCGTGTGATTGATGTGATTTCATGACCACTAAAAAAAATTAAGGACGTTATAATATATATAATATATATAATCAATTAAACAAAAACTAAATATTTAACAACAATAAATAAACAAGATATTAAGATTATATCACAGATTTGAAAGTATAAAATAAATAATATTAAATTATTTATATTTATATTAAACTATTTGTGAAATACTAACAGGGAAAATATTTGCGATATTCTCTAGGAACAACATTCTTTTTAATAAATTTATCAGATGCTCCGCATACAACACATTGATTTATTTTCACTTGAGTGTAGTACTTTCCAACGTCGCCTAAGGCACGTCCAGATGGTTCAAACTTTAATTTGACAGTAAATGGATTTTGGTGAACCACTTCTCCTAATTGCTTTGAAATATACCATTCAGCTTTTTTTTTATCGCATGTACATAAAACCTCACCATCGGGTGCTTGCAAATAACAATTATCATATAATGGCTTATTTCTAGCTGACACAGTATTTTTGTATACTGAAATTTTTTTTTTATTTATTTTTCTTAATTCATTATTAGAAATATTGTTTATATCCCTATCTTTTATACAATTAAATCTGTAAAATACTAATCAATATAATGAATACTGTTATAGTTATAATAATTTAATAAGGTAAGATATTTTTAACCTTGTATCAATAATTCCATTAGGTAAATCAAAAATTTCTACTTTATTATAATTATGCAAACTTTTAATATAAAATGTTAAATTTTCCCATAAAGAACGCTTTTGTCTTGCTTTTTTACATATCTAAAAATATTTCCTTATTAATTTTTTCATGATTTATAGCAGATTGATTGCTAACAAATTTTTATTTTACCTGATGATAGATAAGAATAGAAGCATAAGCATCATAAGATGCATAGGCTATTTGTTCATCAGTAAGAGTTTCAGCATTCCAATTACTATATTTTACTTTCAAAACTTTATTCATTTCAAACCCTAAATACAGAACACAAAGTGCCGCTAAACTCTTAGGACTTGGCAAAGAAAAACAATTTGCTAAAATTCTCAAATCCAATGTTCCAAGAACTTGACAATTATAATTTTTATCAATCCTTTTCCCACCTTCAAACAAAGCAACACCAACTTTTAACAAATGACGATTAGTTAACAACTCCTGAAATAATAACATAAGTATTTTGAATATAATATAACTAATAAATAAAATGTATTTTAAAAAAAAATGTTATATGTACTTTAAGTTTTGTAGGTATATAGCCAATTTTATTTAGACGAAACAATGCACAAACACCATTGCAAGTAGCAAGTTGTAGCAAGAAGACAGGTCCTTGATTTATCTGTCCACAATCAAAACCTAATAGTCCATTTGACAAATTGCTACATTTAAATAAAAAATATCAACATTTTAATTCTTCAACAATTTATAATATAAATCACACATATATAGCCTGTAAAATTACGTGATTTTTATATTCAAATTACTTTTAATTCGTAAGTCTTAGGAAGGTCGAAAAATGTTTTCAATAAGAATTACCATTGAATATGTTGAACAGCATAATCACATTTTTCTGGTGAATCAGCCACAATAATTTTGTCTAAACAGACCGTTAGTTCTTTTCTATGAGTTTTTTTATTTTCTTTATTATTACTATTAATACTTCTTTTACTAATGCTATGATAAAGTTGTTTAGCATTCCAAGATACTTTATTATGATATTTGCAAGCTAGCAACATAAGCCCTACACTGACGAAAATGAGAAACATCTTGTTTCTGTGTATTATAAACATTAAGTATATTAATTGATTGAATTAATTACAAAAATAAATATATACTGATATTATGTACAATTAAAGTATGAATTAATGTGTATATATAAGAATAATTTAATATTGCAATCAATAGACAAATAAATAAGCTAATAAATATGTTTAATTTTTAGAATATCAACGAATAATTACAAAATTATTGACTAATAACTTACTGAAAAGTTTTTAAAATTAATACCCTCATTTTATAAATTCAACAAGATATTGTTCCTGTTATGTGTATTAATTGCATTTATTTTAGAATAGTCTAATAAAATCTAATAAAAAGCAAGATTTAAAGGTATTAAAATCAAAACATTCAAAAAAATTTTAAACCACTCACTACTGTTATAGAATTTCTTACATGACTAAACAGACAAATCAAAAATTGAGTCCCTATTTATTCCGAGTATTTACATTATTTTCAAATAAACTTAAAAGGAGTTGGAATATTGAAAAATTAAACACGAGAGGGGGAAATAATGCTATATATTTATATATCTTATATACTACACTATATCACCAATCGAATTTATCCTAACGTAATCTTTTATTTTTTGAATAAATAACCAGATTTACATTATAACTTCAAACAACAAACTTTTTGACGAACAAATTTTAGTTATTATTAAAATTATGAATAAAATTTTTAAACTATTCTAAATTATTACGTGGTTTTAATATTTGTCAGAAAATAAAGATTAAATATAATGTTCAATTATATAGATATTTTTTCATCTACATTTATGAAAATAATTTGTTTCGTAAATAATAAAATGATTATTTATTATAGTTTATAAATTTGAGGTACAGATATACATGGCAGAATATTGGATCTCTATTGCCTATCATCATTTAAAATTTGTTTTTATTTGGCTTCTTATTAGAATTTATTGCAAAACATGCTCCGAAATAACGTTAAATAAACATCATTTTCACCACCTGTTTAACTATTATAATAATAAAATGAGCATCTATCACATAAAAGATTGTAAATTATTGGCTTATGTATAACAGCGTTAATGTTAAACATTAGTAACTAAAAGTTACTATCGTTTGAACTAATTCTATATTATTTATTAAAACTGTTTATATTCAAAATGTAATATATTATATTAAATATAATTAATGATATATATATATATATATATATATATATATATATAATAATTTAAAAAAAAGAATGATTTATTATAGTTAGAAATAAGGAACCAATATATATTATATAATTAATATTATTTTGTTTATCTAGAATAAGCAAGTAAATTAATACTTATAGAAACATTGATAAAAAACAATAACATTAATTTATAATATTCCAAATTTATTCGAAAGCGAAAATTTATGGATGTAAAATTAAAAAATTAAGTACTTTAATATTCTTATATACGCTATATAATTTCATTTTAATAAAATATTAACATTGTTAATCTTGTATAAGTTTATTGTAACATAAAAATTCTATTATGAGTTAATAATTAAAAATAGCATTTTAAATGTTCGAATCACTAACAAGAACAATTTTATAAATAAATACAGTCATATACACGTAACTAATGTATTAAATTAATTTTTTATTCTATGGCATGTAATATAAGTTAATTTTTAGGCGTAAAAAATATATGTAACTGTAAGTAATATAACAATTACTTTACTAAGCTATTGAAAAATCTACTGTGGACTGGGACAGATTTACTGCAACGAGGTCATATAGTTCGGATTAATTTGAAATCCACGTTTCATTTTTTATACGTAAGTTTTAATATCTTTTAGTAAATATCATAAACGTATGGTTTTATTTTTGTAATATTTATTGTAGAAAGAATTAAGAATTTTTAAGAATAATTTTTAATTTTTCTCGGATAATCTTATGGCTTAAGAGTTAGGTTAGAATGAACAATTTATCGTTTTAAGTAACCAGATGTAAAAACTAAGATATTTGTTTAAGTATTTTAAATGCATTAAAATCGCCGCAAAATATTTATAATTATATATTAAAATTTCTATCTATAGTCTGTATGAGCAATTTTAATTATTAAATTTTTTTTTAATAATCTATTATTTCTACTTTAATATAATTTGGGAATAGCCTGAATTGATTCTGGTTCTTATTTCAAACTTAGTACAATTTTTTAAGAAAATGCCACCAAAACGTTCAACAGAAGAAACGGATCGATTAACTAGAATAGCTATCGTTAATACTGATAAATGTAAGCCTAAACGATGTAGACAAGAATGTAAGAGATCATGTCCAGTTGTTCGAATGGGAAAACTTTGTATAGAGGTTACACCTAATAGTAAAATAGCTTCTATTTCTGAAGAACTTTGTATTGGATGTGGTATTTGTGTAAAGGTATTTAACAATAAATGATAATTATAATGTTTAATTATTATTCAAAAATTATTCATAAAAATTTATTTGATTATGTTTAGAAATGTCCTTTTGAAGCTATATCTATTATTAATCTACCAAGTAATTTGGAAAAGGAAACAACACATCGTTATTCAAAAAATTCTTTCAAGTTACATAGACTCCCAATACCTCGCCCTGGAGAAGTACTTGGACTTGTAGGAACTAATGGTATTGGAAAATCGACTGCCTTAAAAATATTGGCTGGTAAACAGAAACCAAATTTGGGACGATTTTCAGTAAGTAATTTTATATAAATGATTTTAATTTATTGAAATTTGAAAAATAAATATTTTTTAAAATTTTGAGGATCCTCCTGATTGGACTGAAATTTTAAGTCACTTCCGAGGTAGTGAATTACAAAACTATTTTACAAAGATCCTTGAAGATGATTTAAAAGCACTTATAAAACCACAATATGTCGATCAGATTCCAAAAGCTGTTAAAGGAACTGTTCAGCAGTTGCTAGATAAAAAAGATGAATGCAAAAATCAAGCTAAAATTTGTGAAATGCTTGGTAAACGCATAAATTTAATCTATTGAAATTTCTGTAATTATGTTTAATAACTAATATATACTTTTATTATAGATTTAACTCATATACGTGATAGAAGTATCGAAGCATTGTCTGGTGGAGAACTCCAGCGATTTGCTTGCGCTATGGTATGTATTCAAGATGGAGATATTTTTATGTTTGATGAACCATCGTCATATCTAGATGTTAAGCAGCGTTTAAATGCTGCTGTTACAATTAGATCGCTTATTCACCCAGACAAGTAAATAATTTTGTTTTACTTATTACTTCTTTTTATAAATTGAAAAATATTCTTATATAACAATTATTTTAGATTCATCATAGTTGTAGAACACGATCTTTCAGTACTCGACTATCTTTCAGATTTTATATGTTGTTTATATGGTGTACCTGGAGCTTATGGAGTTGTCACAATGCCATTTTCCGTAAGAGAAGGAATCAATATATTCCTTGATGGTTTCGTTCCTACGGAAAATTTGCGTTTTAGGGAAGAATCTTTAGTCTTTAAAGTAGCAGAAAGTGCTACAGAAGAAGAAGTTAAAAGAATGAGTCATTATGAATATCCAGCAATGATTAAGACAATGGGTTCCTTTACTTTAGAAGTCGAAAAGGGGCAGTTTACTGATTCCGAAATTCTCGTACTATTAGGAGAAAACGGTACTGGAAAAACAACCTTTATTAGAATGTTAGCTGGTAATTTACCACCAGATGATGGATCAGGTAATATTTTTATTATTGTTTGTATTTAAATTATTCTTTCTATTACTCAATTTTTTATTTAGGTAATATACCACAATTGCATATTAGTTATAAACCACAAAAGATTAGTCCAAAATCTCAGGGTATTGTCAGACAGTTATTACATGAAAAAATTCGAGATGCTTACGTTCATCCACAATTTATTACCGATGTAATGAAACCGTTAAAAATTGATGATATTATTGATCAAGAAGTACAGAATTTATCTGGAGGCGAATTACAACGTGTTGCATTAGCTCTTTGTCTAGGGAAACCTGCAGATGTGTATCTAATTGATGAACCATCAGCTTATTTAGATTCAGAACAACGTTTAGTTGCAGCTAAAGTTATAAAAAGGTAGTATTAAAAAGATGTTAGTGTAAATAATATTTTGATTATTACATTATTTATATTTTGCATTTAGATTTATATTACATGCAAAGAAAACTGGTTTTATAGTTGAACATGATTTTATTATGGCAACTTATTTAGCTGATCGTGTAATTGTTTTCTCAGGCATACCTTCATTACAAACAGTTGCACATAGTCCACAATCATTATTAAATGGAATGAATAGATTTTTAGAACTTTTGGGTATTACTTTTAGGCGAGATCCAAATAATTTCAGACCACGAATAAACAAGAATCAGTCTGTTAAGGTAATTGAATACAAATTCATAATCATTTATTTTTTAAAATCACAATTATTTTTTTATTTGAATGAATAGGATTTAGAACAGAAAAAAGCAGGACAGTATTTCTTTTTGGAAGAATGATTAAAAATTACAAAATACTAGTCTGGAAGAATTCGAATAATAAAATTATGGAAATACATAATCGTTGTAAACATCGTTCCTTCATACAATTTATTAGTTAGTTAACAAAGCAGTGTTACATTTTTTTATACAGATTTTAATGGACATCATTACGAACATTTTGAAATTTATAAAATATTTGTGAATACAATTTACAGAAATAAGTTTAAATAACAGTTTTACAATTTTATTAAATAATCAATTTGTCAACTTTAATTTTTACAAATTATAATAAATTATTTTTATAAAATTATAATAAAATTGATATAATATGTATTTACTGTTATAATTGTACAGTAATTCTAAATTATGTCTAACAAAATTACAATAAAATTATGAATTCTTTATTTAAAGACTAAGTTTTTTTTATTAGTTTGATTAAAATCATTTACAAATAGAGACTTTGTTAACATGATATTTAAGGTAACAACTTTCTGAAATAAATGTATTATATAAAATACATGTTTAAAAATATGAAATAGATTTACTAATAATGTTGCATAAATATTAACAATTGTTATTTGCAACTGGTGTACATATTTTCAAATTACATTTTAGTTACAAATACAACTAAACGTAGAAATTAGACGTTCATTTCTTAGTAAAGTATTACATGGAATATTATTCAATCTTTTCTTTCGTTTGGCATTTAAAAAGATTTCTTGATTTAACAAAAGATTAAATAGAAGTTTCACCACTACTATTTCCTGAAAGAGCCATTTTTGATAAATTAGAAAGACTTCGACGGGGACTGCTACCACCTAAAAAACTGCCACCTGTTTCTGAGAAAATTTTTCTAAAACTAAAAACATTTATATTTTTTACTATAAATTTTATTTTGCTTTACTTCACGTATATAATAAATTTAAACAAAAAACTTACAATTTTCGTATACCTGATTCAGAAGCTTTTTTCCATGGAGCATCATCTGGTTCATAAGGTAATGGACCTTGAACGGGAGCATCTTTGTCATCCTGAATCCTATTAAAATTTCATAAATCATTAGACATTTTTCTATTTAAACTAACAACTATATTTATATAATTTTATTTAGAAATTAATGAAACTTACCATTCTGGTTTTGGTCGATATAACTCTAACTCATCTTCTAAATCGGAAACCCTTGCTTTTAGCTCATTTCTTTCATGTAAAATTTCTTTAAGTTCCAACGTTGTAAATCTCGGCCTGTCTGGATCATCCAAGTCATAAATTACTTTATTAGTTAAGTCTAGATAACCTTGAGATTTTGATAGATCCTCATTTTCTTTTCGTGCAAGCCCGAGCCTCGCTCGAAGATTAATAAGTTCTCGATTTTGATCTTGTAATTGTGCTAAAAAATCTGCTCGTTCTTCTACTAGGCCCCTTGCTTGCATTTGAGCTTGTCTTTGTTTTCGCTTTAATTCTCTCCCAACAACACTTAATTTGTCTACTTGATTGGATAACTATTAAAAATGAAAAACTTACATTTCATTATTATTATTTTTATGAAATAAAGAAATAAATAATTTTCTAAATTAAATATATTTCTAAGAACAAATTTAAAAATCTGCCAAAATAAAAAAAATAATTCTAATCATAAGAGATTTTTAACTAAATATGGATAGTTTAACTCTTTTATCATAGAGATTGCATAGTAACTTAATTTTCTTAAATGTTGCTGCTAATGTTACTTCAAGTAATTAATAAAGCTTAAGAAATTTTGCAGTTAATTTGTATGATAGTTCAGAAAGTATAGTTATTAATGAAGAATCAATTATTTTATATTTTAATAAATGATCATTAAATATAATGTATCGGTACATATTTTCTTCGATAAATATAAGTGAAATATAAGTTAAACCGTATAAAAAATATATTTTTCAGATTATATACATATATCTTTGAATTATTTTCAGCTTACATTTTCCATTTCTGCATCTTTTTGAGAAAGTTCTCTGTCACGATTTCTAATTTGTTCTCTTTGTTTATCAATCATCGTTCTCAGACGTTGTAAAACCGCAATATCAACTTCTTGACTTGCTGTAAAAGCTAAGTCATAAAAAGTAGGATTAAAATCATTATAATAAAAATATATACCCTTTATTATTAAGTAATTAATTTATTAAATTTATTCATTTTAAATATATAGAAGAAATTTTGATAGTACTTTGTTTATCGCCATCGCCGCTGTCAGTTCGAGTTTCTTGTACAGTAGCTGCTAATCGTCTATTTTCTTCCTGCAATCTGGTAACCATCTCCAATAAATCACGAGATTCTTGTCTCCAATGTTCTTCAATCTGTTCTAATTCCTGTATCAAATATTTTGATTTTTAATTCGTAATAAAAATTATCGTAAAAAACTTAATTTAAAAATAAAGTAATTTTTATTAATTTTAAAAAAGGCAATTTAATAAAATGATATATTGTAACAGATTAACACACATTAATAATACAATTTAAATGTAAAATTTTTATTTTATGAATATTTGTATATACATTTATATTTAGAAATATATGAAAATGTTTTATAAAAAATAAAGTATTAAATGTATAATTAGTTTGAGCAAAAATTAAAATTTTATACATAATATTAACAAATAATAGTAAATAAATTTCATTGATTTATTATATTAAAATATAATTATACTTCATATTAATTTTATATTAATATGAACAATAATTAATTAATGTATAACAAGATTTTTCATTCAATCTGAAAAATCGATTCTAAATAAATAAAAATATTTATTTTAATATGTATACAATATAGTATTAGAATTATAAATTTTTTTAAAGTAAATTTATGAATATTTTAATAAATATATTTCATTATTGCACTTAAATAATTATTAGAATAATTATGATATCTTAAATATTAATTAAAGTGAAATAACGTTTATATACAAATAGGCAAGTATCTCTGACATTTTATTATTTATTATTTAAATTTTCGTCAATATTATTCAATATTAAATAATAGTAAAATACATACGGAGAAGTAATTTTAAATACAATTATAAATTCATCAGTTTTATTAAAATTTAATTTTAGATATATTATAGAAAATTTATACTATTATTCAAAAGTATGAAATTAAATTTTTATACAAGACAATTAATTAAATTAAAATTATTATTTCATAAAATGTATTCTTGTAAAAAGTATATTGTAGAAAATTATATCAATAAAATGCTTAAAATAGTGTGACTGAATATTTAATAACTTTAGATATAACAATTCATAACTATACAAAGAGAAAATATCGGTACTAAGTCAATAAAGTATTAAAAACTAATCACTTGTTAAGATCTTAATTTCAATAAACTATATACTTTACGTAAGTAAATAGAAGAAACAAATTTTAATATAAAAAAATCAAACATTTTAAAATTTTCGTTTGAACTGAACAATAGGAAAAATATAAATACTTTTTCGAAACGTTGTCGATCTTCTGCTTTGCCAATTTTGTCCAATTCGAGTTGAGAAATTTTAGCCCTAAGTTCTTGGACCGTTGTGTTCTCACGCTCATTCTTAGTCGCTAAATTCTCAAGTAGCTCAAGAGCATTGATCACTTTAGGCATAAGATTCGTAATAGAATCACTGCCATATGAATCGATGAGTTTCTCGCATTCTTTGCCGATTTCCGAAGCGATATCATAGACATCAACAACGGATACATCGGACGACTCGGAGAATTCATCCATCATTGCTGATCTAGGATTTGATCTCAAATACAAGGGCAGAGGCATTTAAATTTTTGTTATTTTTTAATTTTTATCACTACTAATAACATTGCTACGATTTTCAGCTTAAAAAAGATTTCACAATAACAATATAAAACTAAAAGATATACTTGTTAAAATCAATCGCTCAGTTTATGAAAACAAGTGATTTATCATCAACAAACATTAATAAGATTATAATCCATTACAATCATAAATGGTTTGAAGATCTCAAATGTCAAATGTCAAATGACATAAAATTACATATTGATGAAATATTATTTCTAATTTTTTAAGTATGTTTCTTTCTCGTGTATTTTTTATGTTAATTTGTTTTTATTTATTTATTTTTATTATTATTAAAGGAACAACTAAATCTAACGTTGTGATAATTGTATTACATATAAATCCTTGTGCTATGATAACATGAGTTGGTTACCGGGCAAATAACTGCAACATTTATTGCGATGAATCATCAAGATATATAATTCTTTTCTTCTCTCTGGATCTGTCCCTGCTTGCTATATACAGATACTATTTACAGATAAAAAGCTTACTTAGTAAAGTATGGTACAAATCCCTTTATTTGTGATGCTAAATGGTTGAAAATGTAATAACGAAATCGTTAATAACAAAAATAGTAAACGAACTCCAAAGGTTCAAGCACTGACAACCCGACACTGAATAACTACACAGACGCATCTACTTACAAAGTTGCAAAGTCGCAACTGTCTTTTATTTAAAATAATTTCTTCGTGTGATGCAAGTTGTTCACTTAAAATTGCCTTGCTCCTGTACATGTCTTGCAGATATAGATAATCAAGAAACGAGCATGATTTAAATAATATGATAATCTATATAATAGAAAGTAATTACGACACTGACTGCCGTGTTCATGGCTTTAGCGAAGGCGGCGCTCAATAAAATTTATAACTTTGAAATTGATCGAGAGCGACAGCTACAGCTGGTGCAAGTAGTCAGCCTAGTCGATAAAAAGGGTGGGGAAACGTTTGCCGTGGTAATGGCAATGAACGAGTGAGGGCGTGGATAGGACTATCAAAAGAATTTAGGAAGGCAGGTGTAGATTCCAGCTACTTTTATTGTAAAATTAACGAGACCATGTATGATATGAAATGCAAGTGAAATGTCATATTATAAATAATACATAGAGCATGTATCTCATAGATATAAGTATACTGATGTCTATTCATTTGTTACCTCCATTTCGAATATCAATTAAATAAAATTAAGTTATGCCCACATTTTGATAATCGCATATAATCGAATATCAAGAAAATTGTTCAAATACGATTTCTTCTTCCTATAAATAATTAAATCTTTTTATTAGCATTAATTCAACCATTGAATTATATTAAATTTGTCAATTTTCTAGTTAAGTTTCAAGATAACTTGCTAATCTCATTAACTAGTTGAATAGCTTTTTAATTTTTATTTACCAAAATTTTCAATAATTTGATACTATCATTTTATCTATGCGCTGGAAATTGAATTTAAAAATATCGGAATTCCCCGCGTATGTTTGATTTGCATATGGCTATGCAAAAATATACTAGTCTAATCTTTAATATTATACATTACTAGGAATGAGGTTAAGAAAGAATAACTTTTTATGCATCTAATAGAAAATAATTAAATGCTATTAATAGAATATACTATTTTCAATTCTAAGTATAATAGCATAATATCTATTATATATTTTTTAACATTGATTTGTAATTTCATTTAATAGAAACAAAATTCATGTAAATATTTGATGTTACAGTTGGTATACAAAATTTCTCATTTATTATGTCAAATATTGAGTTACATGATACGGAAATAGAAGAATTCGTCAGAACTTATGATGATCTTTTAAAGGAAAGACAAAATGTTGAATATGAAACTGCTACTTCAGAAGAACAAGTAATTAATATTCAACTTATTTATAAAGATAGTAATTAAACATATGCATAGAGCATTGAATTACCATTTGCATTCTATGTAAATTAAAAAAGGTTTTGTATAAAATAAATTTTAATGCAAGATTAAAGCCTAAATTTCTTAAAAGTAAAAGTCCCTTAATATATCTTAAATAAAACTTAAAACAAAAAGCATAAGATTAAAAAATAATTCTTTTTTATATTGCTTATATTTGATATATATATATATGTATATATGCATGTGTATATATATAGGTGTTTAAATATTCAATTAAAATATTTAATCTTTCAGGATCAAGTTGAGAAAAATATACTTAACTTCTATAAATTACATAAGCAGCCCATATTACTTAAATATGAACATATTAGTTTCTTAAAAAACTCTTTATCTCATTTATCTAGACATTATGAGGTATATTAAATATTTTATGAAATAAGTTGAATATTATACAATTATTTAAATTATTAATAATTTTCAGTCATTAGATTCTAGCAGACCATGGCTGTGCTTTTGGATTTTACATTCTCTTCATATTTTAGGCGTAAGATTAGAAGATGAAGATTATTCAAAAATTGTTAGTTTTTTATCAAAGTGTCAAGATCCAGAAGGAGGATTTGGAGGTGGTCCAGGGCAATTTCCTCATTTAGCTTCTACCTATGCAGCAATTAATGCACTTTGTACAATTGGTACAAAAGAAGCATATAATGTAATTAATAGGTAACTACTTGTAATTAGATTAAAAATGTATTTACTAAGATTTGTATTATATTACTTGAATATTTTTAAACATCTATAATTATTAATTACCTAAAAAAATTGGTCTTATTATTAGTAATTTATCATATTTATATTTTCTTAAAACAGTTATTAAGTTCTTTGAAAATTTGTTGCTTTTCATTTTAAATTTTTATTTAATTTATTTTTAATAAATTAAAAACTTTATAATTACATAATTTTAATTAACTAAAATTTAAAAATATTAATATTTATATTTTTATTCTATATTTATAAATAGATTGATTTAAATTACTTTATTCACAAAACAACCTTTAACAACAAATTAAAAACTATAATTAATAATTAATTTTTTATTTCAATTAAAAAATAATAAAGAAAATCAGGGTTTATAATTTTAATAATGTAATAAAGGTAAATATAAAAGATATTTTAAAAAATATTAAAAAATAAATTATAAAAACTTGAAAATTATAATATATAAAAATACCTGCTGCTAAAATATGTTTGAATAGAAAATATAAACAGAGAATATTGATATTTCAATTTTAGAATATAAATTCTAAAATTATTTCTTGATTGATTACTACTTAAAAATGGTTTGCATAAGTGAAACTGTGAAATTTAAAGCAGCATATAAAATAAAAAATTGTATAAAAACTAAAATTCAGTTAATTGACTAATAACTGATATAATATACTTTATTTAAATAAAGTATGGAAATTGAGTACAATATTACATAATATTTATAATTTCTTTAGACAAGGACTTTATCAGTTTCTAAAGTCATTACGCAATGCTGATGGAAGTTTTTGTATGCATATCAATGGTGAAATTGATTTAAGAGGAATATACTGTGCTCTGGTTGTAGCAAAACTTACAAATGTTTATAATCCTGACATATTCAAGAATACAGAGAAGTGGATAGTGAATTGCCAAACTTGGGAAGGAGGATTTAGTGGTTATCCAGGCATGGAAGCACATGGTGGTTATGCTTATTGTGGATTAGCTTCTCTTATTTTATTAGATAAGACTGATATTTTTGACTTACCAGCTTTTATGGTAGTTTTGAGCATATCTGTAATGAGTAATAATATGAGTTATATATTCAATTTATTTTCAAATATTAATAACTTTATAGCGATGGATTGTTAACAGACAAATGCGTTTAGAAGGAGGTTTTCAAGGGCGTACAAATAAATTAGTTGATGCATGCTATTCATTTTGGCAAGGTGCAACACTTGTTTCAATACAGACAATTTTAGCAAAGGAGACCAATATAATTTTAGATCATTGGCTATTTGATCAAGCTGCTTTACAAGAATACTTATTAATTTGCTGTCAACATTCTAATGGAGGATTCCTAGATAAACCTGAAAAGTATATAATTAAATTATATATATTAATTATATTCAACTCAAGGGAGTAAAATATCAACTAAAATTAAATTATACATTTTTTAGAAATTATGATGTGTATCATACATGCTATGGTCTTAGTGGTCTTTCAGTGGCACAAAATTCTCCAGAACCATCAGTAATTGGACCTCAACAAATGAATTCAATTCATATGATACACCCTATTTATAATTTAGTGTTTTCATCAGCAATTGACTCTGTAAATTATTTTGCTACTCTTTCAGTTCCTGAATGAAAGATATACATTTAGAATTTATATTTAATTTATTAAGGTATCAATAAATATTAATATACACTACATATTTTTATCATATTTTTCATGACAAATAATATTCTATAATAATAAAAAAATATTAATGGATTTAAAAATTTTAAGTTATTAATTTACTTTTAAAATTATTCAAATTAAAACGATCCAACTTATGTAAATATTATAATTAAATAAATTATCTATTTCTAAAGTTTTGTATTGTATTATATTATAAAATATAAACCATATATCTTGTCTGTATTTAATAGAGGAAACCATTGTATTTTGTATATTCAAATAACATAATATTAGTCTTTCGTTATTTACTGATTTGATAATATTTATTATTGCATACTTTTATTAAATTGATTATTTTTAAGCTTTTTACTAAGCATTAAATAAAAATTTTTGAAAATTATAAGCATTTGTTATTTGTTATTTAAATCTTATAAAGTTATAATACACAACTTTTAATGCGTTTAAATAGAAATAAAAGAAAAAAATAAAATCAATATATAAATTTTAGTATTGATTGATCATATTATTTAAATAAATATTTAGCTATAGGTATTAATTAAGTAATAGTATTTATTAATATTATAAACTTTTTCTTTTAAATGCATATTGATCAAGTAACATCAAATGAATTACGAAACATTCTTGTTAATATGTTAAGAAATAATTACATAATTATGTTATAATTTTTTAGAATAATTGTTAACTTTTCGAGAAATAGTTTCAACTATTTTTATTTTATTCAAAATGATTATGCAGTTTTAAATTTAATTTAATGATAAACAAGTTTTAATGTTTATTTTTTAATTGGCAATGCTTTTTTATAAATGAACCTTTTAAAACAGTTTGATTAAAACTATTCACTATGAATTATTTAATATGATTCAAATTCATTATTTTACGCACGCATACACAAATGCAAATATATGTACATATTTAAATGACTATAACATATTGTTCAAATAAAATATATGTTGTATTTTATTATATTGCATATTGTAATAAAATAAAATATCGTTGTTTTCATTAAAACTACTTAAACATTTTAATAATGATGTATTTTACTGTAGTATCTTCAACTATTATAAAATTCTATTAATTTATATTTTTACATATTTAACTTCTGGACCCATCATATGATTATATTATAAAGTACTGTTTAGAAAATAAATAAAAAACTATTATTTTATCAGATATGCTTATACATCAAAACACATATATAATAAGGATCTATTAGATTATGTTTATTATTAAAATTTTTTTTTAAACAACAAGTTCATGTTTACGAATATTCGTAATGTATATTAATTTAATTATATTTCATATCATTTATTTTATAAATAAAATATAGGAAATATGCAAATAAGGATTATATACATTATACATCAAATTCTTATAGATAAACTATATAATAAGAGTTTATAAAAATACAAAACAGAAACAATAATAAAGAATATAAAGGGCTTTATAATTTATTAATTTTATTCAGAGATTTCTGATTTATGAACAAAATTAAGACATGGTTAATAACTAATTTTATATAAAAAAATTAAATATTATTTACATTGAATAATATAAGAATATTAAATTTATTTGCAACATTAAAATAAATGATAGAAATTAATAATAAATGAAAAAGTTGTATTTCACATACTACATAAAAATTACAAAATGAAGATTATACAGAAAAATTTATCAAATTTTTATTCAATAAATATGTATAAATGTTTTTCTAAATAATAAAATTATCTTTATTAAATATCATATTACAAAATTAAAATTAAAATTTCTATACAATAAATTTTATAGATATAAATACTATTGTATGTATGATAGATAAATAATATGAAAAATATGTTTTATTTTAAATAAATCGATAATTATTTAGTATATTGAATATAGTAAAGTATTTTAAAATTTAATTTCATCCTTTCATGAAAAACTAATTGATAATTGTATTGATAATTGAAAAACTAGAACATATTTAAATTATTTCATTGATATAAAATTCATTTCAACTTACATTTTTTTTAATACATATGTTTAATAATTATTGAAAAATATAAAAATTAGCATACGAAATAGAACATATTTTTGTTTAAAAATTAGAAATTTTCACTATTATATTATTTCTGATAGTAAATTATCATCATAATATAATATTCACTTCTAATTTATTATTTAACGATTTTATTTAAAATTTCTTTTATCTATTACGTTATATTACGTTATATATATATATATATATATATATAAACTAATTTTTAGGTTAAGTTAATCTATTTGAAATCTCTTTTCTGCTTCGAACTGTTATATATTTATAAAATTCACAATACATCTTTTTTAGTAATAATTTTTTGGTCAAGAATAGTAGTAGAAATTCAGAATAAATTGAATAAAAATTTATATTTGTATTGAAAAATTGTATATATTGTTTATTAAATTGCAGTTTATGTAATTATAAAGAAAAATGCGGTTACTTAAATTTATGCAGAATTTACTAAACAGGTTAATGCATCTGTGGAAAAATAGAATAAATTTTGCGTGTCAAAAATAATTCATGCAATGTTACTACATTAATTGTAAATTAATCAATATGCATATTAACACAAATTGTGAGAATTTTATTCCAAAAAATTTTGTAGTACTTAATTTTTATGGAAAAAATACTTGTATTGCGTGGAATCAAAATGAATTTATATGTTTTCCATACATCTTCAAGAAGAGTACAGCAAAATTACAGGTTTTAAAAGCACCTGCAATAATAAAAGATATACGTAGCTTTAGTGAGAAAGTTTTTATTCTTTGTTTGCCAGCTGGAATTTATAAATTAACAGATAATTTTGAATGTTTTACCATAAATGAAATGGGTTTTGAATTTGGCTCGAATTTTTATGAGGTATTGATACTGAAGGATGATACTCTTTGTTTAGAAAATAAAAAACGAAAAATTACTGAAAGCCTTTTCTCAATTTCAACCACATCTAATTTATATATTTTTACATTGAATTATGAAAACACAGATAATACTTTCTACAATTTATTTTTACCTGATAATTACAATATCAATATAAACTTATGTTTCATCTCTAAGGATAAACAATTATTTAAGCTGCTTGATCAAAGGATTCATATAATTTACAATTGTGATTACTTAATAAAAGAAATCAAACCGGTAGAAAAACATAAAAAAATATATGGTCTTCTTTTAGCAACAGATACAAATATTGTAGTTTTAATACATGTTGTAGATAATAAATTAAAATATGATAAGATTTTTCTTGAAACAGATGTACAAATAGTAACCGCAGTGATGGATGTAAATATTGAAAATGAATTAATGATTATATATTCAGATAATATTAGGACATATTACAGTAGAAAAATATTAATTGCTGATTCTGTTCAAGAAGTTAGAATTGAAGAAAAATATTATGAAAATTTTAAAATATACAAATCAAAGTATGTTATTTATTTAAATAATTCTAAAGAACTATTTCAAATTTCAATTGAACAATTAAAAAATGGATACTATCAAAATACAAATGATTATATAAAATTAGAATCATATATGTTAAAGGATTTAGACAAAATAATTGAAACAATTTGTGATAAAACAATAGAACTAAAAAAATTAAGAGATAAGACAATAAAAAAAGAAGATAGATATAAAAGAATTAATCTATTTGTCAATAAACAAAATACTAAATTTGATTCAGATGATTATGTAAAGAAAATATTAAATCAAATATTTTTAATATCAAATTTAAAAAATGCTTTACCTAAAAATTGTACTGTATTCAAAATGTTAAAAAGTAAAGGAAAAACTATTTTTTCTATGAAAAATGTTAAGGACTATGATACTATTATTGAAATGCCAATCTATATATCAAAATTATCATCTAAATTAAATATAAGAACTGATCTTATTACATATAAATATGATAAAGGAATATGGTGTTTGATTAAGAATTATATTCAAACTCCTATATTAAGTAAAAGTAAAAAATTTTATATAAAAACGGACAAACTTCATTTTATACAATATAAATTAACTGTTTTGCAAAATTTAATAAAATCAAAGAACTTCAGTTTGGCAACAATTTCTAAAATTAAGAAAGATGTTCGACGAGAAATTCAAAGTTAACATTTTGACAAACGTCATCAATTTATAAACATTTGATTTCTATATTACTGCACATTATTAAATAGCTATAAATATTTTTCTTGTATTATAAATAAAAATTATATAATTTAAAATTTCTATTTTTATTTTGAAACCAATACTAAGTAAATTGTATAAGAATTCAAATGACTAAATTTAATAGTGTTATTAAATAATTATTTGTGTATTTGTTAGTTTAATAGTTTTGATTAATCAATCATCAATTTTATATAGTGGTGTTACCAATATTGCTAGAATTATTAATCTTCGTTTTTTAACAGCAAGTGTAATGTGTAAATAACTATAATATGGTTTTCATTAATAAAAAAAGTAATATATGATAGTATCATAAAATGGAATTTTACGTATAAATATTATTAAAAATATATCGTTACTGTCGAATTATGCTTAAATAGAGGGATGTCCAAAAGTTTAAAAGGAAATATGTAGCCGTACGTCTAATTAAAAAAAAAAATCACCCATCAAGTTAATATAAATCCGTGAAACATAATTACTAAATTATTTACCAATAATTGATTTGCGATCGTGTATGTAAAAAATATATACATGTTAGGTATAATTTATTTTGATTTATTTAAGCAATGAAACGATCACTTATCCAACATTATAAATATATCTACAGATGTAAAATTTCATACGAATTAATGTGGATCATTATTAATAATGGAAGTAAATTGGAGATTCAAGTATATATGTAGAATTGTAGAATTGTACTAACTATATAATACGTAACAAAAACATTTCTTAAGTTAGTACATAATTTTATTAAAACTTAAGCATACTATATTAAATTATGTATTAATAATAAATTACACTAAAAGCCATGTTTTACTTATTAAAATGAAAGTAAGATATTATCTTCATTTTTTACATAAATATCTGATTAACATTCATAGCTAAATATTATTAACACAAATGAAAATATTTTACTATTTGAAATACTACTCTGAAAGATACTTTATTTAAAATTTCATTAAAAAAAAATCAAAGCATATCTATTTATACAAACAGAATTTATAATTTATTATGATATATTGTCAAAAACATTTCTTGTAATTATTGTAATTAATTTATGGAATAACAATTAAACAATTAAAAATTTTTATATATAAATAAACTTTATGTATAAATACAATTTTATTTTAGATATCAGTATTTAAATGACCCAGATTTTTCTGGTAATGTATTTTAGTTGAGATTTGAGAGCTTATACGCGTGTGTGAAAATAAAAAATATCGCCAGTTCCGATCAGTTTCTTTTTTTTTTTTGCTTATAATTGCTTATGATTTTACATTTGCTTCTCTTGACTACTAGAAATTAGCAATAAATTTTATAGAATGCTGTAAATTGGTAGCTGTAAATTTCTATGTAGGAATTGATGAACGTCTTTTTTTTTATATGCAATTAGTGCCGAATAGACTTAACAAACTCTAAACTGAAAATTTACTAACTGAATGTACAAAACCGTCAAAAGTGTAAAAGATAATATTATAAACAGTAACTGTACATTCTGTCCAATACTTGAGGCGTATTGGAAATTGAGTTGCACCAGCAGTTTTATGGTGATTCGTTACTACATTAGTAATAATTTTGGTCGGACTTCACTATCTTACCGAGTGATTTATATTCTCATATTTATTCTTAATGCGAATTTAACAAATAATGTTATATTTAATTTATTTTATAAAATTGAATGCTATAAAATTAATGTATATAAGACTATAAGACTTATTAATGATAATATAGAGGATCTAAAAAATTGAAACCATTTTAATTATAAAAATATTCCCTATTTTAATTGTTTAGTTATTGTAAATTATTTAACAATTTATATTATATTTTGATGTTTGTTAAAATGTTCATAAATCATTATTTATAAAACGATTATTTAATTCTCTTCTAAAATCATTCTAATATTGTCATTTAAATAGAAAAAAACTTAATTTGAAAGTTTGAAGTTATATTTTACATATATTTCTATAACTTATGTAGAGGTGAAGTTTGCTTAACTAATAAATTGATTCGTTATTATTAAAATGAAATTTATTTCACAATTATTTAGGCACATATCATTAATAATTAAATTTATAAAATATTAATAACGTACTATCAAAAAGAAATTCGAAGTCTACCTTTTTTTTATTAGAAATATTAAATAATTAATTGTTCAACCTAACCTATATATATATATATATATATATATATATATATATATACTTATATATATTGTAATTCCAAAATGAAAATATAAGTTGTTAAAGAATACAGAATTGGAATTTGTTGACTCGAAACTTTGTGATAACAGAAAATTAAATACGACCAAATACCATTACGCATTTTCGTTTTTCATCGATCTACGTATATATTTGAATTGTTTTTAAACTCTCTCTTCAGTGAATTTTATAAGCATCTGATAAAATTTAATATAATTCCAATACTTTTTTAACAAAAAAAATTATTATAAGATTGGTACTCTGTATCCGTTTTTAAATATAAAATGTATTTCATATGCTTAATATTTATTTCGATGTAAGTTCGAAAACACGCTAAAGTTAAATTTTTCAAAATTTAAGAAGGATACAAATGGAGATGATTGGGATTTTTTTTTCTTTTTAAAGAATGTTAGTTGATTAGAATAATTACTCTCCTAAATGTATACCTTTTCGAATTTTTTTTTTAAAGAATTGAAATATAATTTTTTGATAATTAAATTACTAATAAATAGTTCATTTGCACATTTCAATAATTATTTATGCTGAACAAATTTAGAAATATTTTATCATTATTTAACCATTAAAATAATTATTAATTAATTATATAATTTTTTAATAATATCTAAATGCTTTTGCACCATCAAAACTACATATTATAATGTTTATGTAATAAAACTCATGCAAAAATATGACTTTTTGCATACTAATATTTATGTACCAACCATTTCATGCACTTGTATAATTACTAATTAAATATTCAATTTTTTAAGTATAACTAATTTCACAGTTATCTAATAAATGAAAGATTTTTAATTTTCCCCTATTAATTAATATTTTTCTTTTAAATGCATATTAAAATAAATATTAACAAAGATACAAAAAGTCTATAATACTAAAATCTTTGTATTTTTTAAATCATAATTTGTTATAATAATAAACTTGCATTCTTTTTTGCTAATGTTATATGACATTACTATATTAAGTTGTATTTTGTTTAAATTGATTAGCATATTCATCTTAACCAAAGTAAAAAAAATGTTTGTTTTAAACATGATTATAGTAACACGTTTGTAATAAAATTATAAATACTATACATTTAATAATAAAAAACTAAGCATTTTGAAAATTAAAGCTATTGAAACATTAGAATGAAATTGATAATATTTATTGGACTCTGAAAATAAAAATAAAGATCGGGCACCTTCGAAACAATTAAAAAATAATGGATCAGAAAGTATTATAAACTTGTTTCAAAGACAGCCATTTATACAATCATATTAAAATATTTTCAATTTCATTTATATTATTATTATTATTTTTATTACTATTATTTGTGCTTAATTAAATATATGTTTTATTGTGTCGCAATAGTTTTCGAAAATATATACAATGTAATTTTATGTTATCCGTAAAAGAGTTTTGTAATGTCCAATTAATAATCCTTTATTATGTGATACGTTTCATATTAGAATAATATGACTATTTTTATGTAATCAAGTCAAGTATATAATCAAATAAAATAAATTTGCTTTAATTTACTTTATATTAAAGTAATTATTGTTGTAATTCAAATGGATATTAATGTTAGCCTTTCTGGCAACAATTAAATTAAAAAACTATTATTATTATTATTATTACTAAAAAAATTATAGTTAATAAGTGATGTTATTATAATATAAATATGTTGTATAAGTATATTACTACGTAGTTATTATATCATAGATTATCAGAGAAAAGGTGAATTATTTTCACATACTTAACATGATTAACGTTTCATTTGTGAAATAAATGTGATATATATATATATATATATATATATATATATATATATATATAATACATTAGTCTTTTAAAGAAATTATATTACAAAATGGCTTTAAATAATATTCTTTGCTATACGAAAATATTCCAATACCAGCTGAAAATTATTCGCAAACTGACTGAACGAGGGAACGAATTTCAGAGTCACAATTGCTTTTACCTTATAGTATTAATGCATGTTTACGCTTATTATAATAAACATTTGTTAGTGTTTTTAAATTGTCGTAAATGATTTGCCCAGTAAAAAGGTTCTGATTATTTGGTATTGGCGAATCAATTATGATTATACGTAAGGCATATCTGTAGTTATTTCAGTTGGACCGAGACAAGCTAAAAAGTTGCATTAAAATTAATTATTTTAATATCTCGTTTTTGTGATGATTCTTTTAAATTGGCAACTATTTACTATTCCTCATTCGTTTTTCCGTTCACCATTAACCAATATCGTCTTTATTTCGTCCTTTTCACCGCTTCCAACTGCTCTTCCGGAATGGGCGCAGAGCTTCATCTATCGCTTGAAAATGTGCGAGTCCGAGATTTAGTCGTCCGCGGCGCTAACGTCGTAAAGGCCGCTCGATCTCGCTTAACCATACATCGAATCAACAGTGACCGCCATTCTCTGCCCCGATAAGACTTGTGGTTATGAACGCGAGTCTCTCGTTGCCCAATGATGGGAGCTTGCTCGAGGGACATGTGACGTCAGCAGTATCAAGCGTTCTTGATTCGCCGCTCGCATACACATCCGGAGTTGCTCCGCGCTCGGGCAGCGACACCGAGCGAACGAGTGCGTAGGTGTGCGCGCGCGAGAGCGCGGTTAGCACTCGGGTAAGCACTGGAGGAGCGCCGCCAGGGAAGCCGATCTGGCGAGCGTTGCGTCCGTGGTTGTGGGTCAGGCAGTTTGCTGTGTGCGCACGCCTGTGTGCGTGCGTGCGTGCGTGCGTGCGTGCGTGCGTGCGTGCGTGCGTACGAGCGAGCAAGCAAGAGAGTGGGCTTACTCGAGGGGCGACTCGCGAGTCGCGCGCGCGGAGGCACTAGAACGGAGCGATCGAGCAGGCCTGTGTGACTTGGTCGCTTGTTGCAAGATGTTTACTCGGTCGAACTGCGCGAACGCATCCCAACAGCAGGATAATTGGACGCGCGACTCAAGCATGAGGCCCCCAAGGAGGCAGCAGTAGACGCTACAGGTATTCTCTTCGTCACGGCCGGTCGCACACCAGCCACGGACGACTCTCCGACCGTGTGTGTGTGTGTGTGTGCGTGCGTTCGTGCGTGCGTGCGTGCGTGCGTGCGTGAGTGAGTGAGTGTGTGCAAGCGCTCTTGTCGCATATTCATGCGCTCGTGTGAGAGGTACATACATCGCGTGTGCGTACGTGTTTATAGCCTACAAATATTGCGATTCGTGTGACGGGAGCTGGGCAATGACGCGTCTCGGACCGCGGGCCTGACCGCTCTGAAGAGGAGGCCCAACCCCGCGGCACCAGCGCACACACGCATAGTTGGAGCTCACTGGCACGTACGCTAGCGCCTCGGTTGCGAGGAGGAAGCGATATACGGCGCACACTGGGACGCGAGCGACGCGCCGCCCGAATTCGGCTTAGGAGCGACGCCGGAGCCCAGTGGCCGGTCCTTGAGTGCAATGCTCGATCGGCCAAAGTCGATCGGTATTTCACTAACGAGGTGTTACAGTTCCCGGCTCCCGAACAACACTTCCTTCCTCGATTACCTGCGCCTATCTTAATAAGCACCGGGGCTACTCCTGAATTCGCGATCGACCTGTGAAACAGCAGTCGTCCGTATATTAACAGCGCTTGCTTTTTGCGCTTTTATATTGTTGACTACTGTCACGATAATGGGGCGCCTTTTATCAGTACTGCCCTTCATGCCCGCAATCTTAAACAAAAGTATACCCCCACTTCGATATATAGTCTTGTTGTTATTATTACTTTTAGTCCAATACATTTATAAATTCGTGCTGATGCCCTATTTATTTATATTCTCTTTCGTTTATCCGTTATTATCCACATACATTTAAAATTTTGTATTAATGATTTTATTTTGTAATTTTGTCATATTATTAGTTTTTTTTTTTTTTTTTTAAATTATAAATTATAAATGAATTATAAACAAAATTCAAAAAAATCAATTGATAATATCTATAAATACAGTTCTTAATATTGAATGTTATTATTGGTGTCTGTATTTTGTTACTTATCAATAGTAATAATTGTGATGGCAGTTACAGAATAGTATAACAGCAACAATAGTGGCAATAGTAGTTATAGATGCTGTAGCAGTAGTAATAGCATAAGCTTGAATTGGTGCAGTTTTAACAACTACAGTGTTAGATGCATTAGTATAATATTAGTATGTAGTACCAATATTATTAGTTTTAATTGCAATAGAATTTGTAGTAGTAATAGTAGGAGTAGGAGTAGTGGTAGTGATAGTAATAATAGTTGGAAGAGGAGTAGGAGTAGTGGTAGTAAACATAGTTGGAAGAGGAGTAGTAGTAGTAGTAGTAGTAGTAGTAGTAGTAGTAGTAGCAGTAGTAGTGGTAGTTGCAGTAGCGAGAGTAATAGGATTAGTTGTAATAGCAGGAGTGGGGATAGTAGTAGTTGTTGTAGTGGGAATAGTAGAAGTGTAGTACTAGCAGTAGTAGTAGTAGTAGTGGTTTAGTATTAGTAATTGTAGTTGCAATAGCGAGAGTAGTAGGAGTAGTTGTAATAGCAGGAGTGGGGGTAGTAGTAGTTGCATAGTGGGAATAGTAGAAGTTGTAGTACTAGCAGTAGTGGGAGGAGTAGCAGTTGTAGTGGGAGTTGCAATAGTAGTGGTTGTGTAGTAGTAGTAGCAGTAGCAGGAACAGGTGTAGTAATGGCAGTAGTAGTAGTAATAGTAATATAGTTTTGTAATTTAGTAATAATAGTAGTTGTGATTTAAACCATTCAGCAATGGTTATTAAGATTTATTCTAGTGATTAAAAAATGTATTTTATAAAGGAAAATTTAATTATTGTTTATTTTTGAAGATATAACAATATTTGCCTAATTTAAAAATGTTATTTTGCACTTTAGTGTCGTAAGTTCTTTTGTGAGAAGGAAGTGCCATGGATGATGAAGAGCGATTGGAAGGAGAGGAGGAAATGGAGCTTGACGAAGCTTCCGATGGTGAAGATGATGATGAAGAGAATTCAGGAATTCCCATTTCCCCTGCAAATTCTGATCAATTGCTTGGTTCTGCACCAACTCCAAGCACGAGTCAGTGTCTAAGTTTTCATGTGGAAAGCTTAAATAGTAATGCTCGTGATGCATATAATAGTAAATATGAGTTTATAAAATTATTTTTATTTTTATTGCTTTATAAATTATAAAAAATTATTATTTTGCATTGACAGTTACTCCAGAAGAAGTTTTTCATGACCCTTTGCGGTATCAAAAATTTCCATTACCTGGTGGAAAACCTTTGCACATAAGACGTGGACCGGGACGTCCCAGAAAAGAGCGTCCTCCTGGAATTCCTCGTGGTAGTGGTATGCGCAGAGGATTTGGAAGAGGTTCAACTAGAGGAAAAGGGTATGTAGATATATATAAACATATGTTGGTACATATTCATGCATATATTTATAATTTATAAAATATTTTTTTTAATATAAAAGTTTTGGTATATTTAGAACTATTAAAATCAATTAATACAAATTTGATAGTTTTTATATCTATTATATACGTCCTTTTAAGAAAACAGTTTTAAAAATAAAATCAATAGTGTAAGCAAATTTAAAATATTTTATTATTACTTTTGTAAAGTATGATAATTTTTGTTACATGTTTAATGGGATGTACTATTTGAAAGTAGTATTTTTATGATTTTTTGTTATTTTGAATTTATTTACTAAATAAAATTTTAAATATGTATTTGAAATTTAGGTTTGGTTATGGAAGGGGTATGCCTCGTCGTACAAAAAGCAAAGATGATGATACGCATTCAGAATCACCAAGCCCGTTAAGAATCGGAGATGATACTTCGATTGATGGAGAATCTTCTGGACTTGAAAGATCTATGCCAGCACCAGAAGAACCTCCATATTTTCCAGAACAATGGTTTTTATTATTTTTTTTTAACATTTATAATACATTAATACATTATCTAACATAGTATATTACTTTTTTCAGGCCTGGAAAAGTTTGTGCCCTGTGCAATTTAAGTGAAAGGAGTCAATTAGGTCAGGGTGAACTTTTAAAGTTCTCAATACCTGAAGATTTTACTCCTGAAAAAAATAGCAATCGAGAAGAAACGCCAGAGAGTCTCATAGATGTGCCTGTAACTGGTGATAAGAGTCCACGTGCAAGCAACAGTCTTGGAGCTGTTACATGCCGCAGACAGAAAAGTTTAGCCAAGTGCAGGTATAACATGTTTATTTGGACAATTAATTACTTTGATTAAGGATCTTTGAAAAGTACATTTCTATAAAATTGAAATTTTTATTTTTTAGAAATCCTAGTCTAACAAATTTTACAGAGCCTGTTGAGGAATTAACTATAGTAGGTTATTTAGAAGAACCTGACTTAGGAATAATTTTTGAATCGACGGGTCATTATTATGTTCATCAAGCTTGTGCTCTTTGGACAGGTTGCAACCAAGAAATGTCTACAGAAATGATTAGTTCTGCAATTGTACAAGCTTCAACTCGTCGATGCGCATGTTGTTCTCATTATGGGGCAGGCATTTCTTGCAAAGTGAGTTAATATTTTATAAACTATCTTTTTATATACATAATCAACTATAATTTAACTTTAATTACTCATTTAGGTGCAATCGTGCAATCGTTATTTTCATTACCCATGTGCAGCTGCATCTAGTTGTTTTCAAGATATAAAGAGCTTGTCATTATTTTGTAGTCAACATTTAGGACAAGTTCCTCTATTATGTAACTATCATTTTTGCTTTTGTCATTTATTTAAAAGAAGTTTATAAAATACTTCAATTAAAAATGAAATTGCTTATAGTGAATGGTGATGGAGAAAGGATCAAATGTATAACGTGCCTCGGAATGGGAGATGTATCAAACTTGGTGATGTGCTCTGTTTGTGGACAACATTATCACGGTAATTGCGTTGGATTGGCTCTGTTACCAAGCGTTCGTGCTGGATGGCAGTGTACCAATTGCCGTTTATGCCAGGTATGTCGACAACCTGAAGAATTAGCTAAGGTAATGACCTGTGAGCGATGCGACAAAGCTTATCATCCTAGTTGTTTAAGACCAATTGTGACCTCTATACCTAAGTATGGTTGGAAATGCAAGTGTTGTCGGGTTTGTACTGATTGTGGTTCACGAACACCTGGTGCCGGTCTCTCTTCTCGTTGGCATTCTCATTACACAGTTTGTGATTCATGTTATCAGCAGCGGAATAAGGGCTTCTCTTGTCCACTCTGCAGAAAAGCTTATAGAGCAGCTGCTTACAGAGAAATGGTTCAGTGTAGTTCGTGTAAAAAGTTTGTTCATGGTACATGTGATCCTGAAGCAGATCCATTGACGTACCAACACCGTAAAGAATCGAAACCAGATTACGACTATATTTGTCTTCATTGCAAGAACGTCGCCCTCGTCAAACGGAAGGACAGTGTTGATGATTATGGAGGAGAATCTAGCTTGACAGCATCACAAGAGAGCTTATATGGAGATGGAGATTCATCTGAATTTGACTATCATGGAAGTTCAGAAGATGCATTTTACTCAATAGGATTAGGAAAAGGAAAACCTTTTTGTGCCTCAAAAATAGCGAAAAAAAGGCTTGGTCTTGCTGGAGGTTTAATTGGTCGACCAAAAGGTGTAGGAAAATTAGGTTACCAAAAACGACAAAAAATGACGGAATTTGGCAGAAAAAGAGGTCCAAAAGCCAAGATGAGAGGCATATTTGGTGTTCCAGGCTTAGGCCTACAGGTAAGATAATCAAAATATAAAATTATTCCTTAAAATATAGAAGAATAAAATATTTGTCTTTAATATAAATATAAACGATAAATTTATAAATATATAAATGATTTTTTATATAATCAACCTAGATTCAATTAATAGTTTTGTAAAAAGTAAGTTGAGATTTATTAATATTGGATATTAAAAATTATAATATGTTCTCGTATACGTTTTAATACAAAGATAAAATGTGTCAAATAAAAATGAAATTAAAAGCATTAAAATACTACATAGTTTATTATGGTGAATGTATTAAAAAAAATTTGTATCTTTTTTAGAGACCCATGTCAGATTCATTTTCAAAAGAAGAAGAGCCTGGTGTTGAAAATCGGTTAGTATTATGTTCTGCAAAAGATAAATTTGTGTTATCACAGGATATTTGTGTAATGTGTGGTGCAATAGGCACCGATCAAGAAGGTTGTTTAATTGCTTGTGCTCAATGTGGACAATGTTATCATCCATATTGTGCAAATGTAAAGGTAACGAAGGTAATATTGCAAAAAGGTTGGCGATGCTTGGACTGTACAGTGTGTGAAGGCTGTGGTGAACGTAATGATGAGGGACGCTTAATACTTTGCGATGATTGCGATATAAGTTACCACATATACTGCATGGATCCACCACTAGAGTATGTACCTCAAGGAACGTGGAAATGCAAGTGGTGTGCCCAGTGTCAGACTTGCGGAGCCAATGATCCTGGCTTTAATAGTAATTGGCAGAAAAATTATACTCAGTGTGGACCGTGTGCTTCCCACAGTTCTTGCGCTGCGTGTACTGAGGCTTATGGCGAAGGTGAACTCATAATTCAGTGCATACAGTGCGAACGATGGTTACACTGTCTGTGTGATGGTATTAAAAGCGAAGTTGAGGCCGAGAAATGCGCCGAAGAAGGCTATAATTGTGTCCTCTGTCGACCAAGGGACATACCGCCACCACATATTCTGTGTAATCTAGCAAAGCCCCAAGTTAGCAAATATCAACAACCAAGGACGCCGCCTCCAATTGCTCGTAGTCCTGAACCAGAGAAGCCATCACCACAGCAATATTTAGTGGAGGGCGTATTTTTGTCGGAAGCAGGCATGTGTCACATAAAATCTCTTATGTCAGAGCATCAGATCACTCGAAAAAAGAGAAGGAAGCTAGCTGCTGCTGCAGTCGTTGACGCGGAAGCTGATATAATGGCAACCATTGAATCAGTTGTCGCTGGCGGTAGCCTCGACAATTCGCTTGAGGATAACGGTAAACTTGAACTCCTCGAGGCGAAAGATGAACCTACTCAGGTATACAAAGAAGGTATGGTGTGGGCACCCCGCGGTGATCTGCCTCCGCCTGAGGGCTTTAGCATCTACACAACCGAGAATGGGGTATCTGTGCTGAGGCGCAAACGACAGCGTAATTTGCAAAAACTCGGTATTGGCGGCTTTGTAGTGAGGCTACGGGGTACGCGTAAAGATAAAGAAGACGAGCCCGAGATCTCGGGCATCAGCGACAGTCTGTTGAGTTTGGGTCCAGCTGACGACAAGCCGCGTAGGAAGCCTCAGCGTAGAAAACCAAAGACTAAACTCGCCGAGTACTTTCCTGTGTATATGCAGGAGGCATTCTTCGGTCGAGACCTTATGGACACTACCAAAGACAAGGATCTGGACAGCAGCAGTGATTCCGGAAGTGAACGCAACAACTCTGGTAATGCCGACACGATTCAACTATCGCGGGACGAGCTCAAGGCAATGGAATTACTTAAAGCCAAGCAAGAGAAGGAAGAGGATCAATTGATTAACAGAGCAGCGACTATTAAACGCGAGGAAATCATCAAAGAAGAGGGCAGTGATACCGAGGCACTCGATGACATTTTGCCCATCTCCAGCGATTTGCTCGATAGTGACCTCGTTAATACGATTATGAATGAGCCCGATGATGATTTAGCCAAAGCGACCGAGGCTTGGGATGAGCTTGATCAAGCACCCGAATCTACTAAAGATGAACTCCCGGATATCCTTAGTCCCCATTTTAATTTGGAATCCATGGTCCGAGATACAGGTCTGTATAGAAACGTTTGTTGTACACAATTCAATACCGTATTTAAAAACTTACGAATTTGGTAAAAAATTATTGTTTTCTTCAGGACTGACCAATATGGCTAGCCAAGATGTAGAAGAAATATTTAAAGGTGTTCTTACAGATGAATCTCAAGAATCTCGAGAATCGGGTGGATATACTATGCAAGCACAAACGCCACAGGTTTCGTCTTCCTCTACTCCTTTAGTATCTCCGTCTTCTCTTCCAAGTTAGTTACGTTTATAACTATAATAAATAACTAGCTAATATATCATATGTTCCTTTATTACTGAAAATAATTTTTCAGCTAACATTCAACCAACTAATTTACCACTAGGAAGGCCACAAGTACCAGCTAATTTGCCATCGGTTGGACAATCTAATTTAAATTCCCCAATGAGTTTTCCCCCACCATCACCTTATCATTCTGAATACAGCAAGTGAGTATAATTTTCTTATTTCAAAAAATAAAATTTTTTAAAAATAATGTTTATTATAATTTAATATTACATATACATTATATGTATATATATTTATATTCTAGTCTTATATTTATAATTATTTCCTAATTGAAAATTAAATTATTGAAAATATACCAATGTACATTATTATGTTATAAGCAATTTTTCAATATATTTAAGTAATAAATTGCAATGCATATCATTTACATGTGCGATATATTATACATACATGTAGCAGCCCCTTTAGTCCTGCATTTTCGGAACCGCCAAGTCCTTGGGTAAATCCCGAGGAAGAAGGTAGTGCTCCCACAAGTGGTACAACAGCTATTACTTACAACCAAAGAACTAGTATAAAAATGGAAGCCGATGAAGCTTTAGGCAATGGGGCAACAACAGCTTCAGTATTGTATGCTAATATGAATCATCCAGAATGGAAAACTGATTATCCAAGTAATTTTTTCAATTTGTATTATCAGTCTAAGATTTATTAAATAATTTGTTTACTATAATTTTTTTTTCTAGTCTGGTCAGAACGATATAAACAAATAGTAAAGAAGTGGCGTGCTTTACCCGGTGATAAGAAAGCCCCGTATGTAAGCCAGGCTCGTGAAAACAGAGCGGCGATTCGCATGAAAAAAGCAGGTAATGATATTTTTATTCATTTTTAATTCAATGTATTTTCAATGTCCATATAAAAATTGGTGACATTGTTTTTCTACTTGATGAAATGTAGTCATACTTATTATCGAGGGTGTCTTGTCGCTAACAATTAAATCAAACTAACAAATCGTCAAATGTTTAACATTTTCTAATAGAATTATCGTTAATAGAAAAAAAAGTAGGTGCCTTGCTGTTTACAATATTAATAATCCAAAATCTTTTAAACGTTGTGTGTCTATCTTTGTACTTGTTTTAATAATTACGTGTAAAATCTACCAATACTATTTCGTGATGTCATTGCTCTATATTTAACACGACTAATACTGATTTTCTACAATAAATTTCATAAAACTCTCATCAATTATATATCGTGTACAAAACACGTTTAAAAACGCAAAGATAAACACCAGCTGCTATAAGAAAAGACAAAAAAGTAAAGCAAATGTAACAATTTAAGTTTCGTGGCAGTATGATGTGTGACTCGTTGCTCAGTAGAAGTGCAATCGGCATTTAAATTAGGACAATCATTGATATTAAGATATTGGTGAGAACTAGTCAATGGGTTGTACGATATGTTCAGTTGGCTGCTAGTCCCTCTTAAGAGTAAGCATGTACATAAAAGCAAAGCAAAGATGTGTGAACGCCTTGGTGGCCGTTGACTCTAACAGATACCTAAGGAGTTAGTGAACACGAAGCCAACAACAGGAGCGAGCGGAGTTGGAATTCTCACAAAGGGCGCAGTCTCGGTGCCGCCCGTCGTCGTAATGGCGACGAATCAAAAACCACTGCCGGAGCCGAAGGACAAACAAGCTGTAGCGGATAAGTCTGGGTCTTCCAATCCATCAGCCGTCATGGCCACGACGGTGGCGACAGCTCAGGTAGCAGTCCACACGGTCTCGGCATCAACGACTGCCCCTCAACTAGCGGAGGTGTGTGCGGTGCAGGGAGGACAGGCGCAGCGACGGCTAACATCTCGCTCTCCAAGCTCTTCCCCCAACTCCACGCCACCCTCTTGTTCGCCCAGAACCTCTTCAACATTTGCCAACAATAACAATCCCAATAACAATCATCGAACGAACGAGCTGACAAGCGCTTCATCATCATCATCTTTCTCTTCATCGTCTTCTTCATCGTCTTCTTCTTCCTCCTCTTCTAATTCTTCTACTTGCTCCACATCTTCTTGTTGTGACACGATTTTGGGCGCCGGTGACGGTCATCGTCACGAAACCCCACCACCCCTATCGCAATCACTGTCACACTCACAAACACAGCTACATCCACATTCACACTCTCTGATTCAAGTCCAGGCCCAAATCCCAATCCAGTTCCAATCGCAACCAGCGCCACGTACATCCGCAGCACCACAGCCACAAGCTATTAGTAGCGCCACTAACAATAGCCACCAGGTCTCTTCGAGCACCTCGGCGGCAACTGCTGCTCCTGCTCGACAATTCTCCTCGGTAGATCATCAAATTAGAGTGCTCACTCCGTCTGAAATAATGCGCACCCTTCCCTCCCTCTGCCAGGAGCACTACGACCCGCCACCCACTGCAATTATTCACACTGTACCTGTACAGTCCCCGGTTATGGTGAGCCACCTTCACTGTGCCTCTTGTGTCTTGCCGTTCAATATTATTACGTCTTTATTATTATTATTGTACTGATGACGATGATGATTATTATTATTATTATTTAATTGCCTTCTTTATCAACTTTTTCTTTAATTTTTATTGTAATTTGCATTTTATTTAAATTTATTAATTATAGAATAAATTTTTTGTACATTTTGAAACAAAACTTAAATAATTTTTTATTTTTATTTTCAAAAAGTTAAAGCGCTCTACTGTGTTAATTAATTTTTTAAAAATATTTTTAATAAAGCGACGAAATAAATACAATTTTTTTTAAATTTGTTTATTGATTTACACGAATGAAGAATTCAGATTTTCAATTAGTTACATTTTCAAACCAAACGAGCACTTCAACTCGTTGACATTTACGTTAAAAGACAAAATAATATATATCGTAGAGTCTGCATGATCATTATTATATAATTTTCATTATAATAATGTAGAAATTCTTGTTACAATTTAGTAGCAAGCAACTAAATTTAAAGTTAAATATTTTATTTTCGTGATTAAATCCAGTTTTGTAATTCAAATGATGTTATTCTATGTGTATTAAAAATGTTATATGTATTTAGTATATTGATTTGCTTCAACAATGATTTATTAGTAATATTTTAAAGAAGCATTTATGTATTATAAATTAATATTCATATGTGATAAAGAACATTTAATTGGAATGATTAGCCTACCCAGATGTTTAAACTATAATGATAAATTTGTTGTGCCTGATTTTCTTCCCGCAGCTTCTTCCTCTCAATCTTTATTTCCTTTGCTCTTGTGGCTGTTAGTTCATTTGAAATATTTTATTCGTTACTATTCTAATTTAATATTTTACATTTATCATTTGTACCATGGCATGTCAAAAGTCTCAAAATATGATTTATATCAACTACCCCAGTTACATTCATTTATCCCAAAAATTATTTATCGATCTTCATTCCTTTCCTAAAATTTGGTCAATAAGTTTCCTACATCAGTTTAATATATCATAATATTTTTAATTGGTGGATATGGTTATTCTAATATTCATTGTAGTCTTTTTATTGGTAGCGAACATTTCATTGCTTCTTATTTTATAATACAAGTTTGAGCGATGCCTGCTTTTCTCTCTATGTATGTATGTCGCGTGCATATAAGAAAGAGAGAAAGAGAGAGAGAGCGTAGTATATTTTTTAAAGTATATATAAAAAATTTAATATTTTATTCTAATATATATATTTATATAACAGATATTTATTAAGCAAACATAAATCTAGGTATTCTATGTATTTATATAAAAAATATATTTATAAATACTGTTTTAATAATTAATTTAACGTGAATAAATGTAATAACAACACTAATTTATTTTATATCTTAAAAGTAGTTAATTGGTATTACTTTTCAATCAGTTGCATGAACGGTTGATTTTAAAGCTTTTGTAAATAATAAACATTTTTTACAAAAAGATTGTATTTCTATTTTTTTGGATGGTGGCTGATCATTACTCATACTATAATGCACTTACTAACCTTTGGTTTTATTTAGAAATTGGTAAACTATTGCCTTTTATAATCGCTGCTATTGAACATGTACTTGGCTGATCTTTAACAAAAGTCTAACGTTATTAGCGCGTTTTCCAAATGAACATTGCATCTTTTTAAATAAATTTTATTTTAATATATTAATATTTATATGACAAAATAACATTTGGAATCGTTTCATTGTAAAGATGCAGTGTTTTATGAAATCTAAGCAAAAATACAGTATAGCGAATATATTTTGACAGGAACAAGATAAGCTTGCTAATCGAGATCGCTCTAATAGAGAAGCAGAGCAGGAACGTCAATGGAAACAGCTACAAGCTATGCGACAGCAACAAGCGCAGATGCAGCAACAAGTTATTCACGATCAGCGGGCACATGGTGAGTTTTCCTAGTAATTGACATCCACAATTTGTTTTATGAAAATGTGCGATTTCTAATTTATGTACCGTTTACAGCTATTGCAAGAGTTCATCGACAGCTTACCGAAGATGGTACTTCTACATTAAATACTGAAAACACAAGTACTATGACTGCGCAATTAGTTTCTGCTTCACAGGTATTTTTTGTACATCAGTTATAGCGATGATTATAAGTTATAGATAAATTACAAAATTTATTAGAACATTATTTAAAAAATGAATAGTTATTTATAATTTTTTATAAATTATATATTAATGAATTATATAAATAAATGATATGAAAAAGTAATTGTTGCAAGCTATAATAGATACATGAAACACTATTTTAAATTAATGGATTTTAAGCATATTTAGCATTTCTTGAATACCATGTATATAATAAAAATATTATTAATGCGGTTTGAAAAAAATATAGTGTACCGAGAATTCTTTGTGAGAATTGTGGAAATTGTCTTATTAGTTATGTCTAAACATTCAACGCATTCAAATTTTAATTCAAAAGGATAGACCATATCATGTATTAAAACTTTGAATGAAGAAAAGAAACATGAAGAAAAAAGAACATGAAGAAAATAGGTTGAGACAAAAAAATGGAGAATGTATTATGAGTTGGTTTTTTCATTTATAGGATGGTAATCCTCTGGGACAAATGGGTTCCGGGTCACAGTCGCAGCCAGCAGCGCGTGGGCAATTCGCCGCCCCGGCTTTGAAAGTGAACCGAGGAGTTGCACCCCCAAATCCTCATCCAGGTATGCCCGGCCGGCTAGTTGGCAAGCAGCAACAGCAGCAATCGACGGCAGCGCAGGTCGGCCGGTCGCTGCCCGTTGTTGCGAGGTCTGGGTTGTCCAACAATTTCGGCCAGCAGCAGCCGCCGTCCCCCTTTTCCCCTCAAGCGCCTCAATCCCCTCATGATTTTCCGCAGTCCCCGGCCCCGCAGCCACAGCCCGAGCACTTTCAACGCTTCGAGAGTGTCGAGGGCTTCGGCCAGGCGTCCCAGAATCAATCCAGGTCCACTCCATCCTACTCCACATCACCGCGCAACGACGGTTTTCCGCAGCCTCCGGGCACCCCTCGACCCATTTTTAGTGCACCGACAGGCAGGCCGACGAGTCATGTTTATGCACCTTCACGCACGCCCGATTCTTATGCCTCGCCGCAGCAACAGCAACCTCAGCAGCCGCCTTCACCGGCGACCCCGAGCCCCGTAGCAAGCTATTTATCACCGAGAGCCGATCAACGCACCGATACGCAATCTACAGAGCTTTTTGCACAACAACCCGAAGTCAATAGGCAGTTGAGAGATCTGCTTCAGAGGCAACAACAGTTTAGTAAAGAGGTGAAACCATTGAATCAAGCGTGGAATCAAGGTATTACCAATTTTATTTATATATTTTTCATCTAAAATTTCCTACCCAACTTGAAATTATTTTATCTGATTACTCTAATGTAGTAATTATTCCTTATTTTACAAATGTTTTTTTTGTTAGATGGTCAAGCTGCAACCGAAGCACCTCAGCAATTTGAGGCTAGTCTTATACAGCAGCATCCGCAGCAGCCGTCTAGTAGTCCAGGTGAAGGTACTTTTAGACAGCCACTTCCTCCTGGTGCAGCAAGACCACGTATGCCTATACAGTCTAATATTTTAATACGAAATCCCATTGGTGAGTTTAATGTTTCAGGAGTTTTTCTTATAAAAGTTATTACTCTTTATTTAAATGTAATTCTTACGATTGTCATAACTAGGATTGACTCCACGACATCCAGCAGTAACAAATATCGATGCTGCTAGATTACAAGGACTAGATCCAAGAAATAGAATGCTTTTACAAAGACCTTCAGTGCCTTCTAATGTTGCTCAACAATTTCAAAATAATCAAATTATACAACGTATAGCTGGACCTAGAACTCAATTACAGGAACATTACGAAGTTCTGCAGCAACGATTTGCTGGTATGCAAAGTAAATTATTTATATATATTATTAAGTCAATTATAAGGAAATATGTATTTTACTGTAACATTTTGTAGATTCGAATCAAGGACAAAATTTGGGACAACGTATTGTTCGAACGTCTCAAAGTACGGTAAATCAAGGAATTCGTATGATAAATACAGCAGGTATGGTTAGACCGCAAATTTTACCCACAGTTAGTGAAGCTACTGTAACAATGTCAGAGACTTCAGAAATACCAGACAATGTAACAGCTGAATTAGAAAAGCTTGAACAAGAAGGAGCACCTATGGTAGAGGTTGAAAATGTGAGTGCAATATTAGGAGATTTAGCTGATGATGACGATGAACTATTAGGTGAGTAAACTTTTAATTTATTAGTTGAATCCGCGCGAGAATTTGACCAACTTTTCTTTATTCTGCTTCATAGCTGAAATGGGCGCTGACTTTAATATTCTCGAGTATGCCGATCCTGAATTAGATCAATTAACCGGAGGTGAGAAAACCAATATATTGGATTTGGATCTGGAACAAGACGAAGTTGAAACAAAAGAAGAAAAACAAAAGAAAGATGTTAAAGAAGAAGAGCACAAATCAAAAAGTATTATTGGTCCAAGTGTTACTGACAGTTCTGAAGTAAATGGTACTACAATGCAAACATCAACTAATACATCTAACGTCTTGACACAAGCTCAAACTTTGGCGCCGATATCACAAGCTGCACAAACGGCCCAGCCACAAGCTACTATACTACCTCAAGCACATCCTCAGGCTGTCGTTGTTCAACAGCAGATGCATCAGCATGTACAACAAGCTGCTGCAATGGGACGGCCGATATTGCCTGGAACAAGACTACTATCTCCAGATGGTGCTGTCGGAGTTGTTACATCGACTAATTCCGTAACTGTTAGTTATCCTTCTACGTTTCCCGCTCATCCACAGCGAATCCCACAACAGCATATGCAAGGTTATATATTTTCAATTTTATTCGTTTTTTCTTAGAATTATTTTCAAACTTAAAAATATTTAATTTTTTGTAAAAAAATTATTTTATACAGTTCAACAACATCAGCGTATGGGAATGAGAGTAACAAGCATTCAAAATGTTGCTGGAAGGGTGGTATCAGTTGGACATATGATTGGCCCAAGAATGCCATTGGCGCCACCTCCACCACCTCCTCCTTATCCAGGACCTCCGCCACCTTATCCAGGACCAATACAGGTGCGCTCTTCATTATTCAATGTGTCTCATGTGAAGGTTTTGGATTGCTTAATAAGTTCAGTATTAATCATAACTGAATTAACAATATTTTTATTAATTAATTTAGATTTATTTATAATAAGCACACCTAATGCTTATAACAATATTGTGCTCTTTTAATAATTTGTTCGTGTATTTTTAAGTAATATTCTATCAATTATAAATCGGTGATGGTTTTAATAGATCATTAGATAGGTATATAAACGTAATGTAGATAAATATGTTCAAAACGTCATCAATTAAATGGCATGTATGAGTAGAAGATTTTAAATAAAAGGCAAATTACTAGAGAAAAGAAATGAGTAAAAATAAAAGAAAAGAAGAAAAGGCAAGTAAAATTGGGATTTTATATTATTAAGTGTATACAAGTGAATTGTACATAATAAAAGCTAGTATTGGATGGTAAAATGGTGTTTTGGCCTGGGTGTATGCAATGCGTTGGTGTTGGTGCATGTCTAGATGGGGCTATGCCCAGGTGATCGGGGTTTGCCGCGGCCCCCCATGCACATGAGACATTCCGTATCCGTGGCTGGTCCACCGATGACCCCTATGGTTCATACTGGTGCTCCATCAGTGACTCCCCATCCTCACCGAAGGCCCTTGCTTCTGCAGGTGAGCAAATTCTGGGGCATTCACAACATTTATAGGAAACATTTACTTATCATTTCATTATATGAATGTTTTGTCCTTTCAACACATTGAAAAATATTAGTGATTGATAGTTTCTTTTCTTTAATTTATTTCTGCATTATGTATTTATGAACTATTATAAACCAGACAGATAGAATATTCTTTGCTTCATATTAATAAATAATTAATAAATTTTATTGGCGAGTAACCGGGTTATATTTATTTTTTGTTGAAAAATAGTAACATGCAATCACATGAAACAACATTTCATAGGATATATTAATATCATATTTATAAATAAGTTAGTTGACTACTATAGGATTTTTTAAAATACTGCATGTTTTGTATTTTGTTCAAATGCATTCCTTTACGTGTGATTAACAAAATATTACAGATGTCAAAATACATTAATTGAAATGTATTATGGCTTTTCGAATCATGTTTCTAACATTTTTATTTCATCTTTTTATTTATTTCTTTACAAACCTCCCGCTTGTTAAGAAATTAGACCTTAACGGTCAGCAGTCATGTTCACAGGAACAGCCATTGCTTCTGGAGGAGCTTCTGGAACAAGAGAAACGTGAACAGGAGAAACAACAGCAGCAGCAACAGGCAGATACAACAACTCCAAGTAATACATTGCTCAGTGATATCGAGTTTGAACGTTTGCGCGCCGATGTTTTGGGTTCAGCTCCTCTTTCGTCGCCTCCTCAAGGAATTACTAATGTCGCTACTGGAGTGAATACAATTAGACCATCATGCACAACCAGACCGTCTGTTTCAGCGACTCAGAATTGGCAACAGCCTATTACCGATCCTGGTAAAGTCGTTGTTCAAACTCAAAGGCAACCCATTACGACTCAAACTACTACAGAACGTTGGTTTTATTTACCTATTTTCATATTTTCGTGTACACAGATACATTATTAGCTTTACAATCTATGTTGTGAAATAATAACAAAACAGACAAAATTATTAAATAAAAAGTACTTGTCATTCTTTATTTTTCTTGCAAAGAAATTAACTGTTTTGGATTATAAAAAGTTTTAAAATACTATTTTTGACAAATAATCACGTTATTTACTTTAATATAATAAACTTATTACTTTTATGCATACTGTATAGCCAATTATGTATTATATAATATTTATCTCAAAAGTTTCCTTAAAAGTAAAATTTCCCATATATTTATAGCAAGAATTACAACATTTAATATACCTCAACTTCCGGCGCCACCTGTACCACCAGATAATGTTGTTACCGAACAAGAGCGCCACGTACAACTTCAATATGAACAATGGTTAAATCATCAACATCAGATATTAACACAACAATTGAAGTATTACGAAACAGAGGTTCAAAAACTTCGGAAGGTTAGAAAAGTGAGTCATGGTTTTTGTGTGCGCTTGGCAATAGTGTCTTGATTAGTAAATGTTTTTATTTCATTTTTATTTAGCTTCTTTTTAATGATAATAACATATAATATAAGTTTCTTATTTATAAATTAATTTTATTCAACAGTCTCTTAACAGCAAGCAAAGACAATGTCGAAAATCTGGCAATGAATTGCCTGAAAATGATGCTGCTGAACTTCAAAGAATTTCAAGCGAGCAAGCAATATTCCAGAAACATTTAGATACCAGTCGTAAACAAAGTCGACAACATGGTATGCTCATACAGGAGTATCGTAACAAGCAACAGCAACAACAGCAGCAACAACAGCAGAAACAAGCGCATGCACAACAGCAACCGCCATCACAATTAAACGAACCGTGCTCACCTCTTATGTCACCTTCGCAGCACTCTTCACCGATGCATAGCCCAGCTGCGCTTATGTCCCAGAGTCCAGGCCCAGGTATGCCCCAACATTCACCCGTGGCTTCGATAGTACAGCATAGCCCGGGTACAATGTCACCCCATAGCAACATGCAACCCTCTCCAAGGATCGGTACACCACACTCGCAATCCGAGGAGAGTCCCTTTTCACCGGGACTTTGCGGGCCAACTGTTCAGAGAATGGCTTCACCTCAGCATCGAGCCGTTGCTAGCACCAGGTTAGCAACCAGCCCTGGTTCCTTTGTACCTGATCAGCAGCAGGTACGAATGGCTCAACAGATGCATGTTCTTCCTCAACGATTTGTTCGACCAACGGCTATGGCTGACGTTGTGCAGCGACCGAGAATGCAGATTCAGGGAGGAATGATGTATGGACAACGCTCACCCCTTGGCAGTCCCCAACCAAATCAGCAGCCCATGATGACACAACAACAGCATCAGCAGATGCTTCAACGTCAGCAGATGATCCAACAGCAGCACGAAGTCAGCGTTATATCACAAGAAAATCAAAATATAGTTAATCAACGTAACCTACAAATAGTTCAGAGACAACAATCATTGCAACAACAGCAACAACAGCAGCAGCAACAGCAACAGCAACAACAAATTATACAGAAACCACCCACATCTCCGATGGTATCACAACCGGCATCTTCACCAAGTCCGCAACTTCATCAACAAATGCAACAAAATTATAACCAACCACCAAGCTCTCCTCATCCTCGTAGTCCGATGGTTCAACAAACGATGGGTTCACCAATGCTGCAACAGCAGCTTAGCCAATCATCGCAACCATCCAGTCCAATGAACACAAGAGTACAGAGTCATCCGCCGAATTCTCCGATGGTAGCTCAGTATCAACCACCCAGCCCAATGTCGCGAAATCATCCGTCGACTTCACCAATGTTGCATCAGATGACCGGTGCTCATCATCCGCCGACTTGTCAAACACCGAATTCACCTATGCCACGGAGCCCAATGGTAGGCGGTTCGCCAATGCAGATGCAACGTAGGCAATCGACTGGGAATAGTCCAGCAATGCCTGATCGGCCGCAAAGCGTTGAGAATCCAGGCACACCGAGAACTCCTCATACTCCACACACACCGCATTCTACCTTTAATTCGCAGAATTCGAGTAATCACCCAATAAACGATCAGCAGCACCTCCAAAATACACAAAATTTGCAGCTATTGCAGGGTCAACAAGAGTCAAATTTAACGATTGATCAAAACAATAGAGGCGGCGGAAATTCGCATAATCCTAATAATCCAATACCCTTACCCATTTTATTTGGTAGATATGGATTTTTCAAGTTAGGGCTTAGAGGAGGTTCACCAATGTGGTCTTCTAAGCCAGAATCAAGTAAAGGAAAAACAGCAGAAGGGCAATTAAGTAGTTCCGAAGATAAACCTAATACTTCATCCGCTGTACATAGAAAAACGGGCATTTCGCAATCAAAAATAAATTCATTAGTATGTGCGGATTACAATGATTTTGACGATGATTCTCATACACCTCCGCAAACCCCGCCTACTACTGTAGAGCCGAAGGCCGCATCATCTTCGATAACAAATAATACAGCAATAACTCTAGGAAGTCCTAGTGACAAAGTAGAGTCGCTTCCTGATACTACTGATTACGACGATGATAAGACAATCATAAATACAGAAGTTACTTTAAGCTCAACTGCTCAAAAAGATAATGATGACATTCCAGTCATTGAGCAATTTGGCGACCCTGAGCTTGATGTTATATCTGGAAGTTTAGAAAGTGAAATGCAGGAAGAATATGTGCTTTTCGAATCTGATATGGTACTATCTGTTGATAGCAATGATTCTTTAAGTAATGCTTTAGTTAATGATAATAATGAAGGTCATGATTTAGTTCATATTTTGGAAATTGAACATCCAGAACCTCCTAACGAAGATACATCTTTTGACGAGGAGCTTTTATCTGGGCAAACTAATAGGAACAAAAAGGATTTACATCTTGATATTATAAGAGCCATGCCTGTTGGAAAACGATTGATTGCTGTAACAGATACTCCAGAATCGCCAGATCAAGAAGATCTTAATGTCGATCCATCTCCGAGTCTTTATATGGATCATTCTCCAGAACAAGATCTTTTAGTATCACTTACTGAATCGGATATTGTAATTATTGATCCTACTTCCAAATCACCTGATAATACAACCAAAATATGCTGCGATGAAGGAAGCTTAGAAACTAATTCAATAGAAACAATCAAACTTAAAAATGAACCAATAATCCCAACTATCGATTCTGCCATTGTTACAAAATCCTTAACCCCAATCACTGTAGAAATTAAATCAGTTGAAGAATCGAAAGAAAAAAAATCGTACACATCTTATGCTTTTCAAGAAAAATTTAGTCAAATTACTCCAGAAAGCTTACATCAAAAGAATATTATACATGGTATGACAAAATCAATTTCCACTTATTCTAGTATTTGTGCAAAAGCAACTTCATCTTGTGATACTCTTGCTGTTAAACCTCATATAAAATCTACACTAGCAATGCCTACTACTAATATAATGAAAGAATTATTAACTTCTACAACATTGGAAAGTCAAAAACAAATTAGTACACCCTTACCTATTTCTAGTATTGTATCAGATGCTAAACTTATTACTAAGCTCAGTCAAAGTGCTTCAAAAAGTATTTGTTCTAGTACTATTCACATTGGAAAAATTGTATCAAAAACTGAAGATATTGTAACAAAACACAATTCTACAACTATGCTTCAGACAGCTGCTTGTCAATCTGTATTGAGCTTACCTGAAAAAACAGCTACTGTTCTGGTATCGACAATAGGTTGTCAACCTTCTATAAGCTTAGCTGAAAAAGTATCTAGTATAAGTTCTACATTACCAACTCAAATTTTACAATCAAAAACTTCTACCGTCCCAAAATCTGTGGAAAAAGTAAAAAGCAATGCCACACAAAAGTATACTACTCAATCTACTTCAACTACACTTACATCACCGAAAATCGTTACTTTAGAGTTACCAAAACAAGAGGTTTTAATTTCAAAATCGATGGATAAATATGACAATATAGTTATTGGCAAGGAAGCAAGAAAAAAGGAAGAGTCAATTTCAGAGATAACAAAAGAGGAAAGAGTAGATAAACTTATAGATACTAGTTCTAATACGGCAACCTTAGAGAATATTCTTGTAGTAGATAATAAAAAGACAGATATTCTAAATACTACTGATGAGTTAGAAAGTATGTTGGAAGCAATTCATAATCCTGATGATGAAAATGTAATTAATGGTGATAAAATTTTAACTAAAGATAAAACTGATGTACGTACTTTAAAAAGAATGTCACCTGTCACGGATGATCTTTCATTAGTAAATATTCTAGAAAACGACGTTGAAACCATAACTCAAAATGATATTAAAGATATTTCTAATGATAATTTACATGTTCGGAAAGTAAGTAAATCTGAGAAAGTTGAAGAACAACTTGTAGAAGAATACAAATCAAAAAATTTGGTTCATTTAGCAAGTGACAAAACTTCGTTACAATCATTAATGGATACAGAAAATGAGAGTAATAAATTTTTCGCACAATCAAGACTGTCCGAGCAAAAAGCAATGATGGAAGAATCATCGGACGATATTCTTGATATGTTACAAAATATTATATCATCTAAACCCGAAATGCAGGATGACAAGTCACAAAAATCGAGTTTAATGTATCAACTGGAAGCTCCATTAGAAGCCCTACCTTTGAATATTTTACAGGATTCACTAGCCGATCTCGAGCAAGAACCGACAGCAAGTGATGCAAGTGCGATAATGATAGAGGGGAAATCGGTATCTGACACTAAAGCCGGTGCGACAAGCGTCCAGCAGTCATCTGTTACAAATAAAAAGAGCTTAGCTCTACAAACAACTCAAACATTAACCGTGAACACGGTTACCCAATTACAAAGTACAACGTCTGTGCCCCATTTATCACCACTTTCACAGCCTACGGAAATCAAATCGAATACAGAAAACGTGAGCGACCAGCTACGTACTCTACTTTCCTCTCTGCATTCCAATCCGACTCCGAGTTACTCTAGCGGTGTGCAAGGAGGCCACGGCTGTGGTTCTGGTTCCAGTACTTCAACGACAGCTGGTCTCATCTCTCTTAATAACAGCTTAGCCTCCTCGGGCAGTTACAGATTGCAGACTAGCGCTAAGCCCGAGACCGGGCATAAGGAGAGCAGCCTGAGTAGTAAAGGTCGCTCCTCGAGTGCTGTCTCCATAACTTCTAATGCGATGCTCAACGCAATGCTCTCGAGCACGAGTTCGCTTAAGTCCTCAGTAGCTGGCGGACTGCGCGCCAACACGATACTTACCTCGAGTAGCAATCTTCTTAATTCGGTTGTCTCACAGTCTTCCGTACAACGATCGTCTGCCCCGAGTGTGCAGGCAGTACTGCAAGTGAGCACAAGTTCCCCCACCACAGTCTCCCGCGTTCTAGTGAACGTGACAGCTGGTCAGCAACCATTGGGTCCGAGTCCTGCGATTGCCCAATCCGCTGGTAGAGCACTCGTTCAACCGATAGCTGCGAGCATCGCCAACACTATTAACGTCACCACGAGTATACTACAATCAACACTATCGCAAGCACCTACACTTCTTCATACACAGCTCACGACTGGCCCTTCTCAGTACAAATCCGCTGGAAACTTGCCTATAGATACTAAGTGCTCGGATGCAGATTCGCCAGGTAAATAACACGTGCGCAAGCTATATAAATTTTTTTACTTTATACCGTATTATGCACGCGATCTTAATATCAACTAGTTAAAGATCAATTTTTACTATTAATTTATTCTTAAAATAAATACTCTACATGGATTATTATAAACTCAATAATAATTAATAATTTAAAAATCTTTATACTAAAACTACAATTTAAAACAATAGTTTATATACCTATTGTATAAAATATATTATTCTATAAACAAATTAATCAATTATTTAATGATTTATTAATATTGCATTCATTTATATTTTTAGTAGCGGCAAATAAAGCCTTACTTGTGAAAAAAGATACGGAAGCATCATTGCTGAAAGGTTTATCGACTGAAAAAGTGTCAGCAACGAGAGTTGATCTAGAAATAAGCAAAATTGGTGGTTCATCACACAGAATGGAAGATTCTCAAAACGTTCTGTTAAAACAACTACTACAAAATACAGCCTGTGCAACTACCTCTGGGTCAAGCAGCTCGACTCAAACCGCAAGCTTCCCTAACGTACCGTCGTTGGAAGATCAATTAGCGAGGCCCGTACCTCCGACGCCATCATCTTTAATACCACCGTTACTGGATGAGATTCCAATACCGAAGTCCACAAATACGAAGCAGATTCTTAGTCGAGAAACTTCCTTTTTGTCTCACGTTGTCAAATCACAAAACTCGCCTAATGTAGAGGAGCCTACAAAATTGACTCCAGCGATCACCTCACCTTTACTCACAACTTTAACCAAACCAACAGCCGAGACTTCCGAGAAACAACAAGCGAAACTAGTCCCAATAACGTCTCAAAACTTCCAACAATCCAATATTTCAACAACTCAGAAGCAAATTGGCTTAGCTACAATTCCACTTATATCGAGTGATAAATCGATAACTCATCAAGAAGCAGCTAGCCTACAGATTCAAGTGAAAACAAGCATTGATGCAACGATGAGTAACGTCGCCCAAGTACAACAACATCAGCAACATCAGCAATCGCAGCAACAACAGCAGCGAATATCTACGTCAACCTCTGGCACGCGTATACAAATGGAACAATCACAGCAGCAACAATTGTCATCACCATCGTTGTTACCGCTGCCACTGTCGTCGCAGTCGCAGCAACAGACTCAAGAAGTAGCGATTGGGTCAAAAATATCTAACGTCGGCGAGATTCAAGATGTTACATCGAGCCTTAGCACGCAACAGAGTAACATCACCGCAATGCCAGCTTCCAATCCCAAGTCTATATCTCCTACGATTCAAAGATCGCCGAGTGCATTAGGGAATGTCATTGCCTCGACAGTCAGCGAATCAACCAAGACATCTCAACAGATTAATACAATACAACCTCCAGTGCCTCAAACGGCCTCAATGGCTCAGACATTGAGTCGTCAAGCTCAGCTGCCACAGGGTACAACTGCGCAACACACTGTGCCTTTAACTGAAGTTAAGAAAGAAATACTTGATGACGTCCTCTCCAGCGGTACTTCCGTACAGCTAACTGATACCAAAGACTTTTTATCTGCCAAAGAAGAACTCATCGATGGCCCAATCGACGATAAATCTGGTATTTATATTATGGTTACAACTTTTGTTTCAGTAAAATCTATTATTGTGAACGATTAAAAATGATTAAAAATAATTCAAACGTTTAAGAATTAAAGCTCATAAATACTTTTTACCAAAATATTTCAAGTTACTTTCAGAAAATTGTATCAATTTAATGTAATTTAATTAACTATTTAATGTATATTTAACTACTGTTTTCCATGCATTAACTAAAGTATATAAATATTTATTTAAATAGATCTCAAAAAGTTAAAAAGGCGCCAATATCAGCAAAAACGGAGGCAAAGTCAAGGAAAAGATGCCTCTATGGCTCCTCAAAAGAAAAGGTCAAGAAAGGTGTCTCGCTTGGATGAGGACTACGATACATATATTGACAATCTCATGATACAATTACGACAACTTCAACCAATGGCAGTTTTAGAACCTCTTTTAGGTAAAAACTATGGCGTGTGTCCCATTTTCGGTTCAGGGGATTTATCAAAATTTGGTGGTCCAGTGGAATATAACACAAGAACTGGCGATCTTATTGGTGCATATGGAAATGCCCGACTTATGGGAATCTCTGATCATTATAATACCCAACCATTTGGTGAATTGGAACCCTTACCACCACTTCCACCCGTTTCTACACAAAGAAGCTTCTACGACCAAGAATTTCCTCCACTTAAATTAGATGATTGTAAGTACAAACATCATAAATTTTTATTATTTATACAACTTGTAATGTTTATATTAGTAATTTTTTATTTATTAGCTGATGATAGAAAAGAAAACTCTCTGATGGGGCGTGATATCGATACGCCCGATACTATAGTGAGTTCTTCTTCTCCCGAATGTGTCATTCCCGAATATATGCATCGATTCCCTGGGTTAAAATTAATTGAAGAAGAATCCGATGAAGAAGCCGATTGGTTAAGACGAATATCACCTGTTATTCCGATAGTTTCACCAGTTCCCATTCGTTTGAAACCGGGACATCTTAAGGATGTAGCAAAACAAGATAAGGAGAACGTAGGAGTACCGAGGTAATTATTAAATAATAAAATTAGAAAATTAGAATCCAAGTTTTATATTTTTTATTTATAAATATTTTAAATTATTAGACTTAGTAAATCGTCACCAACAACTTTATCGGAAAACGGAAATGTTACGGTAACATTAACCCTTAATAGTCAAGCAGCGGATGATATTATGGGAGTTCTTAAAGATTTAGCGAATATTCTAAATATTGCTCCTCCGACTGGTTATCAGATTATCGAACGCACGACCACACCTCCAAGCCAGAAATTAGGACTCTATAGAATTAAAGGAAAAGATGGGAAAGAAGGAGGTAATATACTTATTGAAATTACTGAAATGCAATTTTTTGTACTTATATAATACAAATTAAATGCTTTATTTATAGCACCAATTGATATTCAAAGTATTTTAAATGGAGCAGCTAAATTTTGTCGTCATTGTGATGTTGTAATACTTAACAGTTTAATACGAAAAAAAGTCTCCGACTTGCCATTTCTCAGTAAAGAGGAAGCAGAACCTGGTGATGAACTTTGCTTTTGCTCAGTAACGTGTTATATGCAATTTGCATTAATGCATAGAACTCCAAGTAATACTCATGACAAAGTAAGTTTTTTTTCTCATGCATCATGAAATATTTTTATCCAATTTATATTAATATTCAAAAAATATTTTGCTTTATATAGGCTGCTGCAATTGTTGATCATCTGTGCCAGAAGTCAGAAACTAAATTTTTAGAAGAAGATTTAAAGAAAATACAGGAAAAAAAATTTTCTCTTAAACAATCAATCGGGCAAATTGAACCAATGGATGTTGATTCTATAGAAATGGATCTTGAATGTAGAATAAAAACTGAAAAGGATGAACTTGAATCACAACATAGTAAAGATAGCTTTTCTGATGAAAAAAGACCAAAGAAACATCCAGCTTCTGAGGAGCCATTGAACGATTGTATGGAACCACAACCTCCACCTAAGGTTTGGAGAGGTCTAAGATATAAAACTTGGATAAACGGTGCAATACAACCTACTACGAAATACAAAAAACCAACTGATCGTGAAATTACAGAGGTAATTTCATTGTTACATAAAAAATAATTCAACTAAATATTTTTTAAAATAAAACATTTTTTCAGATGCTTTTTCGATTAGGAGTTACCGTTTCGTTTCCATTAAGTACAGATGATACTCGTCGTTGCATGTTTTGCCAAAATGTTGGAGACGGTGCCGGCGACGGCACAGCTAGACTCCTTAATTTCGATGTAGATAAATGGGTTCACCTTAATTGTGCATTGTGGTCTGAAGAAGTATACGAAACAGTTAACGGAGCATTAATGAATCTAGATATAGCTTTACAATCCGCAAAAGGTACGACCTGCCTTCTTTGCAAACAGCCTGGCGCTACTGTTAAATGCTTCAAAATACGTTGCAACAGCCATTATCATCTTGGATGCGCGGTCAGAGATGGTTGTATCTTTTATAAAAATAAGGTATTTAAAAAAATTGTTTTCTCATATTTTCAATTGCATAACAGAAAATCATCATTGAAGTGTTCTTTTTTTGCAGAGCACATATTGTTCACAGCATATTCCTAAAAATGAAAAGGATAATGAGCTTACGACTCTCTCTGTTTATCGAAGAGTGTACGTGAATCGAGACGAGAATAAACAGGTGGCGGCTGTCATGCATCATTCTGATCACAACAACCTCTTACGTGTAGGAAGCTTGATATTCCTAAGCGTTGGGCAGCTTTTGCCACACCAACTAACGAATTTCCACACGACCAACCATATCTATCCGGTTGGCTATAAGATCGTTCGCTTCTACTGGAGCATGAGACGGCCAAACAAACGTTGCCGCTACGTTTGTTCCATCCATGACGTATCAGGACGGCCTGAATTTCGAGTGCTCGTACAGGAACCTTCTCAAGAGGACGTAGAGTTACGCGACGCGTCACCGCGTGCCGTTTGGAATCGCATTCTCGAGCCGCTCGCAGAACTCCGTCGGAGCACCAATAGCGTTCAATTGTTCCCGCGTTACGTTACCGGTGAGGATCTTTTCGGCCTGACAGAGCCTGCGGTTGTGCGCGTTCTAGAAAGCTTGCCCGGTATCGAAACTCTGACCGATTACAGATTTAAGTACGGGAGAAATCCTTTACTTGAGCTACCGCTTGCCATAAATCCTAGTGGTTGCGCAAGAACGGAAGCGCGACTAAAGAACCAACTGCCATGGAAGAGACCACATACACAGCGGACTGCCTCCTCGGCACGGGCCTCCTATGCACCCGCTTCAAATAGTTCGGGAGAGGTTGCATGCCCGTATTCTAAGCAGTTCGTTCACTCAAAGAGCTCTCAATATAAAAAAATGAAGCAAGACTGGCGAAATAACGTTTATTTGGCCAGATCGAAAATACAGGGTCTGGGTCTTTATGCAGCCCGCGATCTAGAGAAACATACTATGGTCATTGAATATATTGGGGAAATCATTCGTACTGAATTGGCCGAGACGAGAGAAAAGCAATATGAAGCTAGGGTTCGTATCCACGACTATTTTTATTCTGCATTTCACTAAGTGTCTATAATTTTTTTTATTATTGTGCAACATTATTTGTCAATTTCAGAATCGAGGAATTTATATGTTTCGTCTAGATGAGGATCGTGTAGTTGATGCGACATTATGCGGAGGGCTTGCTCGTTACATCAATCACTCCTGCAATCCAAACTGTGTTGCTGAAATTGTCGAAGTTGAACGTGATCTCAGAATAATTATCTTTGCGAAGCGAAGAATCTCACGTGGTGAAGAGGTACATCGTTGTATAATTTTATTTTTACGTTAAGTTTTACAGAAAGGAAGAAAAACTTTTAACAAAATTGTTTTTGTTTAAGCTGGCATACGACTACAAATTTGACATTGAAGATGACCAGCACAAGATAGCATGCGCGTGTGGGGCGCCTAACTGCCGCAAGTGGATGAACTAAAAAGTGTGATCCACCGTTGTTATTGTTGCTACGTTATTGGGTAGGTTTTACACGAAGAAATAAAAAAATATATATGTATGTGTATGCATGTATGTATGCATGTATGTCACGTATGCGCGCGCGTGCGCATTCATGCATAAACATGTGTACACACATACACATACACACACACACACACATATATATATACATATATATATATATATATATATATATATATATATATAGGCATTATTTAATTTATAAAGTGCCATTATGGTTCAATTAAACAATTTTATAGTGAAGTTGGTGCTACGCCATCACGACATTCCTCCAAAGTTGTACAATATTAGTTTTACTTTATATCAAAATCAAGAGGTGAATTATCTGTATATTACTATTATGATCTTTGAAGGAAAAATAAATTAAAAACACGATGTAAGCTTATGCGCAAAATAAGTTTACAGTCGTGTATGTGTATACTAGAAAAGTTTGTATCTTTGTATGTTAAATGGAGTCGACCGATGTTGACCCTATTGTAATATAGAAATTTATTAAGTATTATTGCATATACACAGCACCATAAATGTACATAAGTAGAAACATACGTTATTTTGAGCCACCAGATTTATGTAAAATAACAAGTACTCTAATATAACATTGTACACGATTATACGAAAATAAATCGGTAAAAATTTAATAATTACTTGGTTTTTTATTGCTACCTTTCTGTTTCTTACCAGTTACTATAAAACAAGATATATACGAGAGGTTTACAAATAAATATCATAAAAACAAAGTTTTTTTCATCATTTTATCTAGCTTTTACACTAATTATATATACAAATATATAAACTGTACATTTTCTAATTAAATTATATTACAGAAAAAGAAATATACTTTGCAGCTACTTTGAATATTAAAATTTATAAATTTATTTATGGAAAAAGTAAATGATTATTTACATTTTAAATAAGCTATTAAAGCATTAGGAACGAGTTATTTTCATTTAATTATAGTACTATTGTAACTAAATAATCTTAAGCTTAAAATATTTACATATAACAATCGATAGTCAATGTAATTGAATATTATGTAAATCTAACGATATGTATAGAAATCCTTATATGTGTCTATATATATTTATAATCAATAAATGCAATTCTTTGGCATTGATAAATGCTATAATTAGCAATTAAAAATTTCTTATAATCTATGTATTGTTTGTACAAAATTAACAATTATTTTTATATACAATCAAACGCACATAAATATAAGTAACTAATAGCTGTAATACAGTAAATATCCTAAAACTAATAAAATTTCAGTAATCTGATTACATACTGTAAAAATTTTCACTTTTTTTTAACCAATATAACAATTATTTTGTTATTCACTATATGTTATAATCATTATGCATAAAATTTCATGGAATTGTAAGCAAATGAATTTTTTATTAGACAATTTTGTTTTACAGATAATTGCTTAATTTTCATGACTAAATCCAGCACTTTCATACTTCTTTTTTTTTAAATTAATAACTAATTCAAATTATAAAGTACTAAATTCTTACGAATTTATTAATTAAATTACCCATTAATACTAGCATTTTTGTGATTGTACAATCTATACGAAGTAGAATGATGGAGATGCAGTAAACTCCTATGAAGTCAGAAAAACAGCTGGAATGTCGAATACTCAAGACGTTGCCAAGTCAACCCTGTCGCACGTAAGAAATAATTATGTCAAACACATTATTACTAAAGTAATAGCCTTCTATCAAATATTACTTAGTTTTTTTCATTTATTATGATCAACCTCACTATATATAGCTTTTCTTAAAAATAAATAATTTTTTAATCTATTCGTGGTCAATTACATGTAAATAATTATATTCATTGTACACAATAATATTTAACTTTTCAATTTAATAGATTTTATAAATCTATTTATGAATATTCACATCAATACCATAGTATTCTAACATTGATAAATACTTTTCTTTAATCTCGTCTAATTTTTAAAAATGATTAAAATTTATTATTAGGAACTATTATATCGAGTTTTTTTTTTTAATTGTAATATTAATAAAATATTTATAGATATTTTCGTATATATATGTATAGAATTTTTAATAATTTTAAAACAACAACATACAATAAATGTTTTCATTAAAACACAAAACGGCTATTAAATACTATCAAATATAAAGAAAATATAAAATTATAATAAATAGAATTATTTTTAGTAAAAATTTTTTTTTCAACTTTAATCACGTATCACAATAATTTTATAGACGATGACATTCTTCACTTATTGGATAGAGAATACGTTTATTACTCAGATTTGTTAATTTTGCATTAGAGAGATATGCACATGCTTTGTTAAGTGCATTAGTTTGTCAATAATAAATTAATATAACTTAGATAATATTTACTTAAAATTAAGCGTGCAATACCGACAACTAATACGGCTAAAATAGCATAAATAAAGATTTCACAGGTCGCGTACACAAATATCTGTATAATTTTTAATTTGATCTTTATTTCATATTATATTATCCACATATATTACAGTCTTATATACAAGAAGTTTATTATGTAGCTTTATATCGCAATCACTATTTAGATTTATATCGCAATCACTGAATATTGGCCACCGGCATACAAAATTACATATATTTAAAGAATAATAAGAAAGGTATACAAAAGATGTATCTACGTTCCAACTTTTCATTACAAAAATCATAAAACTTATAAATACAAAACAGGACAATCATAAACTTATCTAGATTCTTTTTGTATTATCTTCTACCAATAATATATGTTATAACAAGTAGTCATGATTTAGACTAGTTATTTACCATAAAGTCCATAATTGTTATTAATTATTTCAAGCTTTCCAATTATAAAAAATTATATTTTTTCCCAAATTTAGATTATTAATGTTTAAAAGGGTTTCATATTTTATTATTAGTTTGTAATTATTAATAAAATTATGAACCTTAAAATGTTCAAAATTACGGAAGAATATTTTTACTAATTCTTTATCAATCATAGATAATATTATCTAAAATTATAATTGTAATTATGATAAATAAGAAATTTATTTAAAGATATCTAAAATAAAGTAATATAATTATACTATAAATTTTTATATATTGATTAAGGTTACTGTTTTCTTCATAAATATTAAAAAATGTTTCAATATTTTATAATACCAAAAAGAATTCACATATTTTTATATAAGTAAATTTTAAGACTCATTTAAGATCTGGACTATTTCTTTATTAATAATTTCAAGGAATCTCATAAATTTTATTCTAATCTAAGCCTTTGTAAGCTAATTCATTTTTTTTTAAATATACAAATCAAATATTACATAAATAATTTGAAAATTTTTAAATATTAAAAAGAATTTATAAGAAAGTATTTTTGTAGTATGAATGAATATAAAATAAGTTATATTATGAACAACCAATAAAATTACTTAATACAAAATATAAACTTATGCAAAAATTTATAATTTATTTTTTCAAATGCATTTTATACAATATATACGACTCTACTTTTTAAAATACTTTTAAAGATTTCGGAAGTATCAATTCGACAAATTAATAAATTTTTATATTTACATAAAAAGAGTAAAAAATGAAAACGAAAGCAACTTCTTATCGATAAATATTTTTCAAAAACACTAATTTCCTTAGTGACATTACCTATTTATCATTATTAATTTAAAATAAATTCTTTTATATCACTTATAATTAGCTTACAAAGAGCCACTATACACAAAAACGTGTATTATTAGACAAATAATTAGTAGAATAACATTTTATAAAGTTAAATATATATAATTTGAAATTCAACAAAATAGATAGAAATAATTTCTAAACTTTACAAATTTTAAAAAAGAATTCGTATCAATAAACGCTCATATTTCAAAATTCATCAAGTGCTATTCCAGTCTTATCTTTTTCTATGTTAACTCAAGTCTTAAGAAATACTTTGGCTCTGCAGTTCATAAGAAAAACATACATAGAAGTACTGTAATTAAAGAGCTTAAACGAATATCTTAAAAGTACATAATAAATTTTTCTTATTTCTTTCCGCTTAAAAGAAATAATAATTAGAGTTATAATTTAATCTAAATTTAACACAAACTCAATTATAAAATTATTATTATGGAAAATATACAACTTTACACAGCCTTGTTAACTTAAATATATAAAAGATACATCGCATTAAAAGCTTTAATCTCAATTTTTAACTATTAATCTACTCTTTTTAACGTTTAAAGGTACTTTGAGAAAATGAAATTGAATTTTATTACTATATGTGAACGTAAAAAGCAACTTTTTATTTTAAAAAAGAATATTTTAAAAAAAGAAAAGAAAAGAATAAGAATCTTGTGTTGACAAGATAAAACAAAAAATTCAAATAATAAATTAATATTTTAATCATGGAAGATATTATATATCTCTGCATTATTTACCAATTAATTTTACATCCTAATTGTGATTAGTATATTGGTAGGGGACATTAGTTGTTTAGCTAATTTAATTTTACAAAAAAATTACTAAAAATATTAATTTTGATTTTTTAATTTAGACACCCTTTAAAGATAAAAATGAATTTTATAATTTTTGTAAAGTTCATTCATGTAAAGCAATTATAATATATTGTTCAGATTCAAATAATTAAGTGTGGTTATTTATTAAACTTGAATTTATCATTAGAATGAGTTTAACACTATTTAACTTATGGTACAAATAAATTTGATTAACAGAATACTATTATATTTTAATATATAAAAGATTTTCCTCGTGTTCAATTTTAGATTTTTAAACATTAACTCTATAATTATAAAAATAGCAAAAATATGACATTCAAAAAATAACAAAGTACATATTGTTACATTTATTAATCATTTTTAATGAAATAAAATGAAATAAAATAAAGTAATAATTAGAAAGTGTTTTGTGTGTGTTTTGTGTGTGTGTGTGTGTGTGTGTAAAAAGGGTCATAATTCTAAAATTAAAATTTTAAACATAAATTTTCTTAAATAATTGTATAGATAAATAAGGAAGGAATAATATCTAATGCTAACTATTAAATGTTATTAATCCAGGAATGAACACATTTGAAAATTTTTCATTGAATGTCTTATAGTTTTAACTTTTATTGCAATTAATTATTAGTATTTAATAAATTTTATGCTTTTTAAATTTTAATTAATAAAGAGTAAGTTGTGAAGATCAATAGCATTATTAGCACAAGGTACAAGATTTTGAATATTATGTATTTATAATACATAAAACCTAAAGGTTCCAAATATATATTAATTTGTTAAATTTTATTAGTAATCAATGTACAATACTGTATTATATTAGTTTTAAGCCCTGATCCATCCACCAACTTAATCACTGGCAAGTTGGACTAGAAATCCAAATACGCAGGATCCAGATGCAGTTTCTTAAAGTTTAATTCCGATTTAAAGAACTCATCGATTAAATAAAAAATCAGTTTCATTTAAATAAATATTTTATTAGTGATTCGATAGTCTCATGTGATCTAAAATAAATAACGATTAAACTTCATTAACTTTTATTATTACTATACTACTATAATGAAAATGATTTCTTTTAAATAACTGCTACTGGTTAAGCAACTGCGTAAGTATAAAAGACTAGACCACACATGCTATAAAGACACCCATTACACGTCAACCAATGTCCCCACTATAATCCTGACCATTTAATAGATTACGATTATAAATGGCAGCCCTGTAACTATACCTATTTGTGGCTGGTCGATCTGGAACCGGAGGTGGCACTAGTGCCATATCAATATTCATAAAAGCACTATTACTTTCATCCACTTCTCCAATACTGCTCTCTGCCAAGGATGGTTCAATTTCTGAATATGCAAGCCTTGATCGTAATAAATATGCATAAGTTTTATACCTTTTAAGCTAAAACACCACATAAATTTCGTAAATTATTGATACATAAATTTTTACGTTTATTAATAGATAAACTGTAGATTAAGCTGGATAAAAGCTTAATGTACCTCATAATGTAAATACGCGTCTTTTTCTTTATAATTTTGGAACACGAGAGCTTTAACACCCCTTTCTGGTGGATGATGTCTATGTTCGTCTAATTCAATCTCTAACTTATTTACTCTTTCCTCATGATCACGAAGCTGTTCTCTCTAAATATATTTAAGTATAAATTTACGGGTGAACATTAAAAAATCAATAGATAAATACTTTGCATTATCGAGAAGTCTACATTGAATTGCATTAAACTCACTGGACTTAATTTTGTATGACTGCATGGAAGCAAAGGCCGTTGAAACTTTCGTTGTGAACCTACTGCACCGGCAAGTGGCTGACAGGAGAAACTGGCACAAACAAAGTTGACTGTATCTATCCAAGACTGTAATTCTTTAGAATCACTAAGAATTTATAAAATATATTATTTATATATTATTAAAAATGAACATGATTATCATGAATAAGTCTGAAAATATAATACCTAGTTTGAAAAAGATATTCAGCTTGGTCGGCAGTTTGCAATCGAAAAACGTGCTGTTTCTTTGTGTAGTCTGACGCTTTCGTTGCTAGTGCATGATGAATACGAATAGCATTATGCAAATTGTCAATACGGAAGCCATGTTCATCTTTGTGCAAATATAATACAAGTTCTCTTAATGTACAATAATACATTTTCCATCCTCTTTTTCCAAACGGAGCTGAAATACAAATATTATTAAAGAAGCTTATTATTGATTAGGTGATATAATTGACATGAGTAGAGTTAATATTACTCTTTTTTCCATTGGCATCGTAACAGCACTTGCGCATGACGTAACCTTTTTTAAATTCTGTAGCACCAGTAACATTTGGCACATCAAGAAATGGATTTCCCGTTCCAGTTATGATTGTATTGTCTCCTTGTTGAATTGCTTGAGAAGCAACTTCGTCACCCTCTTCGTCACTGTAAACCATCAATAACAAACCATGTGAATAAAATTTTGGGGATAATAAATTATTAATTAAGTTCGTATTTTTCTTGTTTTACTTACAGCGCCCATTCTAGTGGAAATGATTTAATCGCATTATAGAGTTGCTTTAATACTTCTCGCGGAAAGTTATCGCCATCATTAAGTTCTGAAAGATTTTCTATAAACTCTGAACACGACATTTTTCTACCAATGTTTTGACCATGAAGATCGGTATTAAGCAACATTATAGCACACGTTAACGTATGGACAGCATCTAAAATATCAACGTAAAACTAAATTTATATGGGGTAGGTAATTTATAATGAAAATTAAGAAAGAATTTTTGTAAAGCTTGCAAGCATTAGATCTAAAAATCTATAAGTCAAGGAATGTTGATGATTTACGATTATTTTCATTATTTTAAGTTAGATGTATTATTTATTATATAACTATAAAGTAAATATACCTTGAGAATTGAAGGATCCAGGGTTACAATCGAGATACCTCTTGGAGAAGTGGACAAGAACGCGCTCTCGTTCTTGCGTTTCTCCGGTCAATGAAAACTGAGCAAGGAACTTTCTGAGAGCCACGTCCAGCGTGTCCCGTTCAAAGTTAAAATATCTCAAGTATTCTTCAGCAACTGCTCTGCTAAAATCGTTACTATAAAAATAAGATTCAAACAATAATATTAAATATTGTTTCCAAATTTCATTGTAATATATATATATATATATATATATATATATATATATATATATACATGAAGTGAAATACCTTATACAGGAAGCACTTACTTTTTACTTAAATGCCTCGAAACGTCTGATTTCTTAAAACCATCAAGAGAATATAATCTTTTAGCTAATCTGACAGCAGAAGGTAAATCAACTGCCTTTGGACTGTAGTGAAAACTGTGTAAGCTTTCGATATCACTCTCTTCGTCAGCCGAATGCGGTGGCGATATTCCGCTCTGTTTTTGATCTTCGCAATTAGAAAGATTATATTGTTCGCGTTCGTCTTCAAAATCCCTGAGTTCCTTTTTCAAAAGTTCAATCGATAAAGCGTTAAATACGAATGTCATGTTGTCATGAATGTTTAACTCACCTGATAACCCTGATACTCAATCATGACGCCATTATTTCTTTGCTGTCCATTTGGCGAATTTTGCAACATTCTCTCTGAGTCAGAGTTTACACTGACTGGTCTTCGTCTAGGCTGTCGTGGACTCGCGTGTCTTGAGCTTCCAATATCCTTTTCTGGGCCCTTTACTTGAATCACTATCCTGTGCTGTTCATCTTGTTGCTGTACATGTTGCTGTGGTTGTTGTTGTTGTTGCGGATGTTGTTGCTGTTGTTGTTGCTGCTGATGATCACGCTGTTTCACTCGTCGTTGTGGTGGCTCGCTCGCTAGTATCGTTGAGTCACTGTCGCTTGGATCGCTGATCATCATGATGTCGCGTGCGCTCAGTATATCCATCGTCTCCTCGTCATTATAATCTGGACTGGACATATTGCTGAAGACTTCGGATTGGCTCAAATCACCATTGGTCGCCAGAAAGACTGGCGGATGTGAGTACGTTGGAGCTGACTGGGCCGGTAAAGGGAACCTACGGGAGTCAGAATTGGAGGACATGACGGATGATGAAACCGAGGTTGGGGAGGCTGGCGAGAGAGATCGCTGGGGACTTGTTCCCTCTGTGGAGGAGCTTGAACTGGAGGAGCGGCAAAAAGATTGGGAGCCGGCATCCGAGGAATGAGAGGAGTGGGAGCCCACAGAGGCTGAGCTCACGGGGGCATTGTATGTCCAGACAATGCGCTCGTTCGATAATTCGGGGCCACAATTTTCAGCACGTGTGTCCAGAAGAGTATTAAGTGAGGAGGTCACATCATCATCAATGTCGACGTCTACAGCAGACATCGAGGGATCCTTTTGAAATTGTAGGTGGTCTTCAGACCTGGAAGTGCGCACGAAATTGGAGGTATAGCCCATGGATTGAGTACCAACTTGAGCCTGGCCTGAAGCCATATCGGAGGCCTCACGCTTGCTTAACCCTACAGGTGAACTGTTAACTGAGCTCGAGTTTCCGGTACGACGATGACCCATTGTTTCGTTGGGACTTGTGGGTAACGAGTTATGGTAGTGATGATTATTGTGGTGATTATGATGATGATGATGATGAGTGTGGTGGTTGTTGTACCTCAATGAATCAACCTTTTTTTGGTGCTTCGGTAGAAAACCACTGCTTTGTTGAGTGCGTGAAAGGTTCAGCATTAAGTCACCCGTCATCATGTACGCCTCAAACCTGTATTTAGTAACGTAGAAATTTGGTACTCATTATGTGAATGAAAGCACTAGTTTAATATAAATAATTAGTAAACATCTTATTTTCGGTCAATCAACAGAGAAAGAAAATGCTCAATTTTTTTTTAACTCTTAACTGAAAAAGAAATGAGTTAAAAAATTCAATTTTATTGATTAAATATAAGCAATTATGACTACCTTGAATATCTTTAATATATTACATTTTTCTTTAATCAATATTATAAAAAGCAATAATGAATTCTTAAGATATGTTAACTTATAAAGATCATTTTAATGCATAACAAAATGGCTTTAGAAATATTATAATACACTTTATAAGAAATAATTATATTCATTTTTATTATAACTATAAATAAATATTTATATACACATTATATAATAATACCTTATATTTATAATAGATTTAATAATAATAAAATATATTATAAAAACCTTAAAATTGAAATGCATGTTTCTATAAATTTAATCTTCAACGTGCTATTCAATTTAATAAAGAAATTCATTTAACTTAATACTAGCAACTTTTTATTAAAATTTCCAGTAATACATTAACCTAAAATTGTTTTTGTAAAAGTTTTTTTTATTCTTTTAAACTACAACTGCTAAATTTAATTATTTCAGTTATTGCATATTGTTTTAATTATATATTTTTATTAATAAATTAATATCTTAAACACTGATTGCGTATTTTTTAATATTTCTAATATGTTTTAAATTAGAATTTTTTAGATATTTCAGTAGTCGATGTTGAAAGCAGTTAAAAGGATAAAAAAATAAAAAAATTATAGCTAGAGATTGATTAATATCTTACTAAAATAAAATAAAGAATAAAAGGATAAGTTGGAAGTCAAAGATGTTGAAATAGGGAAAAAATAAACTAGAAAACATTTACTAATATGATTAAAGTACCTGGGCGGATTCTTTTGTTTGGTAAACATATCAGCAGCCAATGGTTCCCACTGCATGCGCTCTTCTTCCTTGAAGCTATCAAATTGATGAGGTATAAGGACCTCAAGATCGGATGAGCCTGAAGGATCGCTACATGAACCATTGCTACGTGAGTGAGAAGAATAATTCGTCTTTAGTTGTTGCTGGGATGGATCGACTACAGACTCTGGTGAGGTAGGTGACGATTTCCTATGTAAGATATCAAGGGATCGCTGTTCTCGTTTTTCGGAATCTTTGCTCACTGTTTCTGCCGGTGAAAGTAATCGCCGCACGTGAGCTTTTATGTCGGGATCTACGCAGTCAAGAAATTTATATAAACCTTAACTATGTAAATCGATAATGTTCAAGATTTTGATATAAAAAATAACGTCCACTCTTTTTTCTTAAAAATGGAAGGTTTCTGATTATTGGAATTAACAGAAATATCTTGAAATTAAAGATGATTCCGGTTTTATAACCGTAAGTTTTTGTATGAATTGATACTTGCAAGTTTTAGATAGAAGCAAAGTATTGTATACCGGAAAATAGATTAAAATAGCCTTAATAATTTCAATTTTTTTTTACAATAAAGTAACGTTCTTTGGTTATATGATATCACGATTTGTATCTTGATTATTGTGCTCATGAAATTTAAGATTATTTCAGTATGCTTTGAAGAAAGTACAACATATTAAGTTTAATTTAAAGAAACTGCTTATATTCTTATAAATAGAAACACTTTTTCTGATATTTCAATATTTTATATAATTTGAAGATTGTAAAAGTGCAATTATTTAGAGAATAATGCAGAATGAAGAAAAAATGGAGATAATGAGTATGCTTACCCCTCCGCAACTTTAAGATGACAGGGTCGGACGAGAGCCGGAGACATTTTAAAACTGAAACAAAAACAAAGATACAGGCGTTTAAGATTTACGTGAGTCTTTCCTCCTTCTATCATCACTCATATATTAATAGTTTTTAATCGTTATCGTAAAAAACAATACACTTCTATATGTTGGATCAATTTAACGATGTAAATATATTAATAAGTGAGTTTTTTTAATTTATGCCTGTAGTAACTTTACTTACATATTACATTCTAAAATTTTTTTTACTTTGAATAAAAATAAATTGAAAATAGAAAAATATGCAAATTAGCCAAAACCTCATAAATACTGCATAAATAACCGATAATATTGTAAAACATATTTACAATTAGTTATTCATTTGTTTATATTTTCACTTGCTTTTTTTATTACTTATTAATACCATGCTTTATTTTGTAATCATTTACAAATATAATGGAAAATAAATAATAAATTATCAAATCTGAATACTATTCATATTATAAACAGTCTCAGGTCATGTATTAGGAATTTGTAGTCATTTAGTTAAATTTGTACTGGTTAAGTAATTGATTAAAAGAGACGAATTAGTAGTATTTCTTTGTATAATTGTTTATTTTCTCGGTAAAATAAACTGACTAGTTAGCTGGTGATTAAATTAAAACCTAGCCAAACCTGAGTTTAAAGACTTAAAGGAATATGTGGTTAGATTTAAAAAATCTACTTTTTTTCAATGCGTGAGATATGGAAAATATGAACCCAATAAATCATTTGCGATTTATATTAGAATTAATAATTATATATTTTATATTAATAATATGTTGTAAGAATACATATCTTCTATATTAAACGACTACAATGAAAATATAATAAGAGCGATTCAAGCCTTTTGACATAAATGGTTCTTTATTAAAACTGAACTTCACTTATAAATATTACTTAATAATATTTATGTTTTTAATTTCATATATAGTTTTCAATATTCTTCTTTTTAAAGTGTTTCAACAACGATAACAAGGATAATAACGGCAACGACAATAGCAAGGACGACGATAATGACAACAACACAACGACAACGACAACAATAGCAGTAAGTAGCAGCAGCGGCGGCAGCAGTGGAAATAACGATAACAATGATGACGGCGACAATAACGAAAATCACAACAATTGTAATTACATTATGAATTGAATTTATTATCAATTTTTGAAATATAGTTTGTACTATTTTTTACGCGCTGTATACTATCTACTGCATATTTTCTAAAGAATTCAATTTAAAATACTAATTACAATCGGAAAATTAAAATTAGACTTTGTTTATCACTACTATTCGACGGGATAATCGGACCAGACCAATCCTTGGGATGACAAGCCTATGTTTCGTATCTTACCAGTCTTTCTATTGTTTCCCATTACTGCTATGATTCGAAAAATGGCAATATACGGCACTTTAGAATCCTGATAGTAATGATGTTCTGCGATATGCTGTGATGCGGGTTAACCGATTTACCTAAAAGCATTTATTATCGTATTAACATTACCTACGTCTTATTAATTCTAGTGCATCGGTTGTGTCCGCCATCAGATAGTTACTTTGTACAACGTTTTAACAATATTACAACTCTATGTTACCTTCTGCCGTATTTTTATTTGCATATTGATATTTGTATTTGATAATTGTATTTGTATCCTCATTATCTTTTTTTATATAATAGATCAACACTTGCAAATTTGGTCGTATTATTAATAAGCATTTTCTTTTCATTACTTTTAAGAATGAAAGTGTTATTTTATGATAATGGTATGCAAAATTTCCTTTATTTAGAAATAATAATGTGAAGTGATAGACCTATGTTAATTGATTATAGTTTTTGTTATTTAACGTATAACTTCTTTTAAAAATTTTCCCTAAAAATATAAATTTATATTTTATTGGTATAAATTAATATTTATATACTGTTGATATAAATGTGTTAAGAGGGCATATTAATAATCAAGTATGCTCGGTATTTGAGAATAACTGGAAATATCTAAGTATTACTAGTTTCATAATGAATTTATTAATTATTTCAATAAAGTATTAGCATAAATGAAGGCACTATTCGTGATATTTTTAATTTATAATCATTTTAATCTTATAAAATTACAAATTTCACTTGTATACAAAATTCTACTATATTTATATTTAAAATATTTATAGATACGCTCTCTCTCTCTCTCTCTCTCTCTCTCTCTCTCTCTCTCTATCTGTATCTTTCAAAAATATAAATCTAATTCAGTTATGTCTAATTTTTGTGAAAAATTGTAACTCATTTTCTCATCTATACTTTAAATTACATAATAATTAAAAAATAAGTTACCAGAGAAAAATCTCAAATTTTCTTTTAATAAAAAGAATTTGCATTTAATATAAAACATAATTAATATGTAAATAATTACCTTCCTTAGTACTCAAACGATTAACATCGACGTCGTTTATCTTTATTATAACATCTCCAGCTTCGACCTGTAAAATATAATTATTTAATTTTTATTGTTATATTTTCAACGTTACTATTCAGATATTTAATATCTTTAAAAACATAAATTTATTCGCAATTACAGTCATTATATACTCAATGCGTAGTCATTGAATTATGAAAGAATTTATGTAATTATCTACTAGGAAAATATTTTATTTTTCCAACTTTTACACTTACAGTTTTCGTTTTTCACAAATGTATACTATTTTATAAACAGTCTTTTACAAAAATAATAAATAAAAAAAAACAAAAAGTTACATTTTTAATTATTTTTCATTCGGAAAAAATACATTCATCATTTATATCATTTATATCATTTATATTAAATGTCTAGGGATATTGTTAGTGTAAACATAATTAATGTTAGTATTTATTTATACATACATTTTGCACGATCAATTCTAAGTAATCATCTAAGGTTAGGAGAAAGCACTAGAGATTATGTCGTTAATTGAGTGTAATGTCAGTATATCAATGCACAGGTATTCTTTTTGTGTCAGTTGCATGTTTGTGCGCTTGATGTACTGATATAACTTCATATATTTTATATAATTTATTTTATATTTAAAGAAATTAAATAAAATATTATGCCTGAATCCAAAATATAGTTCTATATACAACTATAAATATTATTAACAATATAACTCTTCAGATCATCAAGTTGTCAATATTGCAATTTATAAGAATGTTTTCCAATACTGTGTAATATGAAATTTACCTTTAACCTCTTCGTTATCGGTAATGTAAGCGTAAAAAATAGTCACTCAATTCAACTGGTAAGTGTCATATATGAGTTATTGGTAAATGCCTAATTTCACTGTCAATAATTATTAAATTTATCATATATTTAACCTTCAACATAGGCTAGAGGACCTATCTATAAAACAATTTCATTAATTTTAAGTATGAAAATTGTTTAATCGTACTTAGTTTAAAATTTCTTAGTTTATAATTTAAATTGTTATTATTTTTATTCTTTAGAAATAATATTATATATTTATGTATTAAGTTTATTGCCATCAATTTAATATATTAATAACATATAATTGAACAAAAACTTTATTCAATGTATAATTTAAAACCAAAATTATTATTTGTATATACTTAATGTATTAAAAAATGTTTAATTAGTTTCTCTCGATTTTATGTTTTTTATTCCTTTTAATTGTTTATTTATTAGTTTAATTGTAACTGTTTAATTTGTATAGTCAATATTTATTTTTAATTTTATACAGTTTTCTTAACATCAATTTTATTATTTAATCGTGAAAAAATAAAACTATAATCAATTTAAATAATTTTTCATTTTGTAACTAAAAATTTTTTTAATAAAGTATTTTATAGGTTCATTTTTTGTACAATGTTTTTTGTATTTATTAAAACTAAATATCTAAATTTAGTTCTAAATTGAGATTTACAAAAATATACATTTTCTTAAATATTTCTATTACAAAATATTACTCTTACAATTATTTCTAGTCAATGAATTTATTGCTAAGAATAAGTACATTACGTATCATTACAATATTTATTATAATAAAATACTAATAATAATTTTAAAACATATACATATTTGTTATACAATGTATTTACAAATAAGGAAGAATTTCTTTTCATATAAAATTATAATAATATTTGTCGAATAATAAACGTTATTGAATAAAAATTAGTATTCAAATTATCTAAACACACTTGGTTGTATTATGAGAAATAAGTATCATTCATATATACAAAGTCTAAACTGTATTTTAGAGTTTTAATAACACAACAAACGTGTAACAACAAAATAATACAAAGAAACTCTGTATATAATATTAGAGTTTTATTATATGGCAGTGTTCTGGAAATCAAATTTAAATTCTATAATTATCTAATATTGCAATCCTGTGTTTATGTATTATGATGTGTAATAATTAAAAGAATATATCTTTAGAAGATATCTTTCAGTAAATACAGATAGCAAATGAAAGAGAGAGAGAGAGAGAGAGAGAAAAGTGGAATTAGAAAAATTAAGAAATACTTGTTATGAATATATATATATATATATATATATATATATCTTTTCTTGTATTTGTTGTATAGATGAAGTAGGGAGCGCAGAATGTCAAATTGCCAGCATGTGAGTCTGCAACTATCGATCGTTTCGTTTGACTTATTTTCATAGCATAGTTTCTAGCATGATAGATATCTTTCGTTGCAAGGGTCGTTGTTGCTGGCGATGATCTCTTATATTCATAGCGTAGAATGCTCTACGTTCTCCTTCTCATACCTAATATACCTGCATTTATCATATAATTCTATATTGCGATTGTACTGAGTGACGATTATGCACGAGACACTTTTAATATTTATTTTTTATCCGTCGTAAAATCTAAAGATCTGTTATAGCATATAATATACTTTGAACACAATGATTAAAGAATAGCCGAAAACAAATAATAAACAAATCTGAAATTTTTATTCTTGATAGCTTAATATTATAGTGTTTAATTATTTCCTCGATTGACCAATATTATTAAAAACAATATTTCAATTGATTAATTAGTACGAATTGAATTTTTAATTTAGCATTTAAATATTTATAAAATAAGTACTTAAATACTAAATTAAACATTTAATATTCTTACTGATACCTTCAGCATGGATAGATAAATTAGCAGAATGAAATTACATGTGATAATACTAAATATTTAACATCGTTCATTAATCACTATTTCGTATTATTGTATTGGTATTCTCATTTGTGAAATATAAACGAAAGATGTTTCCCTATATACATTCTCCGCCTCCCCATAATAAAATAGTTTAAGTAATTATACAAATTTAAGAAACAAATTGGCTAAAAACAATAAAATATTGATTTATTAACGGAGCTTATAAAATTATAACTTAGCTTATTACAGAAAAGAGAAAATCAAATTCTATGGTAATGAAAAACGCTGATATCCATTTTCTTTATATTATATCGATACATTCAATAGAATAGAAAAATGTAATATTTTCTTAATATTTTCATCATAAAATGATATCGATCATAATAACCAGAAAAAATTGACATAAGATACCATCGTTTAAATGCATAAGAAAACATCTTAAAAAATAATGTAAGAGTCCATATTCGATGTTTAAAAGCTGATTAAATAATCAATTTTCTCTCTGTCGATTCCTCTCTCTCTCTCTCTCTCTCTCTCTCTCTCTCTCTCTCTCTCTCTCTCTATGTATCTATATATAAAGAGAGATTAATATATATATATATATATTAATATATCTTGTGTCTTAATTTCTAAATGTAGTATCCTCTATCATCTATTAAAATATAAAATTGTTTAGCTTTCGATTATATTTTAAGTTTCGATATGTATATGTGTATATCAATCAGACAAATAAATTTATCAAAAATACAAAATTTGTATGACAATAATAAATTCATATCGTTAGATAGTAAGTTTTATAAATGGTATAAATATCAATAATCGAATGTATTGTGCTATAATACAAGAATTCAGACATTTAAATTATGGAAAAGAAATGCATGTATGACTATATGTCTGGCATAAAATTAATTATTGAACTCTGAACCATCTTTCGCAAAATAATAATCGACTAAAATTACTGATTAGGAATAAGGTGATCGTATACAAGTAAAATCTTGAAACATCGAATTATAAATTTAATGTTTTTAAAGATAATGAAGACATTATTTAGAAATAAAAAGTACTTAAATAAAAACATAATTTAAGAATAGTTGTAGTGACGGTGAATAAAAAGGTATTGCATTAAATATTTGGTTTTAAAACAATAGATATTTTGAAATCTTTTCTTATTCTTCTTCTTATTCTTCCATCTAAATTATTTAAGTCTGAGCACTTTTACGTTAATATCATTTTTAGTAAATATGATTTACAATTTATTCTCCAAGTCTATTTAGCTATATTTTTTAAATATTAAAATAAACAAGCAAAATAGCAATTCTAATGATAAATTGTTATTTAATATTTTCTATTTTTTCTTTAAAAAAAATATTAAAAAATGCATTTCTCTGTATTTTGGAAACTGTACGATAATGATATTTCAATAAAAATAATTACTGTATTAAATTAGATTATAAACTAGGAATTGATAAAACAGGCGATAAATTGATTATTTACAATAATTTAATTAGATTTTTTCATAATCTGTGAATAAACAATTTATTATGCGAATAAATGATTTACTAAAAGTTTATAACAAATTATAAACGCATATTAATTCAGGCTCAAACACTCTTTATAAATAAAATATAGTGTAATTAATCGCTTAGTGTCTACCAGATTAATGTTTAATAGCGACATGAATAGCACACGATCTCCGATAGTGACAGTATTTCATGAATCAGAAATCAATAAAATCGTGTAAAAATAGAATTAGCCAAATTAGAATTACGTATAAAAACTCATCTAATATAAAGATAATATTATTTTAAACATACTTTAACATAGTAAGCAATAATTAAACTGTACATAATCACTCAATCGAAGAAATAGAATTTCATTTAACATAATTACAAATAAAAATAACTTATATGTGTAACTCTTTTTATGTCAAATGATTGCTTATAAATATTCAAATTAAATGAACCAATAAAAAAATTTTTAATTTTCAAAATACAATTAACATTAAAGTATATTAATAAAAATTACTTCTAAAATTTATTATAATTCTAATATCACTAATGCCTATTGAAAATAATTTTATCTATTTTTAATTAAGATTTGGGATTTAAATTTTTACTTAATTTAACAAATTTTAATTTATGTTATATATGTAATAGATATATATGAAATTTAAAAGTTAATTTAAAGTAAAGTAAATTTAAAAAGTCGACATTAGAATTTTTGTAAATAAAATGAAAAATAGAATATATGAATAATTATCGTTTCCATAAGTATATCTAATATTATTTTTCAACACATTTGAGATTAAATAATATGTATACAAAAAAATT